TCTGTCTGTCCCACTGTTTCCTGCCTCTCTAAGGCAAAAGAGAGTGATTTTCCTCCACCACAGTTCTGTAGTAAGTTAAGGGTTTGTGGCTTATGTAAGTAAAGTGCAGGCTATCTCCACATATCCCCCCGCTGAGGTTCCTCCATAAAGCTGCTAACAGGCTTTTTCTGTTTTGTTTTGGTTTGTTTTTTTTTTTTTTTTATGTTTGGGTTTTAGTCGGACTTCTGCAGTTTGATGCATCTGGTGAAACTGGATTTGAGTAAAAATCGGCTTCAACAGCTGCCCTTGGACTTTGGCCGCCTGGTCAATCTGCAGCACCTGGACCTTCTGAACAACCGTTTAGTCACCCTGCCAGTCAGCTTTGCACAGCTCAAGGTAAAACGGTTTGCTGGGCGGTTATGTAAAGCTTTGGGATGCAGCCCAGGGTCTTGTGATCCTTCTCAAGTTGATTTCTCCGGTAAATCATCCATCTTGCTGACTGCCCATTCCAAAATTCAGCTGGCTCTGCACCACAGCTCAGTGGAAATCATCTCACATTTATTGAAAATGCCTCTGCTCAAGCTCTCTGCTCATCTTCTGTACCTGTTTCACTCGTGAAAACTAAGTAGTTCTTTGCTTCTGCTCTGGATCTCTTAAACAATTGCAGGACTGCTGCCCTTTTACAGCCTCCCCTTTATCGTTCCTTTCTGTAGAACCTGAAGTGGCTGGATCTGAAGGACAATCCCCTGGATCCTGTCCTGGCTAAAGTAGCAGGAGACTGTCTGGATGAGAAGCAGTGTAAGCAGGCTGCTGTCAAGGTAAGGAATCTGCTTTTACTCTTTTTTTCCTTGGCTTTGGTAGTGCTGGTTCTTCCCCTTTTTATTTAGCAAGCTGGCCAGCTGCTGCAGCAGTTTGAAGTTGCTTCTGTGAGGTGCAGATTCACTGTGCTGACTTCACTGCTTCTGTGCCTGTAGGGAGCAAACAGTGAGCTGAGTAGAATTCTCTTCCATTAGTGGAGTTAAGAGAGCACTAAATGCTGGTTGCCAAGAAAGTGGAGGCATAATCAGACAAAATAATCCACAACTAGGCTTACAGTCCAGAGCACAAAAGTCTCTGGAGAAGGTCTGGCAAACTGTAGGCTCACGTAAATAAGTGTTCTGTGATCCTGTGTTGGCGAGCACCAGTTTGTCATATTTGTTTTTAAATGGAAAGATCCGTTTTTTAACGGAAAGATCTGTTTCTCAACTGCAAAGATTCCTGCGGGAAGGGGCGAGCTCTCTTCAGAGCCACACCTGTAGGGGTAAGTCAGGGTCGGTGGTCAGCCCTGGCTGAGTGTCCTCAGCTGCGCTCCAGCTGTTCTGTTTGGAACTGACTGTGCAGGGGGCCTGCTGCAGAGCCCTCAGGGTGTTTTCTTGGCCCTCGAAGGTGCTGCAGCACATGAAGGCGATCCAGTCTGAGCAGGATCGACAGCGGCAACGGAAGCTCCAAGCAGAACGAGGTAAGCACAGAGTCCTCACGTGCTGCCTGCCGAGGACTGTTCTTGGTCTCTTACACGCCCAAACATACTGATTGCTGTCTAACAAATACTTGTAACTGTCAAAATCTTGAGGACTCGCTGAGTAGTAGGGTAGAAAGGTGGGAGGGAGAAAGACAGCGGGGGATAACTACGCGATTTCTTGCCTGAATAATAGATCTCTAGAAGGAATGCACTATAGGTTACCTATACAAAGATGCAAAAGAAGAGCACAGGATTTATTTTAAGGGAAGCCTAATTCAGAGGGAGAAAATTGCAAGGTATGTAATATTAAGAAAAAACAAACCCAAAGATGATAAAAAGAGGATAGTTATTTGTTTCCTCGTTCCAATTGGGAACAGATAAGCAGGTAATAAGGAAGAAGGCAATGACAATCCTTTACATAAAAAAATCGTCTTATTAATCCCCAGAAATGGAGAAGAAACGTGAAGCGGAACAGCGAGCAAAGGAAGCTCAAGAGAGGGAAGTAAGAAAGCGAGAGAAGGCAGAAGAAAAGGAACGCAGAAGACGGGAGTATGATGCTCAGAAAGCTGCAAAGCAGGAGATGGAAAAGAAAACTAAGAAAGAAAACGTGCAGGCCCGAAGTAAGTAGTATCAGTTTTGGGTGGGATTGCATCAGATTTCATCTTCATCACATTGTGATGCTGCCAGCTTTGCTTTTATGCAGCCCAGGTACTGGGAGCAGAGGGGAACCTGTAGGACTTCTTCTAAACTCTGCTGCTGTGCCCTTTTCCCCTTCGTCAGTGTTCCTGAAGAACTGCCAAGTGACAAGATTTGGGAAGGTCTTCATCTGTTCCTAAGCAGAACTTCCCTCCACTTGTTTCTTTTTAAGTGTACTGAACTATATGTGCTAAACCAGATCTTGTGCAGCACAGAGGTGCTTTACACCCTCTTCACTGCTGCCCATGAAACTAAATCTGAAACTTTTCATCCTAAACAGCTAGATCCTGCACATCTACTTATTAACAAAGTGATGAAAATTCATTACAAAAGACAACTGCAGCACAGGCCTAAAGTATCTTACCTGGACAGCCTGTTTCTGACAGTAGACTGTTAAAGGTATTTCATTAATTCCTCACATTCTTCGTCTTGTAAATGTCCTCATTACAGAGCCTGCCTCCAGTTCTCGTCCCCCTCAGCCACCCCGGCACAAGCACTCCTGGTCGCGGTCAGTGCTGAGGGTCCTGCTTTTGGTGCTGCTCTGCGTCCTCTGTACTTTGGCTGCCTGCAAGCTGACGGAGCTGCAACATCAACCTCTGTGCATCAGCGTGAACACTCTCTACGAGGACGTGGTAGCCGCTCTGCAAAACCACAAAACCCTGCAAAATATGCTACAGCAGAACTCGCAGCAGTGATTGTCCTGGACGGGCACTTGCTTCGTCAGCATCTCCCTCCACCATCTACGCAGCCAGAATTCCTATGGAATTGTGTTCTGATGAAACTGCTTTTTATCAGTCAGCATTGGTTTGCTGGTCCACTCCACACAGAACAGAGTTATTGTTCAGATCATCTTTGCTGTGCATGTTTTGCAGTTGGCCTGTAACTCCCATTATTTGCCCACATTAACCTAAACTAAACGCCTCTTACCTCCAAGGGATGTTTACCTAGACTGTGAGATGCAGAAAGCTGCCAAGCTGTAGGAGTGGAAAAAAAACAGCCCTTGCATTGTCTGGGTAGCTCTAGCTTTATCCTGGAGGTAGGAGGTTTTTAATACATATCCATTCCTTGCTCTCATTTCTATTCGCGCTAAAATTGGTGATATGGCTATATGGGAATAATATATTAAGGCCTACTCCAGGACCAATTACAAGTGTGTAGGATGGCTGTGCATCCGTATGTTGGAGCAAAGAAGCTGATGTACTATTGAAAGGAGCTGAAAATTTTCAATACAACACTTTTCGCAGCAATTTGTCTCAATTGGATGTTTATGTTGCTAAGGCAGTTTTGATTAGGTCTTTTAGGAGCAGCCAATAATTATGTCTGACTACATTAATTTTAACCAGCTAGTGCCAACGAAGCTGTTTCAGCTTAGGAAGGGTTTCTGGCCAGTCTGCAGGCTGGGTTTGTGTCTGCAGCAAAGGGGGGGAGGGGGTCCAAGATCAGGGACAGAACGTGGGCACACTGAGGGCAGGTTGCTGGCTGCAGCGGTGGCACGCCGCGCTGGGTGGCACTGTGGCAGCATCCCCGCTGCGGCAGGCAGGCAGGAGAGGGCTTGGGGCTGTTGGGAAGGCTGGGAGGTTGGGCGGTTTGCAGCTAGAGAAGAAAACTCGCCTGTGTAAAGGCCTATGAATTATTTATCATTTCCTCGCAGAGAAAACCAAACAGATGTTTGTCATATCCTGGAGGGCTTTGTGAGTACTGAAATGTACACACAGTGCTGTAAGTGCAGGTTCCAGAGAATACCCTTGCTACAGCATCCTCTGAGACATCCCGCATTAGTCACCAGAATCGCTCCCTCTCTTCTGATACCTGAGCTTATTGCTGGTAAGAGCAGTGCCAGGAGGAAATAATCTATAGCATTTCATACAGAGGTCTTCATGGAAGCAATAAGCCACCACCTTTTTGTAACCTCATGACAAGGCTGTGGACTGTGGTTCCCCGAGTACCACACAGAAAAAAGTGACAGCATGACCTTCAGATGAAGGAAAGCTGCCTATCTCTGCCTTAGCAGTATATGTTTTCTATGCTTCCTTGAAACAGCCCTTGGCTTTGCTTTTGGTGTCTAACTCATCCTTTAAAAGATCCATCCTTACTATCCAGAGACATTTGGCAAAACAGCAAACAACATTCAAAGCAGTATTTCTTCTCTGCAGACATTTCTGCCGGCGTCTGGTGGGAACCTGCTGCTTTCCCATCTAGGAGAGTGCTGCTTAAGTTCGCAAACACCAGGCTAATAAGATTTATCAGTTCAGGTCAGAAGTGTGCCACTGGGTATTTTTCATTTGAGGCAGTACAGTTCCAGAGAGTAACTTCCACACAGTGGATTGCAGTTTAGTTTAGTTCACTCTCAGCACTCATCTCAGTAAGTGCTGCTGTTGCGAGAGACCTCAACTGTCCTTGTGTGCACACACGTGCTAATGGCTTCAGGGACAGGCAAGCATGTTCCCCAGCCTAATTAAAAGAAAGCTTTTTCTGCCAACTGTTTAGATCTCATAATTTCAGCACATATAATTAGATTTCAAGACCCTCTATAGATTAAGCCATCTTGGAGACTGAATCAGGGCAGTCTAAATTTATAACTGAAAATTAGTCTTACTCATTTCCATCTGCCACAGTGGAAAACTGAGAATCTATTTTGCGAGGTGAAGTTCTTCCACCTCACTAGAGCAGGTGCTGGGGGGGAAGCACCATGTTGCTTCTAGCATTAGGATTTTTCACACTGGAGAGAGAAGATAACTACTTGCAGTTTAGGATAGCAGCAGAAAGTATTCCTTTCAACAGATGACATACCTGTCTATATTCAAGATGGCATGTTAGGAAGCAAAGATCATTATTACTGAAAATGATTTATTTTCTCTGAAGACAAATAAAAGAAACTATCAGTACTATAAGCTGTGCCCAGCTCATTCTCTTACAGAAGATGTTCACCTTTCTTGCATAAGCTCCAGCCCTTCAGCAATTTTATCCAACCTTCTTCTGCTACAGTGAAGTCTAAAAGTGCTTAAAGTCTTTAAACTAGGATCAATGGCTCTATTTGTTGTCTAAGCACTTCTTCCCAGCAGGAAGCTGAATACTTAAACCAGGCAAACAGTAAAACTCTAATTCCCTAGGGCTACCCAGTGAAATCCAAATAGAGATCAGGATCGTGGGAAGTCATCTGCAGATAGATCCGTCGGGAGAGTTCTGGTCCGATCCGCCGGGAGGTGGCTGTCACACCCTCACCGCGGCACACAGGGATATTAGCCAGCATGTTCTCCCGCTCCTGCTCCGAGGAGCATCTGCTGTAGGCCTAAAAGCAACACAAAGGAACAACGGTATCATCCATTTGCATCCATTGCTCAAAAAAAAAAAAAAAAAAAAAAAAATCAAAGCTATGCACCTGTGACTGCTCCACCCTTTTGACAATGTACGCTCATTTCTCACCCGCTCTCTCCCCAGATCTCATTTGTGAGCTTACCGGCCGATGCTGAACCGATACTGCTCCCTCAGTAGTCTGCTCTGTAAAGCCAAAGCAATGGGTGCCAAGGAGTCAGTTCCTTCACTACCTTACTAAACAGCTCATACAGAACCATTGTATCAAATTTAATACCAATTAAATTATTTTTTCCACTCCTTCCATTAACTGGCTGTCCGTACCCAGTACTTGGTATTCCTGAGGCATCCTCACCTGGTTCAGAAGCTGAGGAGAAGGGTATGCAGACACAATAGCCTCAGCCATCTCGAGGCTGACCCGGTTAAATTGTTGTATCTGCCTCTTCCAAACTTCAAAGAGACCCTTTCCGGAATGATCCACCTTCACCCCTCCGCACCACCCCTTCTCCAAGTAGAAAGAGAACCCCGTCTTCTCCCGCTCTCGCCTAGGGAGAACAAAGGATAGGAAAGAAAATAAGACGAGGCTATGAAGAAAATCCTATCCCTGTATCTGTTGTTACATAGCCAGAGATAGAGAGCCATTTCTCACTCGGTGCTGTTATAGATACCAACACCAAAGTAAATGCTAAAAATTTGATCCTATTTTCTCGACATGCATTACCAATTTCCTTGTTTTAAGACGCAGATATCCTACTGGAAAATAGACTGTCCTGTACTTGGGAGCAATCCTGACACAAGCCAACATTCATACAAAGTGGTAAACAAGAATTAACTTTCTGTCAACCATAATAAAACACTTGAACATGCATTTTTAATGACATCTCTTCTCGTGGCTGAGATGTAAAATACAACAGCTGCTGGGATAGGAATGCTAGGATTGTGTAAGACTGCACAAGATGACTTTCTTAGTTATCGCTGTGCAAGACACTGTTGTCTTTCCTTATCATTGGAAACAGCTAAATGGTTCATTCTCAGTAACGTCTCTGTGGGTTACATACTGAAGAAGAAAAGCTGGTGCTGTAAGAATCCAACCCCATTTGCATTCCCTTCCCACTGGACTGAGAACAAGAGCTTTACTTGATGTCAAGACTCCAATGTGAACCCAGGGTCCATCCTCACCCCTCCCCAGGCTGGACAGCAGTTTCCAAGAACTGTGGAAACCCTGTGCTGAAGGAGCTGCATTCGCAGCTGCTCTGTGTCACCCACTCCTTTAAACATCATTATACTGTGTTGCACTGAAGTGCAGCCGCGTACCTGCTGTTCCCTCCCACTGTGAAAGTGCAGCCTCTCCAAAGATATGACCAAACCTCATCTGCTCACTCACTTGAACGGGGCTTCAGCTACAGCTTTTGTGAACATAGTGGCAAATTCTCCGAGCTCCTCCCAGCTCTCAAAAAAGCTAACTTGGACTTGTTTGCACAGCTGCAGATCCACTAAGGCCTGTAAACATCATTGGAAACGACAGACGGAACAATTAATCTTCTCACATCAAACTCCACTCTTGTCTGAAACAAAAAAGGGTCACAACATCTTGCTATAGGACAAGAACATCTACTCCCTCCCCATTTTGGGAACAGTTAACTTAAGGCACTGAACTATTTAGGGGCTGCCTGTCTCCTGCCAGCTAACACCAGTTTAGCGCCATTTCAGCTGCCGCAGCTCCTCAGTGGTAGGCTCTCGCTACACGCAGGCCACCAATGGTGAGAGATGCTGACTGAAACTGGCATTTCACTGTCCAGGACTGAGGTGAACGAGACCCATCAGTCCGTGGGAGAGCGGGTACGTACCCAAGCAGCAGGGAACTGAACCCAAAGAGCTCTACCCACAGACACATGGACTAACGAAGGCTGAATCCCCCCCATCCAAGATAGTGTGTGATTGGGTCAAATGTTCAATGGCAGACAACAAGAGATGATGGCTCCATGCCTGTACTCACTTCTTCCACATCCATTCTGGTTATCTCCAGGCTAGAATCCCTAACTGTCTTTTTTCTCTGTTTTCCCTGTTCCTCTTCTTGGTTTTTACTCGCTGCTGCCTGTTGCAGTCTCTTTTTTGACTGAACTCTGAGAGACCTAAGAAGAATAAAGTAAGACTAGGAGTTTATGCTCTTCCCCAGGTATTTTTCATCAGTCACTGTGGTATCAGGCTGGATGGACCTTTGCTTCTGTTTCTATACAACAAATAGTGAAGCAGTTCTGGGTGAGCTCTTATGCTCCAGTCTTTGCTAGAAGGAATTAATGTGATGGCATTTTTCAAGGCCAGAGACAGCAAAGAAACGTTTGGAGGGAAAAAAGTTTAACCTGAAATAATTTTCTACTTCAACTACTGCCAGTGCCAGAATTTTCCCAGGCATTTTCTCCATCACACGAGCTACATAGCTCTGTAGGGTCTCCTTCTGTCCTTCTGTACAGCCCTCAGCCTCCTGCAAAGATCAACGGAAAAAAGGAGTTAAACCATTCTGAGTGCAGCAACCTATGGCTCTGATTCTGCAGCTGGGTCTGCAGATGAAGAAGTCAGTTCACACTGCTCTTCAGGGGCAAGCATGCAGTATTTGATCCAGTATAAAGTTATGGCAGAAATAAATAAAAAATAATCCCACTTGATCTGACAATGTTACACCTTAAAAAAAAAATCTGTGAAAAATTGTAACTAGGAAAGAAAGTTTGTCAGAAATCTGCATTATACAACTCTAGTGGTTTTGATCCATTAATGGCTTCTAAACCCAGATTTCTGGTTTACTGAAACCATGGCTCCTCCCACATCAAAACCTTCCTGATGTGAAGAGGGATGACAAACACCACGCTTACAGCAAGGCATGTTTAAGAGCACACTAGTCATAAGCACACTCACTTGTTTGTAGTGGTGAACCATGGACAAAAACTCCTCCAAGCGAAGCAGAATCAGGACATTTGGTTCTTCTGTCCATTTATCTCCTTCTTCCATCTGTCCAGATATGAAAACAAACATCCAGACCAACAGCCTGTTTAGAACTCACTCAAACCAATGCTCCCACTCAGACCTCTGAGGCAGGGAGAAGAGTAGAGGGTGTTTACTTGGGTTGCTAAATACAGTTACTAATGAGTGCAAATAACAGATGAAGAAAAGGGCAAGAACATCAAGATTTTGCTCACACACCTGAGATGATACACTCTTTCTCCTCCAGGTGATGCTGCAGGGAACACCCTGATCCTCAACAACACAGGAATAATTTGCAGCCTGCAAAGCACTAAGGATCTGTCCACCGCCTTCCACCTGTAAGAGAACTGAAATCGGTGTGTAGGTCAGGCCTCCACAGAGCAGACAAGCCAATATAAGGCAGTTGTAGGCTGTGAGGACATGTACCTGCATCCAGCACCACTGTTATGTATTTCTGGCACTCCCCCGGTCGCTGAGCCTTCAGTATCTTGGCAAGGGCCCTCTTCCTCTCTTTTTCCTGCTCCTGCTGCCTCCTCTGTGCTTCTCGCTCCTTCCTCCTCTGCCACATAGCCTGGCAGACTGCCTCCCTTTCCTTCTGACTATATTTTGGCTTCTTGGGAGCAGGGGATGTCTCTGGGCTTGCTCCGCTAACTAGAGGTCTACCAGGCTGATGTGTGGAGTCAGATGGAGAGGCTGGCAGCAGGCACAAGGTAGGCCTCTCAGCACCGAGTGTGTCATTTTGGCTACCACAAGACACTTCTCCAGACGTCACCAAGACTCCCTGCGGCCCTCTGCTTTCAGCTGCCAACAGGCCACCGCTAACACAAAGGCCAGCTCGCCCGGCGGCATCGCCACCGCCCGTCTGGGGGGGATCAAAAGCCACCGCCCTCTTTGCTCCCATCCTCCTCTTGATCCTCTCAGCCAGAGGGACGACCTCCACCACCTCCTCCTCCTCCTCCTCCACGCCATCCTCTTCCTCCGCTTCGCTCTCACTGCTCACCACCACGATCCCTCCCGACTTGGGAGCGGGAGAGGAGGACGGCCGGCAGCCCAGCTCGCCGGGCGGCGGCGACGGCCGCAGTAGGGAGGGGAAGGCGGGCAGCTCCTCCTCGCTGCTCCCCTCAGACCCCGGCCCGCTCTCCGCCATCTTGCCTTCCCCTCAGGTAAAGTCCCGTGCGCCGGCGCCCGCCAGGGGGAAGCTCGCGCGTGTGCCGGTTGGTCCAAACGCGCGCGCGGCTGGCGGCGGTTGGTCCGAGCGCGCGCGCCCCGCCCCGCCCCCCGGAAGGGGAAGAGGAGGTGGCGGTGGGGAAAATGGCGGCGCTCCGCGGGCTGTGTGAGTGAAGGGACGTCTCGCTTCCCCCGTACCGCGGGGCGGGAGGCTGAGCTCGGGCTCGGGTTGTCCCGGGGGAGGTTAATGCCGGTAGCTCGGGATCGAGACCTTCGCCTTTACCTCAGGCCGCGGCCCGGGTGGTGTGAAATGGGCGGGTGTCCGGCCCGAACGCTGCCTCATCGCCGAGTCCTTCGTGCGGGAAGGAGCCTCAGGAGGTTTATAGTGCAGCGCTGCTGAAAACAGGGACAGCTCTGCGGTGGGGCCGAGGTGCTGAGGGCTTTAGCCCTTCTGGACTCGAAAACCTCCAGCCACGAGCACTGCACAACTTCTCTGTGCTGCTGTTTGTCACCATGGTGAAAAAATTATCTTTGGGCAAACAGTATTCATATGTGCCGGGTAGAGACCAAACAGTGAGGGGTGCTGCTCTCTCTTTGCACAGTGCGATAGTCAGGAGGCTTTAAAAATCCTTTTTTTAAATCCCGAAGTGTTAGAGGCAGAAGTATCCCTGTGGTTTCTTTGGTGGGACATCAGAATTGTGAAGTTTTTCCACAGATTTCCAATGTGACTTCAGTCACACTACAAACTCTCAGTCTTCTCTAGATCACTGCTTTTTCCCTGCAAGTCTGATGCTTTGAGGTTCATTTTTTTGTTAGCAGACTTCTTTCATGCAAACACAAACTGTAACACCAGAATCAAGCTGTTGGCTTTTTTTTTTTTTTTTTTTTTTTTTGCTAAAAGCTAATTGGACTGTAACTTAATAGAATATGTGTATATGGAACTATAGTAATTGTTCATCTTTGTCTACTTCCCTGTAGTTTGTCAAGTCTTAGAGCCTTTCTTTTACTTAATGGGTAAGCTCCTGAAATGAATGGCTCTTTGTAGAGCAATTACCCTTTTCTCAACAATATTTCTAGTCATTGGGTATGTACAGTAATTTAAGATTAGATTAAGCCAGTGGCTTTACTCAGGTTAAGGAAATGAGAATGTTATGATAACCACTCTTTTGTACTAACCTGCTGCTTAAGAGGTTAAATAGATTCAGAAAAATTGGATTTGCCTGCAGACTGCATGAAAGGAGGTACTGAAGAGATTTTTAAGAACTAATTATATCGCAGTCATTTTTAACAGAAGTTCACGAGAGGTACAGTTTTCCTGATAAGAAAACCAGTATGTTTTATGTCAGAGTTGTTTGTTTAAGGAAGAAGTTTGTGGTGTGAAGTATATTTTGTGTTCTGGATATAGTCTCTGTCTGTAACAACTGATTTTTTTTTTTCCTAGTCTTGTCCAGATTGTAATTCAAGGATTTGCACAAAATGCTTCAATTAGTGTGTTCAGGATAGTAATTCTATATATGCTTATAAATTGTCCTGAACTGGAGTCTTTGCATTTGTGAGATTTCAAAATATTACTATGTAAGTAAATCCCATCCAGTCGAAGGGGAAACTGAAACAGAGAACGCAACTCGTCTTTTCTCAAAGCAATATAAGGCCAATCCACAGCAACCAATAACTTCTGTACCTTGTTTTACGAGACTTTGCCAAAACAGGAATTTGTATGTCCTTTAACATTGCTGAGGGTTTTATTCCTCACTGGGCAGCAGCAGTACTTGACATGTGGCCTCACTGCAGGAGACTTAGGCCATGGTGGTCTAATTATGATTTATCTCGGAAGTAGGTTTTTTTACCCTCAGAGCTTTCTTTTGTCTTTAGTTTTAAAGCTTGTGTTAACTGACATCCTTTAAATCTGAAAAAAGAAAGTGTGTATGTTAGGTTATTTTCAGCTGATGTTTTTTTTGTTGTTCATGCTCCCAACTTAGTTCTAGCTGCTCCTCAAACAAGCCTGGTTGCTGTCAGATGTGCTTCTAAGAAAACTGGGGGCAGCTCAAAAAACTTAGGTGGCCGCAGCCCAGGGAAGCGCTACGGATTCAAAAAAGTAGAAGGTAGGTCTGGGCATCTGCCTACTCTTATTTGCGTTTCATTGGGTTCCTCACAGCTTCTCCCTTGCTTGGGGTGTCAGTTGTTGAGGACTTCAGTAGGAGGTGGCCAGGGCGCTCTTCCAAGAGAAAGGAAAGGGGAGGTTGAGTGAAACCTCATGATCGGGGTAGCCGGTGGGAGGGCAGGGTGAGTCAGCCTCCTTCCCAGATGGGCCCACGAGCAGCCAGCTGAAATTGCCTACAGAAAGTGTACTTTGATTCTAACTTTGCCTCTCTGGAGCGCCTGGGAGGACGGTACGCTGTGGGACACCTGATGACTTAAGTAAGTGCACTTTCCCCCCATGCTGTGTTGAAAAGCTGAGCATTTTCAATGTTTACAAAGGGGAGAATTATGAGGCTTAGCAGAAGCCAAAGTACAGATTCTTGCAGCTGAGTGCTTCATAATTATTAGCTTTGCTGATGAAAACATATCAATGTAAAAGGTAATAAAACAAATGCCTTCAGCAACCAGAAAATGCCTTGTACCCTAGAAGTAATCTTTTCAAAGACCAGAATTGCTTTTTGCCATTGTATATCAATTGCCCTTTATTTCCTGCTAACAGCATTTTTGTTTAGATGCTTTTAGCATTTTAAGTAATTTTTCCTTAGAAAATTCCCACAGAAAGCTGGGGTTTTTAAGTCCTAGAACCATTTGTGTTCTGCCAGGGCTTGGGGGGCCTCCGCTTGTCTGCAGTCTGATTCTGTCACTCTGTTGCAGGTGCATTTGTGCATGCAGGCAACATTTTGGCTACGCAGCGGTTGATACGCTGGCATCCAGGGGCTCATGTAAGTTGTTTTCCATCTCTTCCTTGGTTTTCGGAAAACAGCAGCCCACAACAGAGTCCCATACTCCGTGCCTCTTCTCTTTCAAGTTCGTCCTTAATGTTCTTCCCTGTATTCTATATAATCTTGAAATTGGGTTTTATTACCTGGTATTTCGTAGTCACAGAGCCTGCACAGAGTCACACCTGTGTCCCTGCGACTCAGGAAAGGTCTGAAAGTTACGGAGATCCCAAAACATTTCTGTAACCTAACTGGGTGCTTGTGCTTCAGGGTGGAATCAGTATCTCCTCCCTGGTTATGAGCACCATTGCATACTAACTGCTGGAAGCAAGGAATGTGGTTTTCTTTTATTTTAAAATAAAAAGCAACAGATGCTGTTGAAGCTAGAATATCAAATGAGGCAGACCAACGATCAGATCTGCTTTAGTGGTGGACCTCTGCTCTTTCCTTTCTAACACTCCTCATCCTCTTCCAGGTGGGGATGGGCCGTAACAAGACACTCTATGCCCTGGAGGATGGGATCGTGAGATACACCAAAGAGGTCTATGTACCTCTGCCCCGCAGCAGTGAGAGCAGGGAAGTGATCTGTCGTCTACCCAAAGGAGCGATTCTTTATAAAACTTTCATCAATGTTGTCCCTACCACAGAAGTAGGAAGCTTTAAACTGGTCACCATGCTCTGAACCCATCACGTAGAGACGGGTGGGAAGGAGCAGCTGGGACAGAGCACTACAGCTGGACTGGCATCCGAGGACAGGAATATTCTAGCTCTGAAGATACCAGTTTAGGACTTTGTTTTCATGCTCTTAAGCACACGTGGTCGGTGTTCAGGCACTGGGATCACCTGCCAGCATTTGTGTTGTTTAATAAATGCTGGGGGGCTGCTGAAGGTCTTGGCTCTTCATAGAATGTGTTCCTTATGTTCATTTAGTAACTGGAGCTGCCTTCCTCTGGAGAACTGTAGGGCCACTGGATCATTCTTTCTACAATCACTCATGTCAGTGCTTGTCCCACTAATAATACCCTCTATTGATTTCTTACTCATTTCTAAACATTACTGTTATACTTGTATCTCAATTCAAAATACTGCAGAACAGATACTTTTCCACTTGCACCCAAGTCTGCATCCCAGGAAGCTAGATTCTTCTATCTAACTCACCTCAATGATTAACTCTAGTATCTGAAAGTGTTCCATTTACCAGCCACGTGAGGCAAGTTCACGCTCATAAAGCTAACTTGTGACTAATTTTAGAGTGGCCTGGTAAGATGCATGACCCTGGGGTGCTAGTTGAAGCTCAGCGGCTGGAGGTGTATCATAAAGCCATAATCCAGAAGACTTATCCTTTTGTCTTCCCTGAGTCATTCCGTGACATTTTCGAGCTTACGTTGCTTGAAAGAAAGGAACCCCAATGCCCTATGGCCAAACTGATTTCATTTTATCTACAGGTTTGTAAACAATTTGAAACATTTTCTCTGCAGTAGAAAACAGGTTATCAAAATTGGTGGTGTAAGGACACCAGTGCTGACATTAGATTGTCTGCTCTGCAGAAGTTGACGATGTAAACTGGGTCAGCCACGCACATCCACCTTTGCTTTATGTTCTTCACCAGCTGTTTTGTCCACACTCTGTCCTTTCCCAGCTCGTGTGTCCAGTCTCACGGTTTGCCTCAGTGGTTGGTATTTGCACACAGCCCGTGATGCAGCCTCTCCAAACCTTCCTCTGAAGTCCACACAAAATTGCTCTTGGTCAGAGAGGAGCCTTGCTGTGAGAGCACACAGCAACGCTCTGATGTAGATTCGTTCTGCTGCGCACAGGTGAGGATTCCCACCTGGGCAGCCAATACATCGATAAAGTAAAACATTTTATAACCTAAGAAATAAGTGAAGTAGCACGACACGACCACTGCCTGAGATCTGATTCTTGGGACGGCTGGCAGCACTTGCCTCACGGAGGTATGATGTGCTGGCTGCCTGGAGGAGCTCTGGCTGAGCAGACCTTCACCTTGGCTCTGCCCGCTGTGCAGAAGCAAGCAGCTGGCCCCTCGCCTTCGGCCACAGTACGTTCTCCAGAGAAGCGCGAGCAGACATCCCCAGCCGCTCCGCTCAGCGGTTGTCCTTGTGCTGCAGGAGGGACATCCCCCACTGGCTGGCCCTGACCTGCCAGGGTCTCGGCTGGTTGGGAATCGGGGTGAAGGTCTGACGTTTGGCCGTTCCCGGCGGACAAGAACGATGTCACAGGCACTTCTGTCGCTGACACCCCGGGCAGCAGCGGTACGCTGAGGCCTTACACAGCCGTGTTTCGCTGAGTTTGGTAGCTGAGAGGGGCCTGGAAAGGGTCTGGCACAGCACGTCTGTCCAAGGTCTCTGAGCTTATTACTGTTCCTGAGAAAGCTGGAGGATGCCTCAGAGCGTGCTCGTAGGGAGGCGGCATCTATTGAGGAGAGAGGAAGAGCATTACAGTTGATCAGAAATAACCAGGAGATTATCCCACCTCTTCTTACAGAGCGGATGACAAGGCTCACAACCACCACCAGCTGGAAATGAAATTCCTACGGTCCCCAGAGCAGCAGGCTGCTGGCGAGATGAGTGCTCAGCACCGGTTTGTAACACGGTAGAGCAGAAATCCCCCTGGAGAGGCACATTCTCCCTGCTCCCCCCTCACACTCTGTGCCAGGTTCCTGCTCTTCCCTGTTCCCCTTCAGGGACTTGCCACAAGGCCAGAAAAGACTTGACTTCTGTTAAAAGTGTTGTTTGCTTTCCTTTGACCAAGGATCACTTACTGGCATTTATACAAGCTCCTACAAGCCAGGCTTTGGTAGTGAGTCTCACTGCACAGCAGCAGAGAAGAGCCTCCGGGCTGTTGTTATGTTTATTTTGGCAGAGCTGGGCTAGCTTTTCTCCTCAGAATGAGTGACAGGAGTGGCATAGGGATGTTTTGGAAGAGCTCCCATTGCAGTTCCTCAGCTACTCATCTTTGGGGCTTTACTCTCCTGTGCCCTCAGTGCCCTGGTTTCAGGGCAGGTATCATAGATACAGCACCAGACACCAAGTGGCAAGTGCTGACTATGCCAGACTTCATGGTACAGCTTTAAGAGTTCAAAATCCAGGTAAATTGGTGAACCTTTAGTGCTCTACTCAAGGTTTCAAATGTTTCTGTTCTGCTTTAGTGAATGAGGTCTCTTTGTTCAACAGGAGTCTCTCGGGACGCTGCCACAGGACCTACTTGGCAGATGCACTGGCTTTTCTCTGTTCTATTGCAGGAGTGCAAATCTTAAGTGTCATAACAGGCAAAGCCTCCTGCTCATAAATAAGCCATAAACACTTCAAGGTAATAGCGAGAGGCCTCCCAGAGGTGTCCTGCTGGGAGAAGGAAGCAAGAAACTGTGGAAGCCTCACAGATCTAAAAATAACATTCCCAGCTTGGACTTGTACCGAGCAGATGATCCGAAGGGCCTGCCCTTTCATCTGCCCTGCCTCCTGGCACAGGCATTTCTGTGAACGCACTGGGAGAGATGGATCATTAACTAGCACAGATGTACACTGAAGGAGCCTCCTGATACACTTTGTGCCATTCCCAGAGATAAAGGCTATTGGAGAACAGCAATCACAGAGAACAGAGTCCTTAGCTACTGCAAATTGCTGAAGCAAGACCCAGATCTGGACCAGAGCAGAGGGACTGCCCCAGGGCCCCTGCCAGCGCCCTCGTGCAGGGGAGGGAGAGCTCACCTCCTGGGAAGGCTCTGCCCACAGCCCAAACCTCTCAGCAATCATCTGGTGGATTTCCCGTTGGCGATCTTTCTTCCGCACGCTCTCGTAGCTTGGCAAGCGGGGCTGCTCCCAGGAAGGGAGCTGGTAGCTGCTGGGGGGTCCGACGCAGAATAGCTCATCTCCCTAGAAATGCCCAGCCCAGAAGAGAAAGGTCAGCGGGGTGGTGGCTTCCTTGGCTCAAACTTCATGGCCTGGTGCCACCCTGAGTTACTTCAGAGTCCAAAGTTGTGGCTGCCCTTCCTTGAACCCGGAGAGAGGAAATCCTCCCTCCCAGCAGGTAATTATACCATTATCAGCTTTGCAAGATCCCAAGCCCTGAGGGATCTGCCCAGTACTTCATGCCCAAACACCTCAGGGCATTGCTATGTCCTCTGCAGTACCCCTGCCCCACCTTTTTACATACAGGCAGCACTTCCCAAAGCTGCTCCTGCTGTTCAGCACCATCTCCCTGTGCCCCAGGAGCTCCCCAGGCCCCTCAGTCTCTTCCCAAGCTCATCAGGATCTTCGCTACCATTTCCCCCCCAGGCTCCCATCGGGAACCCAGCCACATCACCTGCACGCCAGGGCCCTCAGCCGCGCTCTCCAGCCGTGACGCTCCATGCTGGGGCCCCACCAGCCGCTGGCTGCTGCTGAAGTAGGGTGGGGGACAGTCCTGTAACGAGGAGGACATGAGCAACGCCAAAATCCCCCGCATCCTGCCCAGCAGCGAGCGGAGCTCAGCCAGCTCGACTCTGGACAGGGGCGAGAGCCGCCACCTCTGCCTATTTGGCTCACGTGGCTCTCACCGCTGGCAGCCAGCCTCTGCCTGCCTGTTTACCAGCACCACCAGCTCGGGCACATCCTCGCCCGGCAGCGCAGGGCTCGCTCTAAGGGTGCGGTGCAGCTGGAGGCACGGCAGGCTGGGCACGGGGCAGGGTTTCATTCAGACTCAGCAGAACCATTTCTCTTTGGGGGACAAAAAAACCCCAACCCAACTATCCCACTAGCGTAGATAAGAGCTGCATCACATGCTCAGGGTTATGGAATTTGTAAACTCTTATCTACCAAGGTAGTCATTTCAGGATAATGTAGCAAGCAAATCTGCAGAGCAATAGCTGTTCTGTTCCTGAGCAGTCTTGCTCCAGTTAAACTCAACTCCTTGTCAAGGTGTTGAGCAACTGCAAGCAGAGATCCCTCTTGCAGAGAGCAGCCCCTCGAGCCAGAGCCAGGACTCGAGCCATGGGCCATTCCTCGCTCTCAGAAAAAAAGCCTGATGTCTGCCAGCAGAAAACAGCCCAGAGACTCCCAGAGCAACCAGGGACGCGCGGGGAGGACTACAAGTGACAGATTTACTTTTGCTCTTAACAACCAAGAAACCGTTTGTCTTGGCCCTACAGCACAATTACAGAAGCTGCAGGAAACAAGGCTGGCTGGGGGCACAGCTGTTTGTCTGGGTAAGTGATTAGCAAAACCAGCACAACTACACCTGCTTGAAAGCCACCTCACACCACTACAACCACTTCACTTTTTCTGATGGAAATACATCCTCTATATGTTCCCTTTCCATATATAACTCTCTGCATCCACATCCATCTGTCCACACAGCCCTTTGCTAAAGGCAAGATGCCTTCTCCTCTAACCACCCACCCGAGAGCCGGGCCCAAGCACGGCGAAGGCTCTGCAGCTCACAGCGCATCCCGCGCTGCCTGGAGGAGCAGCTCTGCAGGGCGAGGGGCACGGCGAGCACAGCGTCAGAGCCTCCCCCCCACGCATCCCACAGACAGGCAGCGGGAGGAAGAGGGGGAAAGGAGCAGCGGCAGTGAAACAGGCAGGGGACACTAGCAGCACAGCCCATTCCTGCTGTGATTTCTGCTGAGGACTTCCCAGCCTGTGCTGCACTGTGAGATTTGCCTTTCATGGCACAAGCCTCTCCATCCCCTGCTAGCCAAGGCTGGATGTTCCTTCGTCTCCCGGGGCCTCTGGAGCAGTACCTGCAGCCCTGCCCTTGACAGCCATCCCTGCAGCTTTGGAGGCTCAGCTTTCCCCAGGCAGCCACCGCCACAAAGGCAGCTGGCTGAACACGCTGCTCTTTTTCCATCGCCAGCTTCCCCAGTTAAAAGCCAGCCCCAGGAAATTACAGATGCAAGCGAAAGGGCTTTAAAGGGCTTTGTCTCTCCCTGCTCTGCACCCAGGAGCTGTGCACAAGAGAGCCAGTTGCCGGGGATGCAAGTGCTAGCAAGCGCCTTTTGTCTGCCTTCGCCCCGAGCTTCCAGCCCCCTTCCCCTCTGGGCCCCTTCCCTGTAAAGCAGAGCCTGACCCCACACACGCCTGCGACGGGGGAGGAGGATCCCCCTCCTGAACTGCATGGGGAGCCGGGGAACCTGCTAGCATTGGAGATCTTACCCCCAACAGCACAGCCAGGCAGGGTTGGGTGGATGGATTCCTGGGGTAGAGTGGGAACAAGGAGGAGGCAGAGCCCGGCTCTGCTCGGAGGTCCCACATGCATCAGCGAGCCCAGCCAGGCTGTGGGAGGGGAGCCCAGGGATGCATCCTTGCAGACTCCAGCGCAAGGGAATAACAACTCAGGGGGTGGGCAGGGACTCCTGGGCAGGAGCAGAAGCGGGAGGACACTCACATACTGGCTGGGGGTCTGGAAGAAGCGGCAGGAGCAGAGGAACTGGCAGCACATGGGGTCCCGGTGGTACAGGAGCAGCAGCAGGATGAGGATTGCCACGATGAAGACGGAGGTGGACACCGCTGCCAGGGGAGCGGAGAAGGGGTGAATGAGCCGGTGGGTGCGTGGGCCTCGCTGCTGCTTCCCACCTTCACCCGCTGGGTGCCTTGGCAAAGAGCAGCTTGGAAAGCCCCTGAGAAGCCGGGTTCGCCCACTGCCCGTCCCGAGGATGCCAAAAGCCCCGTCGTGACCAAAATTCCTCTTTCCTTCCAAGACCAGGGAGAGCCCGCAGAGCCGGAGAGGCTCAGCCCGTCCTGGACTCAAAGTAACCCCCGGGCCCCTGCAACAGGAACCAGCCCCCGCCGGGACGCGGCCCTGGCCCCCTCCCGTGCCCTCCCGGCCGGCGGCAGGGTGCCGGTTCGCCAGCCCCCCGGGAACCCGCGGCTCCCCCGCAGCCCACGCTCCGCTCCGCGGAGCCCACCCAGCACCGCCAACCGCTCCCTCCTCTCGGGGCCTCAGGGAAGGAGCGGGGGCCGCAGCGACCGCTTCCCTGTGCCGCCCGTTTGGGGCGAGGGGCGACGTCTCGCCGGTACAACCCGAGGCCGCCCCGGGAAGGCAACGGCAGAGGCTGATCCCGCCCGGCGGCCGCACCCGCTTCCCGGCTCCCACCACTCACTCGCGGCGATGACGATGGCCAGGACGTTGGTGTCCATGGCCGCGCCGGCGGTCGCCGTGTGCGCCGAGGCCTCGCTGGGATGCGCCATCCCGCCGCCGCCGCCACCGGCAGCCGCCGCCCGCGGCCCGCGCCGCACCGGCCGGGAGGGGCGGGGCCAGGCGGGGCTTCACCCGGTGCCTCCCAGCCAGGCCCCGCCCCGTCGGGCTCCCTATTGGTCACCGCGCCGCCCTCCCATTGGCCGCTGTCTCCGCCAGCCGGAGGGCGGTGCCGGCGGTTGCCGTGGCGACGCGGCGGGGCGGGACCCGGGGCGGGCGGGCCCGATCCGGGCGGGCTCCCTCCTCCGGGGACACCCCCCCCGGTGTCGCCGCAGCGGGCAGGGCACAGGCCCCGGGATGTTCCCAACCTTCGCCCTGCAGGCCCCGGGAGGTGCCCGGTCATTAGCTAATTAACGTTTTGGCGTTTACACCCCGCTGCTGTTAAGTCACCCGAGCAGGCCGTGCCCGCAGGGTGCTTGCTGCCAGGGCCGGTCTCTGCTCCGAGGACCTGCGGGTGAAAACCAGGGTCACCCCCCAGGGCTGCAGCTCCCGACCCCAGGCTGCATCGGTTCTGCATTGCACCTCGCCCCAGCGAGCCCACTCCTGCCCCCGCCCGGCGGCAAAGCTCCCCCCACCCCTCGCCCCTTCCAGCACACGCAGCAAGAACTGGGCACCCGGCAGCGTAGAGATATAGATATATTTGGGGTGATGTTGCATATTTAAGACAACTTTACATAATGCTTCCGACACAGAGTTTTGGCGTCCTCCCCTGCAGCGAGGGCTGGACCTGCACAGCCCCTCTCACCCCACATCCCCAGAGCACCCCCAGAGGGAGTGTCCCCCCCACTCCATTTTACAACGCGCCGCTTGCAGCACCAACATCCTTAAACTGGGGAGACCGGGAGCACGAGCCCAGGCAGGCAGGGAAGCCCGGGGCTTCGGAGGATGGCACAAATCTTTGGAAGATGGCAAAACCCCGCCTAGCCCGGGCCCTGAGCCCCTGGCTGCTGCTGCCCCAGCCTCAGGCAGAGGGGTTGGGCCAGCCAGGCTCCAGCGTGTCCCCAGCAGCTCCCCGGCTATGTGGGGGCAATACCCCTGCCCGGGCTGCAGGCAAGATGTGAAGCGTCTTCCCGGGATGAAAACCAAACCCAGACTTCTCCACGGAGCGTTGGTCTTGGAGACAGGAATGGCGCAGGCAGTCCCCAAGCATGGGAGGATGAAGAGGCCCCGCTGCACCCCTTCCTTGGAGACGGCATCTCTTCCCTCCAGCCAAGGGGCGAGCAGAAACAGAGGAGAGCGGGTGGAGCCGGCTGGACCTTGTCTCGCCTCTTTGCTTTTTGGCCAGGGAAGCACAGCAGATCCCGAGAGCTTTCGCCGACACAGGAGAAAATAAAAGTTGGCCCAAGGAGCCGTGGCACAGGGCAGCCCTCTGGGCACAGCAAGCTGCTGTCTCACCCACAGCAGGACGTCAGCCCCGCGGATGGCGTTTTGGCAGGGGACCAGGGTGTCCCTTTGCTGAAGCGGAGACGGATGCAGCGGGGTCTACAGCGGCTTGTCAGACTGGAACCGCGAAGCGAGCGCTCCCCTGCTCGCCGTCACGCAACACGCACCTGCAGCTCCAAATATTTGGCACAGTCGGGCAGCTGCCTTGGAGGGGCAGGCAGCACCCCACAACCGACCCTGCCCGAGGGGCAGCAGGGTGCAGCTCCCCAGCAGCCCCCAGCAGGAAATGGGGAAACAGCAAAACAATAATAGTAATACTACTAATAAAAAAAAAAATAATGTGTAAACAACCCAGCACCCTGTCCTGTAGCACCAGGACACCCAAGAGAACAAGGTATGTTACAGTCTGAGGGGAGATGGAGACACAAGGACTTCCCGGCCAATGCGGGGTCTCGTCTCTATTGCACTTTGCATCATATATATTTCTATATATATATTTATAAAAATACAAACTAAAGGGCTGGGGTGGAGGGGATGAGATGCAAGCCCTGGGCCAGCAGCAGCTCGGTGCACGTGGCAGGCTTCCACCCATTCTGCTCCTGCCTGTCCCTAGAGTCCCTTGCCAGCCCTCCCAGGGGGGCAGCCAGCAGCACAGGGCCTAATCCTGCAGAGATCCAGCCTGGGGCTGGGCAGGGTGCTGAGTTGGTCCGGAGTCCGCCCATCCGCCAGCCTTCCCTCCCTCCCCCATCACCCCTTCCCGAGGCTCCAAGGCCTGAAGGAACAAGCGCACAGCTCTTCCCAGCCACCAGTGCTGTCTGTGCCCCTGCAGCAGCGGGTGCCCCGGCACGCTCTCCCGGGGGAGGTGGGCAAGACCGCCCTCGCACCTCCTCCTCCTCCGCTCAAAATATGCCACAGGAGGTGGTTTTCCCCCACCCGGAGGCTCCCGTTCTCTCTTCCTCAAGCGACTACGGTGCAAATGGCACGGGGTGATGTAGTCTGGAGACACCCCCCCCACGCCGGTGACGGAGGATGCTCCTCGCTCCCAAGGCCGCCGCCCCCCCGGCTGCTCCTGCTACCTCAGCCGCCCGTCAGGTTTGACGGGCCCCAGTTCTGATTTGGGGTCCGGGGAGAGGGAGCTCCAGGAGGTTTCCCTGCAGGTCTCCAGGGAGGTGCAGGCGGAGGGGCTGCCGATGCAGACATCCGCCACGGACCAGAAGGCGCCGATGGCACCGTCCGCCCAGTCCTCCAGCTCCTTGCCCGTCAGCTGAGCCTTCCGCACCGCTGCCTCCTCCGCCTCCTCGGAGCGCGGCAGGTTGAGGATCCCCCCCAGGCCCTGGAAGCTCTGCTCCATGTACTCGTTGCGAGGGGGCCCACCGTGCAGCCAGTTGCTGTCATCTGGGCAGGGAGAGAAGCGAGAGGGGATCAGCAGCGCAGCAACATTCCAGCACCCTGCCAGTCCCACTGCCACCCTCCCGGCGGGGCTCAGCACCCCGTCCCTTTGCAACCCGAGGTCTCCTCCAGCCTGAGGAGAGGGGTGCTGCTGTGGGATGGATCTAACTGACCTGCAAACAGGCCCTCAGCAGCGGCCCTGGCACCTGGTTTGAGGACTCACGTGGACAAGGGGACACCAGCTCCTGCCATCAGCTGCAGCTCCGAGAGGCCAGCACCAAGGGGAAGCACCTTGGACTGCCCACAGGGAGACCCTTCCATCCCGCCTCAAACTCCAGAGCACCCTCACCTTTCCTGAGAGGCTGCTTGCGGTTGAAAGTCTGGGGCACCACCAAGAACTGGTTTTCCCCCAGGGGCTCCCAGAACTGGAGGAGGCGGATGGTCCAGACGCCAGGGCGGAGGGGCCGATTGAGGGGGGGCTTGTACTGGGTGAACTCTGCCTCGGCATCCACCGTGATGTCGTAGGAGGCGGCGATGACGTAGGTGGGGTCTATCCACACCACCGTGGCCGTCAGGTTGGGACCCCGCGACCACTTCTGCATGGCCACCGGCTCATCAAAAGGCCCCATCAAGCCTCCAAAATTGCGGAAGAGTCTTTCCTTGGGGTCCCACTCCGTGCCCACCTGGAGGGACAGGAGGCACAAGCAGTGGGACGCTGGGCAGGAAGATGCTATCAGCTCAAGTTTTGCTTTTCACCTCCCCTAACCAGGGAAGGCATAAAACTCTGCAGCCCAAAGCAATGCACACCCCACTCTCCATGGCTTCTGCTGCCTGTCTGCACCGTGCCAGCACTAATCCAGCTGTGTGATGCCTCCTGCAGCTGCAGGCACTGGGCACCACAGCCTCAGCTCCCCTATGAAAGATCTGCAGGCCTTTTCCCCACTAATCAGCTCCACACCCCACACAGAAGCCAAACACCCAGACAAAGGTTTGTTCTCAGTCACAACAGTGGCACCATGTCCCTGTCCCCACAGCGTGCAGGTAGGGGAAAGGAGGAAGGGCAGCACGGTGTGGGAAAGCCAGGGAGGAAGGCGGGTGTCGTGAGGGAAACTTTCCCTATTTACCTCAAGGTTTTGTAAGCGGTTTGCCTGCCCTCCGTGACCTGCCAGCTTCAGAGCTCCTTGGGGCATCATCCACACCTCCAGAGACTCTGCCTGCCCGGTTGCCGAATTCTGCACTTCCTGCATCACGAGGTAACCCTGGAAACGGTCGTCATAGAAGTATAAGTGCACACTGGATGGGAAGCCCTGGGGTTCAAATCTGGAGAGAGAGGGAGAGACAAAGAGGTTGAACATCTGAGTATCAGCACCCTCCCAGCACAGGATGCAGGCCACCAGCCGGAGCCTGGATCAAGCCTGTAGCAAATACCCCACCTGCAGAGCTTGTCAGCCTTCGCTGATGGCGTGGAGGCAGCTTTGTGGAGCCCCAGCCTGGAGAAGGCTGTGTAGAAAGTGAGAGTGACATCACTGAGGCCACTGAGCCCATCAACGCGGTCGTAGACGTTCTCCCAGTATGCCTTCAGGGCCGGTGTGCTGGGAGGGTAGCTGCCGTAGAGATGCGTGTCCAGGATCTCCAGCACCTCCTGATTCACCGTCGACTCAAACTTGCGGGCAAAGAAGGTGGGTCTGGAGAGTTGCTGCAAGATAACAGGCATTTCTAAGTGCTGGCTGCACCTACTTTGCCCTCCCGGCTGAGTTGGGGCAGCTGGGAGGGAGACAGACTGGGAAGAAGCATGCTGGGACCCATCCTGCCCCCTCTGAGCGCACAGAAGCAGCAAAGCACAGCTGGCCTCTACATGGGATCCTCTGTGACAGGATCAGTGGGAGCATACGGTACGCTTACTGGTAATGCAGATGGGTTCCCATCTCTCCCACCACCTCCCCCTTCTTGTGCTCAGAAGCAGCCATGTATCATCCAGCTCTCTCACTGCAATCTCTATTCAGACAGGCCCCCGCCCTGCAGAGCCGCTGCAGAGCCCTGCACAACTTGCAGGATCAGGGCCTTGCACTGCTAGAAAATCCTGCTAACTTCTCTTTTCAGGGTTGGGTGTATCTGCCCCAAACATTTCTTGTTCAGTCTACATCCCTATGGACCGAAAGCATGGGAGACTTTGTCACAAGTCGTTTTGTCCTGACAAAGAGGATAGTGCTCTGAAGTGGTTTTACTGAAAAGTTATTTGCCCCAAGGGATAGGTCTGCAGGGAAAGAGCAGGAAATTTGAAAGTCTGGGAAGAGGAGCAACATTACAAGCAAAAGTCTGGCTGCTGGGCAGGACAGTCAGCATAATCCCACTGCCTGAGTGTTTACAGACATGTCTATGACGAGCCCTGTGGCGGCTGGGGAGCCCATCCTGCTCCCATCCCTTGTGGGGCTGGGATGAGGCCTGGCGGGGCATGCACAGCAGCTGGCATTGCACCTGGGGAGTGCACCCACAGGGGAGCTCGGGGAGGAGAGAGTCAGGGAGGAGGGGAGAGAGACGGGGAGGAGAAAGGAGGATCTTCACCTGTAGCCGGAGGAAGTCCTGGGGTTTGAAGTCATTTGGGGAGCACCCACACCAGTCGACTATGTGTTTATATTGGCACTTACAGCCCAGCTTCCGGTTCCAGTTGGTGACTCGGAGGTTGTTATCGACCAGTGTCTCACAGGCGTGACTGTTCTCCAGGACCGTGTGGAAGAAGGACTGTGCACAGCAGAGAAGGGACAGGACACCCAGTAGGGATGGAGAATGGGTGGTTAACGAAGACATGGCCTCCCCTCACTTACAGAGGAACAGGACAGATCTCAATAGCCCCTGAACAGAAACCTATTCCTGTTCCCAGCACAGAGCAACACGTATGGACCAGGCTGTGCACGCACACCGGTCCTTATCTGGCCCAGAGGGGCATCTGGACCTGAAACAGGGCTGGATATAAACATGACCCTTGGCCTGTCTGCCCCTCTCTCTGCTCTTTCATACCTGGGTCTGGACAAAGGGGAGGCACAAGGCTGCCTGAGCAGAACCAGCAATGCCCTTTGCAGCTACTCAGGGCAGGGATGAAGCAGGACAGGGATTCTAAGTATGGTGGGAAGAAAATCCAGCCCGTGCCCCGCAGCCAGCACTCACCTCGGCTGGCAGGAGTGTGTACGTGTAGAACTGGCGCAGCTGGGACACCAGCTGGTCGTCGGCATAGACCACGTACTCCACGAAGCTGCGTGTCAGCGAGAACCAGTCGGAGCCTCCATCCACCACGATGCCCTCAGGGATGTGGCGCTCACCCAGCCGCCACATGTGGGAGTCGCACTCGTGGAACAAGCGGTCCAGGCCCTGCTTCTTGATAAACCTGGGCACAGGGATGAGGATGAAGGCTTAGGTATGTCACCCACTTTGCCGGGCACAGCTGCACCCTGAACATCCCCTCCCGCCCCAACTGTGTCAGTTCTTTTTCAAAATCCCTCTTCTTTCTGTTTCTCCAGCTCAGCCCCAAGTTGCAATTACCTGGCGTTGTCTCGGCCATGAGACTTCAGGAAGTTCTTATCTCTGTATTTGGATAGGAACATCACCAACTCCTCATTGGTCCTGAGGTGCAAATTAGAAAGCATTAATGGCCCCTGGGGTAAAGCAGCCCAGTAAACATTCATACTGCAAGAGCCATCAGACACAAGAAGCCTAAAGCTGTTCAGAGAGTGCTGACTCAAACTCTTGTCACATCTCTGGGGAGACACAAACATGGCCTCTCTGCTGTCTGGCACCTCATCTGTGTGCAACATCCAGACAACAGGAAAAAACAGCCTCTGAGGTATTGGCTGGAGTCCTCTGCAGAGATGAGACCAGCCTGGCCCTGGAGCATCAGCAGCAGCACATGGGTGCAATCTCCAAGCCCATCTTCCCTTAGCTTCCTGCCCCTCCCAAGGCCGCTGCAGCATCACACAGCCCAAACACCTCCATCGTCCTCCCCTGCCCCAGAGCAAGGTCCTCACCTCGTGGGGTAGTCAGTGGCACTCAGGTTGATGAAGAAGTCCCAGGGCCACTCGGCCAGTTCCAACAGATCCTTCATGCTACGCAGGTACATCTTGAGCAGGCTGGCACCTCCCCAGATGGTCACCATGCGCCAGGGTGTCACACGGATGTTGGGGTAGTGCCGGGCCAGCTCCACTGCCTCGCGATGGAGGTAGTTGGAGCGCTGTCAAGGAACACAGCTCACGCTCAGCAGGGAGCTCGACTTCTCCAGGCCCTGCCCTCCTTGCCACCAGCCCAGGCTCAGCCCTTACAGCAGCCTCCATAGGGCAGGGAGCAGCAAGACAAGACTGCTCTGGGCAGCGGCGATAGATCCTGCTCCCCTGGGGCTGCAAAAATAGGGGTGGGAGGGTCGGAGCTCCACCAGCAGCAAGGACAAACTCTACCCAGCCAATTCCTCTGCTTGCCACCCACCTGCACCCCAGCTCTGCAACTCATCCCAGTGACCAATCTGGGCCCTGTTAGCACCCCTCCTCCCCTCACCCCCGCTGCATACCTTGTCGACGTGGATGTAGAAGAAGTGCTGCTGGTGGTACACAGCCTTGATGAGCCGCTTCAGCTGGCGAATGGCCCTGCCATGCACAACCAGCATGTAGGCAATGCGCACGGGCTTGCTGGGGGGCATCTGCTGCAGCCGGCTCTCGTCCCACTGGATGACAGGGCTGACCTTGCCTGAGCGGGGAGGGAGAGGGCTGTCAGCCACTGCCAGCTTTGGCACCCAGCACCCCAAGCTCCTGATAAACCAGGGAGACCTGAGCAAGGCAGGGGACAGCAGGGAAGAGCTCTGGCAAACCCGATCAGTGCAGCCCAAGCTGGCTGCAGTGCCAGGGCACGGTGGCACACACAGCCCCTTGCGTTAAATTGACAGGGCTGCACTGGGAAATTGGGGGGTGTTCTCCTGTGGCCTCTCAAATCAGAAAATGCAGCTGGGCCTGGCTCTGACCTCTGCCAGCACTGCAGGTCAGGATGAACAGCACAGCTTAAGGAGGCTGGCACAGCTTTGATTGGATTACAGAGGCAGCGGTAATCAGGAAATCAGTGACAGACTGAGGCTGCTTTTTGCCAGGTGGGACAGTTTGGCGCCACAAGGAAGGTGGCCCATGCACCCGACTGGGATATTCCCGATGCCCCGGCGAGACTGGGAGCACCCCAGCAGGACTCACCCGAGAGCTGGCAGTGGCGAGGTACAGACTGGGGCATGAGGCTGCCGGCCCGGTGCAGACACACCACGTTGGCGATCTCCTGTTGGCACTGCTTGCTGCTGGCCCGGGCCAGCGCCGAGAGGGCGTCTTTGCCCGTGATTTCGCACTTGGGGGTGAAGCTGTTCTCGGTGGGCTGGGGAGCCCCCTCCACGCTGCCTGTGTCTCCCTGCTGGAAGACGGCCAGCTGGGCCTCCCCGCGCAGCTCCGTCAGGTTCCTGCGGCTGGAGGAGTCCGGCGCGGCCGGCAGCCTCCATCCCAGTTTGTGTCTCACCGTGACGGCTCTCACCACCTTGGACACCAGCACCCCGGGGCTGTCCGGCCGTCCCCGCCATCGCCCGTGCTTTCGGCTGGCGCTGCCCCGGCGCCCGGCAGAGCTGTCTGAGTCCTTGGAGCCATCGCTGCTCTCGGGCAACCGGGCTTTTTTCTGCCGCTCCTGTTCCAGTTCCAGGTGGATGCAGAAGAGAGGACAGACAGCATTATCTCGGGCCTGCATCCCACCGGCTCTGCCCACATGCTTCCCAGAGCATCCCTATTCCCAGAGCCCGATGCTCCCAGTCCCCACAGAGCTCAGTGCTGCCAGGCACTCCGGGAGCAGTCACTGTGCAGCAAAGGACATTACACCATCCCTCTGCCACCTAAAATCCCAGGCTAAGACCCTTCAGCACCTCCCTGCACGGTCCTATGCCCTGCTCACAGGGACAGCTCCCTGTATGCCAGCAAGAGAGACCTCAATTTGCAGACCCTGTCATCAGTACCCCAGACACACAAAGAGGGTCTGGCTTGCTGCCTCTGGACTCACCACAACACTAAATGGCCAAGGTTGGTTGTGTCAACACCAGCCACGCTCTGGGGTCCTGCGTGGACAGGGGCATCCCCAGATGGTGGAGATAAGCACAGGGCTGCTCTGGCTGGCAGTGGTTATTTTACTGGGAGGCAAATGGAGCAGCTCTTCCCTGCCATGATCATGCTGTGAGACCAAGCCCAGCACATCTATCTGCGACCTGGGGTCCCAGGTGGCTGCAGCTGCGCTCTCTGGAGCTAAAAGCACTAGAGAGGCATTGAAAAAGGTTCTGCCTGCACTCCCTTCCCAGGGCCTGGCTCCCTTCTCGGAACTGGAGCAGTTGCTGCGATCGCCAGCTTCTCTAGAAATCCCTTTAACAAACCCTCCCGCTGAGCCAAGTGGATGTGTAAAGGGAGCAGTTAATTATGCTTCGTTACCTCTGCCAGGATGATGAGCAGAAACAAGTCAGCCTTGGGGAGAGCAGAGTTGGGAAGTTTGGATGCCTGAGAGCGCCACACTCGTGGGAAAGCGCTTTCCCAGCGAGTCATGCCCGCAGGGCCAGGGCCGTATGCCTCCTGCCCACCAGCCAGGCTGCCCAGGGCTATCACACAACACTCTCAAAACCCTGCCCTGCCCAGCCGCTGCGCTGTGCACCACGGGAGGCAGCAAGGTGCACTGGGGGCTGTTCCTGGGCAGCAACATCTTCCAAGGATGGGATGATGCTTCACAAGGACAGCAGGACCGAATCAGCCCCCTGCACAAGCCCCGCCGTGGGCATAGCTGCTGGGAAGATCACAGCTAGGAGAAACCATACCATGCAAAGGCTGGAAAGAAGATGCCAAGATCTGACAACTCCACAGTCCCTGAACTACTCATGTTGTGGTAGCACAGCCTGCAAACCATGGCTACCCAGGAAGGGGCCAAGCCACCACCTAACTCCCGAGGGGCTGGCGTCAGCGAGGATCAGCCGAGCCTCCTTCCACCCAGACAGGCGTCACAGGCGGCCCGAGACAGGCGGCAAACCGTTCATTAGTCACCACGCAGGACCATCTGTTCCCAGAGTTATAAACCTGTTTTCTCCACTGAGCATCACAGGAGCAGGGAGTCGGGAAGCGACAAGCAAGGAGCGAAGTCTCTTCCTGCAGGGACAGGGCTGAGCCTGTGGAAGAGACCCACCATCCCCGCTCACACCCTCTGCTCCCAACAAGCCTGACTCCAGGGACAGCCCCCGCGCGATGCCCACCCTCAGATACAGTCTTGCTCATCCTCCTGGAATGAGCCCTGTTCCCGGTTCACAAGCACACCCCGCTGCCTTCCTCGGTAGGGAAGTCATTAGAAGCATTGCCAGCCTCCCCGGAGCTGCCAGTTAACAAACTCAATGGCTTGTAATTACTGCACCACAGCAGAGTGATCCCTCCACCCCAGCCAGGCAGGGAACGACTCTGGCCACGTTGTTCTGTTGTATTTAGGACTCGTGCAGGGGACTTCTGGTAAGGCCCGCTGTCTCCCTCCTTCTGACACTCAGATGACTCCAGACACCAGCCAGAGGTCACTTCCCCCATCCTGCCTCCCCGACGTGACACTGCCATCTCCACACTGCCACAGAGCCATGGGTCAGGTGACCCACGGCTACACCCTATCCCCAGTGCAGGTCCAACTGCGCTCACATCTCCAAGGACTGCCACTGCAAGGAGCAGAGCTAAGAGCATCTGGTGTCCTGCAGGATTCCCCCTCTGGTCGACTGACTCTGGTGTTTGCCACATGCAAGTGCTCATCAGGCAAAAACAGCACCAAAATGTTTCAAAGTCACCAGAGGAATCCGGAGTCTTGATTGCCAATTGCAGAAGCAGAGCCTTAAACCTCACAATTAAAACGGCTGGAGACAGCCCTATAAAAACAAGCTCTTTGGGGGGAAAAATAAAACTCAAGGAATCTCAGCAAAGCTGGAAAAAAAAGATGTTCTGTAGGAAGCTTCTCTGGCAGCTGCAGCACATGGAGGACACCAACACACTGGCCCTAGAGAGGGTGCCACCTCCTGCCTGGGAGGAGGAAGATTGGAGGCAAAGTGAGGGAAGAGACGTGACTGGGCTAAGACACTTCTTGCAAGTGACAGATCCTCTTCTCCACCCACAAGGACACTCTGTGGTTTGCTTTTTCCTGGTGCCAGCTCCACTGCGGACCAAGCACCCCAGGAAGCTCATACACTCGCTCAGGAGCTGTTGGTGTCACCACAACAGAGGCAGGATTGCTGCGGTCCCTCAGGTCCCACCTTTGTGTGCAGACAGGCTCCCGCTGTCTGCAGCGCAGATGCGGTCAGTGAAGGGCTAGGTACCGATGGGATTTCCTCTCCTATCAGTCACTCTGGACAGGGATTGTGGGGTTTGATCCCAGTGGAAAAAGACAATTTGGCTTCCTGGAGGTAAGAAACTCAGTGTTGACCTGGAGGGATGGAGATTGATCCAGCTTCTGCTGGTCTGCAGGCCACAACACATCTGCTTGGTGAATAAAGGGAGCCTGCAGGACCCTGAAATCGGGCTTGCAAAGAGAAGCGACATGATCCAAGCTGCACAGCCTTCTCAAGGAGGGTTGGGCTGGAGGCTCTGACGTGGTTGAAGCCCTCTACAGGGCAGCGAGCAGTCGGTGCTGCTGGGGCAAGATGTGTTTACAACCTGCTCCAGTGAAGGGCAAAGATCCTCCCTCAGCCTCTGCTCAGCTCATACCAGGGAACCACTGGTCACAGAGCCTGCCAAGCAGGGGAAGCTCTTCCCCTCTCTATGAAGAGAAGGAAACCATCAGGCTTTGAAGAACTGAGCAGGACAGAGAAAGGGGCTGCCATCAGCTGAGATCAGAGCAGCCCTTTTGGGAACACCCGGGCAGTGCGGAAGGCTGCCAGCCCGGGGCAGAGGGCTGCAGCGCAGGGTCCGAGCGCCGCAGCTGCCCAGCCGAAGGTGCTGGTCTGCAGGGGAAGGTGAGCTACCCTGACTCCAAATGCTCCATGGTGTTTACAGGACTCAAGTCTCATTTTTGCTCTATACAGCAAGTCACAGCCTGTTCATGGTGGGGACGAGTCAGGTAGAGCTGTATCCATTAGTGGGAAGGAGCCATTTACTCTGGCAATTAAGATATCCCAAGGTTCCCCAAATCCTTCCATGCCTGCAAGGTCAGGCTCTCCTGAGAGGGTTCCTCCAGCTTTACCAGAAATGCCCCAGGGGAACAGTGGCTCCTCCAGGTCTGGCCAAAATCAGAAGCTGCAGAGGGCAAAGAAACATTGCCATTTTATAAGAAATAAAAGTTAATTGGACTTTTCTCAGCTTGCTAATGGGTTTGGGCTGTCTGTAAAGCGCAGGATAGTTCTTGCCTTCTCCAAAGAGTACTGTCTGTTCCCAAACCCTGGAGTCAGGGCTGCTGGTGGCAAACCATCACCTCTCCAGGAGAGGGGACCCATGGCTAAACCTGTCAGATACACAGCTCAAGTCTGGAAAGATAAACGGGGAAACCAGGCAATGACTGAGGCAGAACAAGTCAACCTGGGAGGCTGCGCACGGTGGGAGCAGAGAAAAGCAGACAAGCAGTGCAGGATGGTGCTGAGGGAAGGGGAAGACAACCGGTGAAGTGATTTGATCAAGGTCAAGGGAAAGGGGCAGTCAGGCACTCCCAGCTGCCAGATCGGTCTGCTCTCATGCTCCCAGTACCTCCAGATCACACGCAACTTCGTGTCCCCTCTCCTTACCGTATTTATTCCCTGGTTCTGTTTGGGTGGTGGGCACACGGCAGCACGTGCAGGTGCTCGTGGCCATTCCCAATGGCCCAACAGGCCTGGGGCTGAGAATTAATCTGCTGAGTGAGCAGTCGCCTTAGAGACCTTCCCTCGTGCAAGGGGCTGCCCAATTGCCCTTCACACCTCTTTGCTCTCAGCGAAAGCTTTCTAGTCCTGTGAAAAGACTTACTGACCACAGGGTCACCCTCCACACCAGGGATAGGGAGGAAAAGCTCTGAGCCCTCCAGAGATCCCCACCTCTCACCTCACGGTCACTGGTTTTGCTCTGCCACAGCTCCCACACTCACCCCGTGCCTAGTCCTAGCTCTTGCTGCACACTGTCCCTGTCCAAACCTGGCTTCACCATTGCCCTGGGGCTTGTCAGCAGCCCAGAGAGCATCTCTATAGCTCCTGGAACACGGGGTTTCTGCCCAAGATAAGGGACTCCGGTGCCACTCAGACATTTGCCAAGGAAGCCTGTACAGGGACTCTCAGCCCTTCCCCAATGCTCTTGGAGAAACCAGTTTCAGCCACTGGTCCACCCAGATGCAGCAGGCCTGGACGTGGTCCAGGCAGCTCACAACAAATAAATAAATTAAAATAAGCAAGCCCGAGGTCACAAGCTTTGTTTGAAGGTGGCAGCAACGTGCTCCAGAGGCCTGGGTCCTCCTTGATACCTGCTCTGTGTCTGACCTTGGACAAACACCTTCGCCAGCCTGTGCCTCAGTTTCCCCATACATAAAAAAGAGGTGACAACTTTTGCCTTTGCAGTGTTCTGGTAGAAAGACAGCACGTGACTGCAAAAGCTCTTTGCACCCTCACATTTCACAGGGATATCCTTGACCGGACCAACTAAACAGGAGCTACCACAAACTTCCTGAGCTGCTGTGCATGCTCTCCCTAGTACTCCAAATTATTGTTAAGTTTTCGTATTTTCTGGTTCAGGTGTCACCAACTCTGGCTTTCCACAGCATCTCCCAAACTGCAGAGAAGCATGAGACCCCGGTCATGCCTCCCTCACTCCTCACGCCATGCCAGACCCCAGCCGACACGCCCTGGGTGGCACAGTCCCCTTCCCCGGTGCCAGGACCCCACATTGCTGCAGCTGGAGCCCCCTCACAAACCACGGCCCCACTGCCCACCCCACCGCCCCCCTCCCCCCAGCAGCCTGGGGCCTGCAGGACCCCCACCCACCCCAGGGACCCCACCCTGGGACCGGGCCCACTCAGACACCCCGGGGAGGGGGGGTAGTGGGGGGGTGGGCATACCCTTCGTGTCCCCTCCCAGCTGTAGAGCAAGGGGACACACCAGCCCCTCCAGGATCTCCCCCCACCCCAAGGGCCCCCCCCCTCCTCACGCACCACCTTTCTATGACCCCCCAGGCCCTCGACCCACCTCAAGCCCCCCATGGCCCCCCTCAGCCCCTTCCCCGCCGCCCTCAGCCCCCTCGGCAGGCCCCGAGCCACCGGCCCGGCCTCCCCCGCGCCGCACCTCGGCCGGTCCCTCCTCGTCGAGGCCGGCGGAGGTCCAGAGGACGAGCCCCTGGAGCAGGAGGATGGCGAGGGCCGTGGCCACGGCCAGCCGGTAGCGCCGGGCCAGCTTCCGCGCCCGCCCGCTGGCCACCATCGTCACGGCCGCTCCGCCGCGGCAGGGCGCGCGCAGCCTCCCGCGCGCACGCGCCGGCGGGGCCCGGGGGGGGCGGGGCTGGGGGCGGGGCGGGGCGGGGGGCGGGAACGGGGGTGGGTGGGTGCGCGTGTGCGTGGGGGGGGGTGTGTGCACCAGAGTGGGCGTGGGCGTGCCTGAGTGTGGGGTGCGTGTGTGCGCGTGTGGGGTGGGTGCGTGCACATGTGTGTGTGTGCGTGTGTGCACCAGAGTGGGCGTGGGCGTGCCTGAGTGTGGGGTGCGTGTGTGCGCGCGTGGGGTGGGTGCGTGCACAGGTGTGTGTGTGCGTGTGTGCACCAGAGTGGGCGTGGGCGTGCCTGAGTGTGGGGTGCGTGTGTGCGCGTGTGGGGTGGGTGCGTGCACATGTGTGTGTGTGCGTGTGTGCACCAGAGTGGGCGTGGGCGTGCCTGAGTGTGGGGTGTGTGTGTGCGCGCGTGGGGTGGGTGCGTGCACAGGTATGTGTGTGCGTGTGTGCACCAGAGTGGGCGTGGGCGTGCCTGAGTGTGGGGTGCGTGTGTGCGCGCGTGGGGTGGGTGCGTGCACAGGTGTGTGTGTGCGTGTGTGCACCAGAGTGGGCGTGTGCGTGCATGCGTGCACTGGGCTGTGCGTATGTGCACCGGGGGTGTGTGTGTGCGCGTGTGTGTGTGTGTGCGTGTGCGTGTGTGTGCACCGGGGAGTGCGTGTGTGCGTGGAGGGGGGGGTGTGCATGTTGGGGTGTATGTGGGTGTGTGTGTGCACGTGTTTGTGGGTACGTGTGTGTGGGTACATGTGTTTGGGTGTGTGCACGTGGGTGTGTGCACATGCATGTGTGTGCGTGCACCGGAGTGTGCGGGGTGGTGTGTGCATGTGTGTGTGTGTGTGCACCAGTGTGCATCAGTGTACCAGGCTGTGTGTGTGTGTGTGTGTGTGTGTGTGTGTGTGCGCACTGGGCTGTGCCTGTGTGCCTGTGCATGTGTGCACCTGGCTGTGCATGTGTGTGGTTGTGTGTGCAGGCATGTGCTGGGGTATTTGTGTGCACATGCATGTCTATGTAGGCCTGTGTGTGCACGCCTGTGTGCGCTGGGGTGTGTGTATGTTCCAGCACGTGAGTGTCATGTGTGCACGCCTGTGCACATGGGCACCAGGGTGTGCATGTGTAGACACGGGTGTGCATGCATATGCATCTGTGCACTGGGTTGTGTGTGGGTGTGTCTGCGTGCATGCATGCGTCAGTGAGTGTGTGCATGCATATGGTTGTGTGTGCACATACGCGCTGGAGGGTATCAGCTTGATGTACGTGCACGTGTGCACCAGGGTCTGCGCGTGTGCATTGCCGTGTTGGGGTTCAGGTACTTGTGAGCAGCACAGTGTGCGTGAGCTTCTGCTGGTGTGCACCGGGAGGTGTGTGCACACCTGCGTGTGGGTTGTGGGTGTTGTGGGCACTTATATACACGTGCGTGTGTGCGTGGGGGAGTGTATATGAGCACGTTCATGCGTGTGCACTGGGTGTCGGGCTGTGCTCGCACTGGTGAGTGCGTGCTGCCCACGCTCGTGTGAGCACGGGGTGGGGGGGACCACTGGCACGTCCACGCGTGGGAAGGCTCTGGGTGCCTCCCACGGAGGGGCGGGCCCCATCCCACCCGCGGGTCCTGGGCGGTGTGGCCAGGGCCTCCCTCGCTGGCACAGGGCGCTTCTGGGTGCCCAGGGGTGAAGGTCAAGTTGACTGCTGCCACCTCCCCCCCCGACCCCCCCGTCCCCCCCCCCGCATTGTCAGAAGGAGCAGGAAACACCTGCACGAAGGTGTGGGCATGGCGGGGGCATATGCACACAACTGTCCGGCTGCTGAGCTTGCTTTAAGGAAAAAATAAAATAAAATAAAATTTAAAAAAGTAAAATAAAAAAAAATAAAAACTAAAACAATAAAAACAAAGTAAGATAAAATAAATTTAAATAAAAATAAAAAATACAAAAAGTAAAAGAAAATAAGATTAACATAAGATAAAAATTTAAAAATAAAAGTAAAATAAAAGAAAATAAGATTAAAATAAGATAAAATAAAATTTTAAAAAGTAAAATAAAAGATTAAAATAAAATTAAAATAAAATAAAAATGAAAAAATAAAAATAAAGTAAATAAAAAGATTAAAATAAGATAAAATAAAGAATAAAATCCTATAAAATAAAAATAAAGTAAGATAAATAAACCTCCCCATTCTCGTTTCTGCTGCAATAAAACAAAAGACTCAAAACCTCTTTCAGGACGCCCACCCAACACGAAGAGCTCCGGGCGAGCTCCCGGGCTGGCTGCGGGCAGCAGCAGTGCTGGGGGACGGGACGGGGGCTGGGAGGCAGAGCCCTGCCCGTGGCCTCGCTGGCCGCCCCCCCACCCCCCACCCCCCCGAAACAAACCGCTGGCGGGGGGCAGGATTTCGGGAGGGGAAAGAGGAAGCGGTGCCCGGTGGCGATAGCAGCTCCGGGGAGCTCGGTGGCGACCTGTGAGCTGCCTGGCTCCGCAGGCAGAGCGGAGGGAAGGCTGAGGGGTTTGGGGGGACAGGGGTTCGCTCAGAGAGGCTCCCTGGGCTGCAGGAGGGCTCGGTGCGGGCTGCTGAGCTGCAGGGGGGCTCCTCCGTGGACAGGAGCGATTTGGTCCGTGTTTGAAAAGGCCCAGAGCTGCAGGACCATCTCAGCATCTCCGCTGCGGGCAGGAAAAGGCTGGCCAGAGGCAAGGCACAGATAACAAACCGCCAGCCCGCTTCGGGGCAGCCTCGTGTGCCCCGGCCCGAAGCGAGCCCGAGAGCGCGCACAGGCCCAGCTCTGCCTCCGCACCCTCACGGGCGCTTTCACCAATGCACAAGCGAGGCTTAAGCCAGAAAACACATGGCCTGTCATTAAAACGGGCAAAAAAATCCCCTCATCATCCCTCCTCTGCTGGAAGAAGTTTGTTCTTCCAGGTGTTTTTCCCCTTTTCAAGCTCCCCGCCCTGAAAGGCACAAGAGACAAATTGCAGTTTCATGGCGTTTAGAGGCTCTTTGTCAGAAACAAGTCAGAGGTGCTCCCACCACCTCTCGCTTCCCAGTTTACCAGGGAGCACGAGCAGGTTGGGAAGTGGTTGCACAGCCCTGGGGGTACAAGACCTGTGCTCCCCCACACCAGTTTCTTAGCCAGGGTGCCTGCCCTGGTACACATCCCTGGGGAAGGGGGAGCAAGGTGCCTCAAGCACAAGTGCTTTTTGATGGAGAACAGGGAAATGCTCCAAGGAAAACTTGGAGGTGCTCCCCAAATCCAGCACTCCTCCCCAGATTGGCAGGAGCAGGAAGCTGGGTGGACTCCTAGTTTATGGTGGAGAGGGGTAAAGCATGTCACTCCACCCAGCAGCCCCCTGATAATCCCCCCTTCCCTGCGTTTAGACCTGACACTCATGTCATGCTCAGCTTCTTACCAGATTACGACCAAAACCATTCATTAAACTCAGTTATTGCACAGCTTCCCTAGAAAACCCCCGGCCACAGCACCCCGTGCTCTAGTGAGGGCTCAGTGCTTGGCTGCTCTCATGGTCACCCTTTCCTTAAAACCTTGCTGCAGCAGGAGTAGAACAAAACCTTCTTGGATCATCATATCTGCTCATCTCTCCCTATGTGTTAATTGGGGGTTGCAGGCTACAGTAATTCATTAATGAGCCAGGCAGCAGGGACTCCCCTAACTCTGTCCTGCTGGGGTTTGTCTTTTTCCTCAGCTTCTCCCGGTCTCCCCGTTTGCCCAGGAACCGTTCTTCTCTCCAGCAAGGCTCAACTGCTGCTTCTGCCTCTCTGCCTTCCCTCCCTGGCCAGAAGAAGGCTTTTCTCTGATGTGAGTGCCCTGGAGTATTAGCAAATTTTGTTATAGAGTATATATGTGTTACAGCAAAAATTATTCCAGAAGTCACCCCCTTTGAATTATAAAATATAGGTGCTCTAAAAATGAATTTCCAGAATACCCCTGTCCTGCTGAGGACCTTCCCGCATCCATCCCCCCCGCCGTCCCTCCTCGCCCAGGCTCTGCCTCGCAGCTCCCCAGAAGCCGCAGCCCAGGGCTGGGATCTGCCTGGAGGAGGTGGTGGAGAAGCAGCTCTTGGTGCTTCCAGAAAAATCACCGTTCCCTTTCGGGAAGGGGCAAGTTCTACAGGAAGGCTTGTGCACAGGATGGGACATCTCCACTTCCAGTTGACTCCGGCAGCCAGAGCTCAGAAATCATGATTCTGGGGCAGAGCTGGTGGCACAGCGTAAATCAGCATCCCTGCCCCTGAAACCAGCCCGGCTGCGCGGAGCTACAGCGCCCAAATTCCCGTGGCAAGGGAAAACTCACCTCTCTGGGCAAAACTACTTGGATGGGCCCATGTGTGTGTGGAAGAGCTCAGATTTTCTGCTTCCAGGCCTTTTACCATCGGGAGTCAGCCCTTCCAATGCTGAAAGCACGGAGGTTTCACCTGCCGGGCGTTATTTCTCTCTTCTAGGCAGCTGCCCTGAAATGCCACCAAAGCTGGAGAAAAGGCAAACTTCTTATGCTCTTAAAGTTACCTGAAAAAGCTTGAAAGTCTTCAGCTATTAAAACTTTGGTGCTGAACACCCCACCTTTGCAAGCCCCGAGAATCTCACACCCTCTGCCCCCCTGCAAACCCCCATCACACAGCCAATGGCGATTTCTGCCTTAGCACTGTGGCAAAAGCTTTAATTTAAGCAAGCCATTTAGTTATTTTTTTAAAGCATCAAAACTACCTCCAGATATGGAATAATGGGACCCGGTTACCTAAAAAATCCAACTGATTCCTCCTCCTGACCCCTTCAGAGAAGGTGTGTTATTAACTCCAGTAATAAATGGGGGGAGCAGGAGGAGCAATATGAGATTTTCTTTTTTTTTACCCAGTTCCACATTAAATTTGTGCAGAAGAAGTTTGCCCGCATGGGTGCGTAGGGGTTTGCTTTCCCTTTCTTCCCAGAAATGGCTGGAACCTGGTTGGATCCTCATTTTCATTACAAACTGCAGTGATGCTTGTCTGCACCGTCGCTGTTTGTTCCCTGTGTGCTCCCTTCTCCAAAGTCCAGCCTCGTGCAGCGTGGGAAGGAGGGATCCCACCTCCTGACCGAACGCATGAGGAATTTTGCTTATATAGGAAGATAAACTTATATAGCAATAACCTATAGGAATAACCACAACTGTTATACCACTGATATTTACTTCCAGCTGCCTTTGGTTTTGTCGGAGCAGGGATGCTCCACACAGCTTCTCGAATAAAATAATTACATAAATACTGGAACAAAGCCTTGCAGCCGTTAGCAAAGTTTACAAATTCTCTCCAAATGAAGCCTTGAAATACACCTGACTCAGCCTCACATACAGATGCCCACCTCCGTGACCTGTTTTTCGGGGGAGTGGGTTGTCAGGATGGATGGATTGCCTGGCGCTGGGCAGGATCAGCGCGAATACGTGTGGAAGAGGGCACACAGCGGGCAAGAGCGTGCCCAAAGCGCAGCCCCAGGGCACGTCCCACAGCAGCTGGAGGCGGGCTGTGGGTTCGTGCTGGAGCAGCAGAGTCCTTGTCCTTAAAGATCTCGGTTCCTACGCTGCTGGAGTCCTCCTGGAGCACCAGCGAGGGGCCGGACCCGCTTTTGGGAAGACAATCTGCAATAAACCCTTTAGCGAGTTGAAAAACTGCCGTACAAATACAGACAAATACTGTGCTAGATGCTATCAGATGCCCAGCTGCTGTCACTGATAAAGGAGCGATACTTTACAGAGAAGAACATATTTAGTGGGTGCCAGAAAATAAATTATCAGCAAAGCAGAGAAGAGCAGGGTCACGATTATAGCTCGTCCATGTGCCCCCTGCCCAGGGGTCCTTGGGGGTGGTGGGGGAGAGAGAGCAGGAGCAAACCTCCTTGGGGGCTGTGGGACCAGGGGTTTGGGGGAGACGCTTCCCAGATGCCGTGCCGGAGGGACAGGAGCACCTCTGCTATCTCCTCTGCACCAAGACCCTAATGCACTGCACCCTCCACCTGAGCCCCCTAATATTTGGATATAACAAATGCATTTGGATATAACATTTCTTGCTGTCCTGCTTCCCAGGAGCTGCCAGCTCTGCCTGGCATTGGCATGAAATGATCAGTCTGAGGCAACCAGTGGGTTTGGGAGCTTCAGCCCACGTGAATAACACAGCCAAAGGGGCGAGCAGGGCGGGTGCTGGGTGCAGGGAGCCAGGCAGCCCACCCGCAACCCCCAGCCCAACCTCGCCTCCCATCGCCGGGCTCTTCCCCACCCTGCCTGGCTGGTCTGTGGCCTGGGAATACCCCAATGCAAGGGGCAGTTTTTTATTCCCAGCACCACTGCTGTACGGGTGAGGTCTCCAAATGCAGAGGCATGATTTCATCCCCAGCCTGCCCCACACCTCCTGCTCAAGCTTGTCCTCTTCGAGGTTGCTCCAAGGAGATGTCCAAGCCCGGGAGAGCAGCAGGTCCGCTGTCAAGCCAGCCGTGTCCCGCTGGTAGTGCCGGCAGCAGGAGTGGCCGGCGGGGCCGGGTGCCAGCTCACACCCTCCGCGCTGCAGCTGACGGCACATTAGCGTAGATCTCCTGCTGCTCCGGCGGGGAATGCTGCACGGTGGTACATGTAGCCTCTTTTTTCTCTTCCAAACACTGGGAAAGGAGAGGGATAAATAAAAAAAAATCCTTCGCTGGGCTGCTCCAGGGCAACATCATTTGCTGGAACCTCTCCCGGTTGCTTTAAGCATCCAGGAGTAGCCGTGGGGACTGGAGAGGGCACCCACATCATCCAGGGTCGTTTGCACCCCAGCTTTGCATGTCCCTTTGCAGCCTCCTTCCCTACCCACCCAACCCACCCTGCTGCCCATGCTGTCGCCCACCCATCCCAGATTTCCACCCACCGCCTCAAGCTCAGCGTGGCTTTGCATTCTCTTACCTTATCACTCTGCTTGACCTCCATGTATTCGCTCGTGGTGTTTGCCAAGCAGTGGAAAGCCTGGGTGTTGCTGTACAACTGGCTCTCGGCTGTGTGCATGGGGTGGTTGATCTCTGCGTAGTTCAAGGCATCGGCCTCCTGACACAGGGGGGAGAAGGCTGAGCTCTAACCTTCTGCTGCTCCCCTGCCTGCAGCCCCCAGGGGTGGGAAAAACCTCCTGTCCTGCTGCCTTTCCTGATGAAAGCTGAGACGGCTGCAGGAGCACTGGGGGGAAAATTTAACCTGCAGCAAGGACCAGCCCAACGTTCCCCAAGGGAAATCTGGTTAGTGACACCGCCCCTCCCCAAAAGTTGGCAGAAAACATTAAAAAACACTTCCCAAGCAGTGACCAAAGATCAGCTGCCCCACAGCCTCCTCAGGTGTGCCTTGCTGCAGGCTCCCAAGGCTGTTTCACCCAGAGAAGCAGCTCCCATGCTTGGAGGGGCTTGAGGGGAAACCTCTCAGCTCAGTCCTAAATTCCCTTCCCAGGAATACTCTGAGACAGTCACACAAAATCCCTGGTCAGGTCTTTCTGTTGCCAAACAGAGCCTGAAGGATCCCTCCCAGCCTAAAGGGCTGTGAACCTGGCTGGAAGCAAACGGCTCTGGCAGCTCATTTGCTCAGCTCAGTGTAAGGTTTCCCCTCTCCAGGCGAGCTCGGAGCATGCTGTCCCAAGACCTCATTGCAGTTTGCCATACCATGTGTGATGCGCCGTGAGTCCTGTCCATCTCTACAGCTGCTCCGGAGAGAGCTGGATGAAGCACTGATGTGGTCAGACACAAGTGAAACCAGAGGAAAAGAAATGTATTAAGAAACTGCACTGCCACTGCGAATCTCATCGTAAAGCAGGAAGGGAACCCACTGCCCCATCAACCAGCTAAACCGGAGCAGTTCTTCAAATAAAATCACACCCCACCTGCCAGCTGGTGACATCCCCTCCTGTCCCCCCTGTCCTTCGCACTGGCCTTAAACTTTGCATCAAGCCTAGTGCAAGCCTGGCCTACCCAACCGAGCATGTCTGGAGGAGCTGATGGTGCCCAGACAAACTCAAGCAGATGCCGTGCCGGGCAGCACCCATCCTGAGAGCTGCCATTCCCCGCTCCCGTGGGGATGAGACCTGTGGGATGGTCTCACTGCTCCCCTGGGGGAAGGAGACCTCCTTGGTGGAGGTCTCAGTGATGGACACAGGAATTGGATGGATCAGGAAGGGAATGGAGGAGAGAAAAGAAATATAGATTCAAAAATCAAATATAGCAGAAGACAGGCTCTGGTGCAGAAACTGCGTGTGTGTGGCAGTAACAGCTTCGCTTACCCTTCTTCCTCTTTCTGGACAGTATTACTAAAATGCCAGCAGCAACTGCAAGCAAAAGAAGAACCACTACGATGCCTGGAGTGAGGATGTGCTCAACCACGTCCAAGCTGCAAGAAAAAAAGTATCTGTTCTCACGCTTCTCCTCGGAAGCAGCCTTGGGAGGAACCAGCACGGAGCAGGCAGAGAGTGGCTGTGGGCGACGGGGCTTGCCTGGGGAGGAAGCGAAGCAGGCGTGGGGGTGCTCCGGCTGCACGCTGGGCATGGAGCAAAGCAAACTGAAAACTGCATAAGCAAACGGACACTCATGTCTGAGAGCTGCTGTGTCTTCACTATTTTAAAGGATCAGTTCCTGCACTTAATTTTGCTCTGGTTTAGCTCCACTATCTGTTGACCTTGTTGTAACAAGCAACCAGGCAAGGCCGGTGTGCCAACTACCCCCTGGGCATGCTGATGGGAAGTCTCAGCTCTGCCCACTCCCTGCATCACCTGCAAGAGGCAGGAGAGGAGGGAGAAAGCTCCACTGCTCTGCTCTCATGCTTTGTCCACTGTCTCTGCCAGGCTGCATGTGACTACAAAGCAGAACAGGATCCAGCTCAGTACTTCGTTTCCCACAAGCAAACGGTCCCTCTGAGTTTTGGGGAAGGAAACGGAGTCAGTGTTGCAGAGAGAAACCATTCTCACATGGTGATGACCCGCACTTTGCTTAAGCTGCAAGACAGAGAGAGAACACACAGGGCTTTGCCAGGGCCAAGCGACCGGGGGCACTAGGATTATTTTCCATGTGGAGCAGCTGGCTGAGAGGATGAAATGCTGGTCTCTAAAGGCAAAAGCAGGAGGTCTGAATCCTCAAGAGATGCGGGAAGAGCCCAGAGGGCTGCAGGGCTCCAGCTGCACCAGAGACCTCATGGAGGGAGGCAGCCATTGCGAGCAGGAGCTGGTACTCACGGCGGAGGGCTGGAGCCTTTGTGGTGGAAGATATTTGATGTCGGTTGCACAGCTTTCCCCTCGGGAGTTGTCTGTGTGGGGACTGATACAGAGCTAATAAGATAGGGGTGCTTGGTGGGAGGGGTGCGGGGTGATGCCAGGGAGGAGGATGAAGAAGCTGTAACAAAAAGAGGAGAGGTTTGGTCGGTCTCCCTATCTCCGTGGGGGAAAATGCTATGGGTTTTGCAGTGAGCCAGAAGTGACCCACTTACTGTCACACCAGGAGAAGCTGGGTCCCCTCTGCCGCATCCAGAACACGTTCCTCGAGGTGGGAGAGCTGTAATCCCCTGCCCAGGAGACTCTTTGCGGTCCCAGTCCCCCCCAAAACGCACACATGCACATGTGCAGGCAGCAGAGTTCACCCTGCACCCCACGCCCAGCCTGGTGCTAACACAACAGCCCCACGCGAGTGTCCCACCATGGGGACTGGTCCCTGGTGAGGGGACGGAGAGGGACATTCCCTGAGCCCAGGGCCTGGTGCCCATGGGCACTGGCTGTCCCACAGCAGGACACGAGGTGGCAGAGGGGGGTGAGGAACTCCTTGGTGTTATAAAATAAGGCAAGGAGAGAACAGACACAGCCAGCAGGATCTGATGAGAGAGGAAAACGGGGCACAGAGAGCAGGGTGCTGCACCACAGCAATGGAGGTGGCTGACTCTGGGGTGCCGAGAAGGGGCTGTGGTGAGACCTTGGCACGGGGAATGGGTGAAGGTGGCACCCGCCACGGCGGCCACCTGCCGAGCCCTGGTGACACACCCCAGGGCTGCCCCACGTGGCGTGGGCACCCACCCCCGCCAGGCCACCCCTCACTGCAGCCTCCGCTCCCAGTACGTGGGAGGGGGACGCACCAACCCCGGACCCGGGGGACCCACAAGTACTGACCTGAGGCCACGATCACCTCCACAGGGACACGCTCATCAAACCAGAATCTGTTCGTTCGCACCCCACAGAGGTAGGTGCCCTCATCCCTCTTGGTCAGGTTCTCTATGGTCACCGTGAACACCTGCCGTGCGCGATTGTCCTGGATGGAGACTCGGCCCTGCTGCACCACGGGCTGCAGCTCAGAGGTGATGACGATGTCATCAGAACAGGTGAAAATTTGTCCCGAAGAGCACCAGAATTTTGGCTTCATCTCCTGGCCAGCCTTGTACGTGCAGTTCACCGAGATGGTTGTCCCCCGGAATCCCCGTACGGAGCCGGGCCCCCTCACCACCGCCCAGCAGCCTGCAGAGACACAGGAAGCCGTGGGAGTGCTGCCGCCGCCGTGCCCGCCCGTCGGGGCTTGAGCCCCCCCCGGAGCCTCTCCGGGATTCGGGGCTCCGGTTCGGCCCCTTACCTGGCAGCAGCGCCCAGACAAACAGCGGTGGGAGCTGCATGGCCGCTCCGGGACGATGGGGCTCGGTGTCCCGCCGCTCCCGGTTCCTCTCCGCGGGGCCCGCCCCACCCTCGCAACGCTGCCCGCCCCGTCGAGGCGGAGCGCCGGGACTCCCGGGGCTGCCTGAGCGCGGAAACCGTCGGAGAGAAGAAACGGAGGCACGGGGCAGAGGCGGAGAAGCTTTATTGCAGCCGCGGGAAGAGCCCGGCGGGGCCGTGGTGCTGCCCCCCAACCCTCCCGCGCTGTCCCGGGGCGGAGCGGCGGCGGCCCCGGGGACCCCGCCGGGGGCTCAGCCCCGCAGGCTGACCCAGAGCACGACTCCGCTCATGGGGAGCAGCACCAGCAGCTGCAGCCCGGCCAGCACCGGGAAGTAACGGAAGGAGCGGGGGCTCTCCTGTGGAGCATCCGTGCCCGTGGTGGGCGGCTGGGGGGTGGTCGGAGGGAGGGTGGGGGCTGGGATGTGCATCGAAGCTGCAAATGCAAAGAGGGACAGATGAAGTGGGAGCCTGCCAGACACTGAGCCACCCTTGTCCCCCTCCATCCTCCCCCCCAGCCGGGTACCATCTCCTCCCCCAGTCTCGCCCCAGCCCCACAGCGTGGTGGTCGCTGGTGCTGTGCAGGAGGAGTGATGTGCAGGGACTGACCTGAGGCCACGATCACCTCCACAGGGACATGCTCATCAAACCAGATTTTGTTCGTTCGCACCCCACAGAGGTAGATGCCCGCGTCCCTCTTGGTCAGGTTCTCTATGGTCACCGTGAACACCCGCCGTGCGCGATTGTCCTGGATGGAGACTCGGCCCTGCCGCACCACAGGCTGCAGCTTAGAGGTGATGACGATGTCATCAGAACAGGTGAAAATTGTTGCCGGAGAGCACCAGAATTTTGGCTTCTTCTCCTGGCCAGCCTTGTACATGAAGTTCACCGAGATGGTTGTCCCCTGGAATCCCAGTATGGAGCCGGGCCCGTTCACGACTGCCCAGCAGCCTGCGGAGACACAGGGAGCCTCAGGAGAGCTGCTTCCACTGTACCGACACCTCCTGCCCCATGGGGCCGGTCCATTGTGGGGCTTGAGCCCCTGGGGTGGGGGCCCCTCAGCCCTACCTGGCAGCAGCACCCAGGCGATCAGCAGCAGGAGCTGCATGGGCAGGCTGGTTTGAGCCATGCAGCCGGGCAATCCTCCTGTCCCTCGCGCTCCTTGTTCGTTTTGTCTCTGGGGCTTTGCTTCCTCTTCTGCCTGGGGTACCAAGCCTGTTGCTGCTGGACGTTTAGCAAAGGCGTTGAGGTTTCTTGTTTCCTCTGATCTCAGATGATTTCCTGCCTCCCCTGTAACTGGGAGCACTGCCAAGCACTGTCCCCTCAGCCCTGCCACCCCACTCCTGCCCATCCTCCTGCCCCTTCCCCCAGGGCTTCCCTTTCTGCCCCCAGCACAGCCCCCATGGTGGGGTGCAGTCCCACCTCTTCCTGCCTCCCTGCTCAGCCTCTCTGGCCAGGCAGGGCACCCAACGGGGGATCTGCCTCTCGAGGGGTGGCTCAGCCCTGCCCAAGGACCCTCTGAGCCCCAAACATGCCCCCAGGCTGGGGGCAGTACATCTGCAGGGGGAAATGCAAAGGGAGAGCCCCTGCCGCCTGTCCCTGTCTAGCTGGATGTGAACACTCATCCCTGCTGCCCTGGCCACCATGTCCCCCCAGGCTGTCCCCACCTCTCTGCAGCTCACTAGCCCCATGCCCAGGGCTCTCCAGGTTTCCCCCGTGTCCCCATCCCTTGTCCCCTGGAAAAAACAGTTCCTCCTAGTGTCCTTCCTCCCAACCATCAGCAATTCGCTGAGCTTGCACTGGGCTGGGAAAACCCTTTGTAAGAAGCTCCCAGAGGTGAAGGAGGGTTTGGGGACAGGCAGACAAACACAGTCCGAGCACAGGGACCAGGCCAGTGCTGGGTGTCACAGGGTCTTTCTCCTACAGCCATGGGCTGGTCCCAGCTTGGACCAAAGCCTCACACTGCCGGTACCATCACAAAAGAGAAAGCGAGGAGACAGATTTATTGCCAGCCAGTTTAGCGGTGCTGGGAGTGTTCCTTGGTGGAGACACAACTGAGCTGTCACTGTCCCCGACTTGTGCCTGGCCCTGAACCCTGGCCGCTGACAGTGGCTCTCTGCAGACAAAGGGTCCGTGCTCTGAGCATCACCCAGGCCAGGCTCTGGGCTGCCGAGGCTCCCTGTGAAGTTACTCCTGGGTCCCTTCCCCTGCAGGGAACAACCTGGGAGCCCTGCGGTTCCCTGTGGCTCTGCCTTGGAGCTGCCACCTTCATCCTCTCCGCACACGGTGGCTCTGGGACAGGGCTGTCCCCACCTGACAGTGCCAGGACCTGTCCCTGGATGGATCACTCCCAGGACAGGGAGGGGCAGGGGGTCTCACTCCCTTCCTCGGTCCCCCCATCCCAGAGCTTCCCATCTGTTCACCCAGGAGGTGGCACCAGCCCTTCAGGAAGACAAGGCTCTTCAAACCCACCATAAACAAGGAGCTGGGACCCCAGTGGGTGGGAGCACAGCCCTGGACCCTACGCTGCCGGCGGGGTCCCAGCACCAACCCAGCAGGAGCAGGCAGCGGAGCAGCAGGGACAGAGAGGAGCAGGGCCCATGGCCGGACTCCCCAGCTCGCTTCCTCCTGGGCAGCCAAACAGAGAGGGACCTGCGGAATATCCAGACTTTATTTCAAAATTGTCTTTAGCTGGCAGATCCAGCTCAGCAGATGCAGGCTCTCTGTGCCCCAAACCCTCCCCTCTCCAGCCCAGGGGCTTCCAGGAGGGGCTGAGGCTTCACAGGGGGAGAAGCACCCAGAGCTGAGCAGCTCCTGGTGTGGGGCGGCCGTGATGGGGGGCACAGCACCAGCAGGGTGGGGGGTAAGGGAACAGGAGGGCGTCCCTGTGGCTCCGAGGTGGTCCGGGCGGGTGGGCAGCCCGGTGCCCTGGTGCTGTCAGTTGACTCAAATTCCTGCAAATTTTCCCGGTTGCGGATCCTGCGCCTGCTTCTCACCCAGGCGGCCCAGCACGCCAGGGCCAGTGCCACGGCCACCTTCACACTGAGGAAGAGCAGCAGGAGGGTGACACCAAACTGGGACCTGTGCAGGATCAAGGAGATAATGCTAGAGCCTGAGTAGGGTCTGGGCAATGAGGATGGGGGTTAGGGCACTTGTCTGACTGCCAGCTGCCCCACTTGCCCCTAGGATGCTCCTTGGGGCTGCTGCAAGTGGGGGGACCCGGGTCTGGGGGATGCATGCAGGGGGAAAGGTGTTTTAGGCCAGGGGATGCTGGTGGGGGCTCTCCCAGACCCCAAGCCCTGACTCACAGTGCTGGAAGCTCCCCACAGCCTGTGGGGCACAGGAAGTTGGTGGCCAACGGGTTCATGTCACTGCCCTTGGTTGTGGTTGAAACAACTGTGAAGAAAACACGGAGAGTCAGATCAAAGTGGAGATGCCCCCCCACCCCGTCCTGCCCCCTGCACAAGAGGTCTCTGTCCTGACATTTTGGCCATGGAGGTGCAGGAGGTGGAAATGAAGGTCTCCAGCCAATGCACTGGACGCTGAGGAGGAGGAAGAGAAAGGAGGGTTTTACTGGGAGGGACTGGGAACCCCAAAGGACAGGCTTGTGGAAGTAGAAATGCTGAACAGGAGCGTGGGAAAGGCGCTGCTCCGCATGAAGCTCCGTACAGCCTCCTCCGTCCCTCAGCCAAATTTGCACTGGGGCAGCCTCCAGTGGGTCCTGGTGCCTGCAAGGACCTTGTTCTCGCTTTGACAGCCCCTGTGTTCCCCTGGCTGGGGAGGCCCTGTCCCCAGCGCTGTGACCCAAGTGACAGGCTCCATCGCATGCCCCTGCTTTGCTCCCAGCCCAGCTTTACCTGCAGACACTGTCACCTCGGTGTCATGCCACATGTTGAACAACACTCTCCTCTTCAACCCGCAGGAATACCAGCCTGCATCCCGTGGTGTGACACCGCCCAGCGTCACCGTGAACGAACGCGCTGTGTGGTTGTCGCTGATGGACACCCTGCCCTGTGTCACTGTCACCTCCGAGCCGTTGGTTTGGGCGATGTAGGTGAAGCAAAACCAGAGGAAGCTTGGGCGGCACCAGTACTTGGTGTAGAGCTTGTAGCCTGGCTCGTAGCTGCAGGACACTGCCAGCGAGCCGCCCTGCTCGGCTGCCACCTGCACGGGGCCCGTCACCGCCCAGCCGCCTGCGGGGGACAGGGAGAGGGGCTGCAAGCACGTTCCCTGGCATTGCCTTGGGGAACCAGGAGGGATCTGAGCCTGGGATGTTCTGGGGCACCTTGTCCCCAGGGAGGCTGTGTCCATGCACCCACTGTGCCGGGGAGCAGTGCTGAGGTGTCCCCAGTCATTAAAAAAAAAAGCCCCTGTCAAGCGCGCATGTTATTAAATGAGCAAAAAGCCTTGTTAACAGGGTTCATGTGACAGCAATACAAGCATATCTCAGAGATCATCCCCTGTAGCCATCCACTGGCCACAAGAAAAGTATCAGCTGGGCTCTCGCTGTGACCACAGTGGACTTCCTGGGCTGGCTTGGTCCCAGCCTCTCCACAGTTCTGCCAGAGCCCATGGGGTGGGAACTTACTGACCTGTGCTCCTGGGTCTCACCTGGGAAAAGGGTCCAAACCAGGAAAATCCTCATTTTCCAGCTTCTCACTCCCAATGTGGATTTTTCGGTGGTTATTCACGAAGCACCTGGAGGGACGGAGCCAGGCTCATATGAACGCTGGCATGCCAGGAGTTTCCCAAGTCTCCTTCTCCCGTCACTTCCTTGGGCAGTATTTACTCACAGACCCTGGATGTCTTTTTTAAAGGCGGTTGCTTCCTCCCCTTTGCCCAAGCACCATGACTCACCCTGGGGGAGTCTCATGAAAAAGACTTTCTGCTTTTGTTCTGAAACAATCACTGGTTCCCAGCAAAACACCAAAATGCAGCAGGTTCCTCCGCTGCGATACCTGTCCCAGTGGTGAATGCAGCTCCTTCCCCGTACACAGAGCCCAAAGGGCTTTGGGGGGCTTTTTTGGGGGGCCAGGCCAGAGCAGGGGTCCGGGGACTGGGGTGAAGCGAATGCAGGGCAGCCCCTGTGGATGGGACCATTGGGATGCTCTGCCAGTCCTGATAGACTGGGATGATGGACTGGGATGATGGGCAGCCATCCCCACGGCACTGCCACTCCCCAGCTCCCGAGCTGGCTGCCAGTGCGAGCTGGGCTGCTTCTGTTTGTTTTCTCAAGCAGAAGTGTCTCATTTCCCCCCAAAACTGCCTTTTTTGGCACAACCGTGGGTTTTGAATGACAACACTGTTTTTCTCCTGAAATGAAATGTTTCCACCGAACGTTTCAGAAACCCAAACACAAGAAGTAAAACCGCTTCCCTGGCAGCTGCCTTGTGGATGTCTTTGGTCCTCGATGCCCCTTGGAAAGAGCAGAAAGCACAAACCCTCAGCACTGCAGGAGGCTGAGGCTGCTCCTTCCCCCCATTCCATCCCCTCCCTGTCCCCCCACCATGGAAAGAGAAAGCTCTGGGTTCTCCTTCTGATCATTAAATAACCCTACTCATTCCCAGAAAACTGGGTGAGCTGAGTCGCTGCAAATAGCAGCAAGATCTAAATTAAAGAAGTGACTGGAGATTGCAAACCTGCTTTCTGCTGATAAGCCTTCCTGGAAAAGTTGGGCAGCCAGGCTCCAGCTGCTTCCCCAGCCACTCTCATCTTCCTTGCTTGGAGTATCGGTTCCCATTGTCCCCTCTGAACACAGCCCCAGCAGTACTGGGATGCCCCAGAGACCCTCAAAGGGGAGAGCAGCAGCAGAGCAGCAACATGAGTGCACAAGATTGTCCCCTCTCCCCTCCAGACCAAGCTCCCGCAGAAGAATTTCTTTATTGGATTTATGTGAACCCAAAGCAATCTGTTTGCTGCTGAGCCAGGAAAACATCCCACTCCTCAGCCTGTGCAGGAATCAGGAATGTGGTTTCTTGCCAGCTGAGAGCCGTGGGTCAATCTGCTAATGCAACGCAGGGGTGGGGGGATTTCGGGGTCCCACAGGCCGGGGGACAGTGCCAGCATGTCTTTGGGCTCCAGCATCATGGGCAGAGGATGTCCCATCGCTGAGACGCCGCAGTGATGGGAGAGCAGCAGCCGCCTCCTGCAACGCTTCTTTGCCTCCTCTGCCACAGCAAGGATGTCCCCGGGGCTGACCATGAGGACATCCTTGGGGGTGGCCCCGCAGGGACCCTCTGCCCATGAGGGATGCTCTGCTAGGATAAGTAGGAAACCTCTTCTCCCACAATATGTCGGCCAGGCGTCCCCGTCACCTCCTCCTGGCACAAGGTGTTTGTGTAGAGATCATCATCCCCCAGCTTGGGGTCCTGCTTTGTGTCACTGTGACCACCACGGTGAGGGAGGGGACAGCGTGACCCCGCAGCCCTGGGGCTGTGCCCAGGTTGCCCAGGGCGAGCAGCCACGCTGCCTGCACTGCCCACGCTGCCCGCACCAGGGGCCTCACCTCTGCCAGGTCCAGCTCGTTGTCATAGATGGGGCCCTGCTCCGGCTTCGTGGCAATGCCTGGCTCACAGCGGGGGACAGAGGGGGCTTTGGTGCGAGGGGGCAGCATGCCAGAAAGAAGAGACATGCGGGGAGGTCTCCTGGGTGTCTGGGAGAGGGGAGCTCCACACAGCCCTGTGCCCAGGGTGGGTTTGTCCCCCAGGTCCTGGGATGGGCACGGGTGTGTGCCTGGGATGGGGCACGCGTGGGTACTGTTACCTTTCCTTCTCCTGCGCAGGGTGCAGAGGAGCCCAGCGGAGCCGGTGGCAGCCAGGAGGGAGAGCAGGACCACGCTGGGCACCAGGGCACTCCAGGATGTGCCCCCCAGGCTGGAGGTGAGGGAAGAGGTGCGAGGCTCATTCTCTTCCTCCCAAGACTGGCTCTTTGCTTCTGCAGTGCCCTGCGTGCCCATGCCCTCCCTCAGCCCCTCCGCAGCCAGCCGTGGGGCAGGACACAAAGCAGGGACAACAGCCTGGGACCCCACCGCATCACCCCCCAAATACCCAGGTTGGTAGATGAAGACCCTGCGTGTCCCTGTGAGCCCCTTCACACAGGGATACCTACTGCTGCCCACAGTGACAAGAGCCCCTGCCCTTCCCTGAGCCCACCCTGGGCCCCGGGCTCACCCCACGGTGGTGGCATTGGTGTGGAGGGGATGCTCCGTCACACTGGTGAGGATCCAGGGGGTGGGGGTGGCTGGGGGAGACGCCAGGTTAGATGACACAGCTGCATAAACAAAGGTCCTGGTGGGAACTGGGGGCTGGAGGAGACCATGGGTCCCCCACATCTCCTCCAGCAGCAGGCAAACACTCATCCATGTCCCCTCCAGCACGTCCCCTACCAGCATCTTTGTGGACGCACCCTTCCTCCCCCCTTCCTCCCTCCTGCCTCCCTCCTGCCTCCCTCCTGCCTCTTTGGGCCACATCTCCCATAGCGAGCCAGCTCCCTGCCCACCAAGAACCAGAAGTTTCCCCAAGGCTGATGGGGCTGGATCCACACCCTTTTCTTTTTCTAGAAACTCAGTGTTACACCATTTGGCGGTCAGACGGGGGGTTGGGAGGCCCTCCCCGGCCCCGGCGCTGAGGCTCAGCGTTCGCTGCCACATGTAGCCGGTGGCTCCGCCATCCTGCCTGCTCAGTGGTGAGTGCTGGGAGCCCCAAAACCAACCCGGGGCTGAACCCTGCCTTGGGCTCCAGCACGCTCTGCTTGCATCTGCGAGCATCCTCAAGAAAAAGCAACCTGTCACCCCTCCTAACCTCTGCCACTGGTTTATACTGGGTCCCAGGGGCTCTATCCTGCATCGCTGCCTCCTCCCAGGTCACTGTTGGCCCACAAGATAATAGCCTCTCCAAAGAAAGGGTCCTGACCAGCAAAACCTCCATCCAGTGGGACATCAGGGCTTACCTGGGAGCACTCTCACTGTCACCAGCTCCATCAGATCCCTGCCCATCTTCTCGACCCCACACCAGTAAATCCCAGCGTCCACCTCCGAGAGGTTCTTCACAGTGAGCAGCACCACACAGAAGATGTGTCTGTCCTGGATGGAGACCCGGCCGCTCTGCTGGGGCACTTCCCTGCCCGCCGTCTCCACCACCTTGAGGCAGGAGTCCCGGCTGTCCCCCCGGCACCAGTACTTGTTGTAGCCCTCATAGCCACGGGGGTACCAGCAGCGGAGCGAAAGCGTCCCCCCTGCCCGGCCGCTGACCTCCCTGGGGACAACCAGAGCCTGGCAAACTGCAAAGAAACCCACAGCGACACTGGAGAGAAACAGGGCTGCAAAGTCAGCATTCCCCTGAGCTCCTCCTCAGCTCCCTTTGGAAAGAAGCACTTTGGAGGAGAACCCATCTGCCAGCTTTTAGCCCCGGACATGAGGCCACGGTGAGTTTCAGCTCTGTCAGTGGCCGATGTGGAGCCTGTGACCCTGGTGGGGCTCAGCAGCCCCGGCCCCTCGGTGCCACCAGTGTCACTGGCACTGTTGGAGCCTGTCCTCACCTGGGAGAAGGAGCCAGCCCCAGCCCGGTGATATCCCCATGGTCCTGCTTTGCTCTGGAGATCCACAAGCATCAGCCTCCCGTGCAGGGCAGTGAGCTGAGGGATGCTGAGCTCCTGTGTGGTCTTGGCTTCTTTCGCTGCTTTTTTGCTCACGCAAGAGGCGGCAGCGAAGCGCGCTGCTCTGCCGTAGGGTTATTTTTATCCAGCTGGGCTTCGCCTCAGGGCTGGGGGTTTTCTGCAGCAGGTGAAAAGCTGCTGAGATGCTTTTTGCAGACTGGCACATCTGAACTGCAAAGGGGAGGGTGGGCAGCTTCAGAAATGGGACACAGGACCCTGCACATCCCACTTAGCAGGGGCGTGTAGGAGCAGAGGGGTCTTCACCCCAAACAGCTGCCACAGAGAAACGCTGGAGCACATGAGCTGAGCAGAGCTTCTAACACCAAAATGGGGCAAAACCAGCACTGGAGCTTTAATCTTTGTTCAATCTTTGCAGAGACCACCTCACATTCCTGGAGGTGCTGGATGCCTGGTGCTCCCCCTCAGCTGGGCTGAGGAGTGATGGTGGGGTGGGTGCAGCCTCCCGGGAGCCCGGAAGGTGTCAGCTCAGCCTCTCAGCATTTGGGCTGAGAGGGACATACCAGAACCTGCCAGCTTTTGGGGGTGTGGGTGCCTGGCCCCAGCTCTGGGCTCTGCTGGGGTCTGAATCACCGAGCTGGTCTGGGGGGAAGGGGGAGATGTGAGAGACATGGAGAGGGGGATGCGAGGGTGATCTAGACATCAGCTGAGGGCTGTGGCTGGGTACCTGGGGGTTGGCTCTGCCAGTGGTACTTGCTGGGACAGAGTGGTTGGGATGATGTGGGGCTTCCTCCTCCTCCTCCTCTGGTGTTTTCATCCCAGGTATGACCATGCTGGGGCTCAGGGGAAAACTGGGAGCATGGCTGCATCACTGGAACTGGTCCAGAGAGTGGCTCCCCCCTTGCTCCTGCTCCTTGCTCCCTTCAGCACCGAAGATTCTTGCAGATGACAAGGTTTAGGTTGCCCTCAGGAGCAAGTGGCGCCCAGAGGAGCTCCCCTGGCCTGTGGTGGGGTGGGGATGGAGCCAAGTTTCCCCCTGGCTTAAGCTCCAGCTTGGCTGCTGCTGCCCAGGCTGCTGCCACAGGACACCCTGCATACAGCTTCTTTCTCTTTCCATCCTTGCGGTTTTTCTTCCTCTTTCTAAAACTGCTGCGTAGGTTTCCATTTTGCAGCAGGGTGATTATATTCTGGTAGATGATGAGACCTACCCAAGTTTTGCCTTCCGCAGCAACCCCGCCTGGGATACACAGCTGAAATCCTGACATCTGCATGGGAGGCTGGGCTGGGAGGAGCAGGATGGGACCCTCTGCAGCCAGGATCCCCCAAGACCCTCCCTCCACCCTACCCTGCCCCTCAGACCCTTTTCTCTGTGCAAAGACCCAGAGGGAAGGGAACGAGGTGCCAGATAAAAATAAAGAAGCAGAAGTCTGAGGGCTGTGTGGGAATGGGGTGACCACACTGGCCGCGGCACCACCTCCTTCCTGGGGCACCTTGGAGTCACCAGGGCCAGGGAGGGATTGGAGGTCACATCTCCAACCAGACGCTGACCTCCCCTCCTCCCCATGTGCTCCTTACTGCTGAGCACAAGAACCGAGCAGGATGAGAAGGGGCTGCCTGGGTGCAGCAACCCCTGGTCCCCCACAGCCTGGACCAGGGATGCCGGGCTTGTAACCCCTGACTGGAGGATATTTTAAACAACATCCCAAATCTTCTGATCTCATCTTCTTTAATAACCTTATGGCACAGTGGGGAAAAATAGCGCAGCTGGCCTGGTGGCATGTGTGTCAATCCCTGGTCTCGCGTGGCACAGAGAGGACGGGGGCTGCTTTTGCAGGATAAAGGGAATCTCAACAGGAGATGCAGAGAGAGCTCGGGCAGCAGTGGGGAAACACACCCTGGATGTTGGGAGAGCTGCAGGGGTAGCCATTCCCAGACACGGGGCTTTCTGGCAGCGAGGGGCCGAGCACCGAGCCGCTCAGTGCGTGTTCAGGTAGATCGGCTGCAGCTTTGGAGCTCTGGAAACCGAAACTTTGTGCCTCTTTTCAAAGTCCTGAAATGGGGGGAGAAATGCAAAGATTGTGAGCTGCTGCCTGGGACAGGCTGTAAAAGGGAAGGGAAAGTTTGGTTTAGGGAAAGGAGTGTGATCCCAAAGCAGCGCAGCTCCTCCTCACTGCACCCCAAAGCCAGGCAGGTCCTGCTCACTGCAGGGCAGGAGCACCCATGGGGTAACTTGTGTGCCCCGGGAGCTGCCCCAGCCCCCTTTACCTGCCACTTGCCCGGGCTGTTCTCATAGTCATCCTCGAGCGAGCTGAGCTCCCACTCCTTGTTCATGTAGATGTTACTGGAAGTGTCTACTTGCTCCCGGCTTGCTGTGACCTGGAGGGGACGAGGTGTGTTGAGGACAAGGAGGGCTCCTGGCAGTGGCTCCCTCATGGTGGAGCCGTCACAGGACCCCCATCCCACTGCCCTCCCACCTACGATACCTGGAGATCCTTGTCCCTCTTCCTCTCCGCGGCCCAGGCTGCTGCAGGAAGAGCAAGAGAAACAGCTCAGACCAACACGGAGCTCCCTTTGCCACAGGGCAGCATTTTTGGGAGTCCTGACCCCTTCTCCATGGGTGCCCACACCAGCTCCTGTGCAACCCCAGATCTGGCCTGACTTTACCAAGAGCCCCCCAGACTGTGGGGCTCAGCAGTTTGGGGTCCTGGGGAGGGCTCCAGCCCCTTTCGCCCCCAAGGCCTGCTCACCCCCAGGTTGGGAGCAGGAGGGCAGCCTGTGGTGCTCTGGGGTGGGGGTATGGGTGCTGGGGAGCAGCACAGGGATCCCCGCAGCCACCCTGCGGAGGAGGGCCACAGCTTGGGCCCCCAGATCACCTGTACCTCTGCGCTTCTCCGACGATGCTCTTCTCATCTTGTGGCAGATAGTGACGCCCAAAGCTAGCACCACCGCAGCGAAGGGTGTCAGGACCAGTACAAGCAGGTTTAGGGTGCTAGAAGGGGAAAAAAAGGGTGTTGCTGCTCTTCTGCATGGCCCCCTCTGCATCCCTGTGCCCCAGGGAGGGCTTTCGAGCCCATACTTAGCACAACCCCAGGAGGTATGAAGCTCCGCAAACTGGCAAGGATGTTCCAAGGATTTCTCCCAGGTTTCATGGGCAGGGATCCATGCATGTGTACACGTAAAGTCAGTCCAACCTGGCACGAGCCAGATGGACAGACTCATCCCCCACCTCCATGGACTAGTTCCCAGACGTGGCACACGCCTGCCTGGGGTGTCGGGGTCCCCAGCAGCCCTGCAGGAGCTGGACAAAGACCCTGAGAGCCCCAACCAGTGCAGCCCTACAGCATGCAGGGATACAGCAGCCCCCTTAGCATCGCGTTTTTCTTTCTACAGACATGCCCTGCTGGCCCCAAAGCCCTGGGGACAGGCTGGAGCCTCATGCTGCATCCTCAGGCTGGCTGGTTCTTGGGCTGGGGACGGTCCTTCTCCCCAGTGGCCCCGGCACTCACCCTGCCTGCAGGCTTCTGACTTTTGGCATGGACATGGTGTTTTCCAGGTCCAGGGGAGTCCATGGGAAGGTGGGAGCAGATGTGGCCTCTTCCTGCCATGTCATGTGGAGGTCATAGGGTGTTGTCGTAGGCACTGTGGTGTAAGCAGATGGGAAACAAAGCACTGTTGTGCGTGTTACCTGGTCCTGGGCTGTAGCTGGGGTTGATGACTGGAGGTTTTGGGGCCCCAGAGGCTGCTGGCACGGAGGTGATGGGGGGTGGCTGGGAAACGTCAAGCATGGCCCCAGAGGACCTGCATGCACCACAGGAGTGAGGAGGGGGGATGCTAGGGGATCAACAAAGGCAGCTGGGAGGGGGATTTCTTCCATCCCTGGCTCTCACCGTCCTCCCTCCCAAGCCTCCCCTCCCTCCATTCCTTCTGCCCCTCCCACCTCTGTCAAAGCAGAACGTCCACACCAGGCGCTTACCTGGGAGCACAGACACCGCGACAGCGAACATGCGGTCATACCAGGCCGCCTGGATCCCACACCAGTACTGATCCCTGTCCTCCGCTGTCAGGTTCTCCATGGTTACCACGAACACGTGCTGAGTGGGGTCATCTCGCAGGGACACCCTGTGCCCCCACACCTCATCCCCAGGGGCTGTGGTCTGAACAAGGACGGAGCAGGAAAACCAGATGCTGCCCCTACACCAGTACTTATTGGCGCCCACCAGTTCTGGCTCGTACTCGCAGGACACGTCCAGGGAACCCCCCGGGAAGCCGCTCACCTCTGCAGGGCCCCGCAGAGCCCAGCATCCTGCAGGGACAGAGGCCGTGTCAGCCCGTGGGCAAGCACAAGCCCACACACAAGCCTCCTGCCTGTCCCTCACCTGCTGCCCGTCCCCCTGCCACGCAGGCTGCTTCGTGCTACCCCTGGAAAACCTCTCCTGCAGCCGGCGGGGCTGCAGCCCGGGGCCCCGGGTTCAAGGTGGGGGGAGGCTTTGCAGGGCCAGGGGCTGAGGAGGAAGAGAGGGCACAGGGGGAGGGCACGGGGGGAGCTTCTCCATCTCTCTTTGTCTCCTCGAGAAACCCCCGTGCCTTAAAACCCACTTGTGCTGCTGCCAGCGGGCTCTTTCAAGAAGAGCTGTCCCTCCAGCCCTGGGCAGTGCAGTCTCCCGCCGAGTGTCACCCAGGGTCAGGTTTAAAAGAAAGGAAGAAATGCCAAATATCCCCCCCTGCTCTGCAGCCCCCTGGAGAGCTTCACCTCTGCTCTCCTCCAAAGCCAAATCCCCCTAGGATGCTGCTGCCCACCCCAAAGCGTTCAGGTTTCTGTTAAAGCCATCTCTGCCAGCCAGCACGAGGTAGCAAGCCCATCCTGTCCGCCTTGCCCGCCCTGCCTGCTGCTTTCATGGCACAGGGGGGGGTCAGAGGATTCACAGGATCCCTGCAACCTCCCACAGGGTGTTTTTAGGGGTCTGAGTTTTGGAAAAGGTTGCCAAACTCTGCATAGGATTGAAATAATTAATCAGTTCCTGGCAGAGGGGGAAGTAGGGGAGAAATATATCCATGAGGCATTTCCATCACTGCTCCTGGGGATGTGACTTTTGGAAGGTTGACGCCACCCCAGTGAGCGCTTACCCACTCCCATCATCACAAGAAGATCCTGCTCTCACCTGGGAGGAGAATCCAGGTCCAGATCAGGAGCCTTTCCCCCATCCTGCTCGCCGGGCGGCTGCAGGCTCAGCCCTTGCTCCCAGAGCAGCTCTTCGACTTCCTGCCCCTGCTCCGCTTCCCCCGCTTCTCTAGCTCTGGGCAGCACACACAGCTGCTCCTCTGGGCCAGGGAGACTCGCACCAACCTCTCCTTTCCAAATTCGTTCAGTCTGAGTTGTACTTTTGGCCCTTGCCAGCAGCTCTGTGGCTTGGGGAGCCGAGAAGGGGGTCAGAAGCAGGGCAATGGCTTAGGCAAAAAACCTAAAGAGACTAAACTCAGCCTTCACTTTCTGTTTAAGAGTTTCAGGGCTGATGAAAAATTAAGTTCTGCTTTTTAAAGGGGAAAACCTCATGCTGAAGAGAATAAATATGGCCAAACCACTATGAGGCAGTGGCCCACTCTCTGCTCCCGCTGGGACCCGTGTGCTGGGCTGCTCTGGGCTGCGTGCACGCGGAGCAGCAGTTGTTGGAGGAGCTGAGGTTTAGTTTCCACCTGCCTCGGGGTCTGTGCTGCATGGACCCAGCCCTGGTGTGACTGGGAGCGTGGATGCTGGGGCAGGAGAGCTGCTTCCCAGCAAGGTGCCATGTACCAGTTCTCCCGGTGACAGTGTTCTGCTGATGGTACCCAAGGTCTGCTAACATAAAACAACGCTGAGCTGCGGGGTGCGACAGAGGACTGAGACCTTCAAAACACAAACAAGGAGGTGTCAGCCCACCTGGGAACCTGTCAGGCAGGAGAGGCAGACACCAAGTTACCCTGCAAGGGTTTTTGCATGCCCACGGGAGAGATGTGGGAGATTCAGCCCTTCAAAGCGAGCCCTTCCCACCCTTCAACCCTTCCCTTAGGGCAGGAGGAGGATTGGGAGAAGTGGCACAGAGGTGGAAGCTCCGGCTGGAACATGTGCAGGGAAGGCACCTGCAAAAGCACCTGTTGGCTGGGGATTTTGAGAGCAGCTGAGTTACCCAAGAGCAGCCAGAAGCTCTTCTTCAAAGAGCCACTTTAGTAGAGAGGCTGGGGAAATTTTCCAAGCCACATCTGTGCTATCACCATCAGATGAGAGGTGTCGTTTCCCCTTCCTTTTCCCTGTTTCAGGTTTGGTTTCTGGGCAGGATGAGCAGCTGCCCAGTCCAGCACAGGGGCTGGGACTGGGACTCTCAGCACAGATCAGAGCCGGTTCCTCCCCACTGCTGCAGTCCCCAAGCCCATGTTACCTTCCAGAGAGCTCCCAATTCCGTTGCAGTTGCTGAAGGCAGATATTCCTGGCCCTGAGGATGCTGCAGGGATTTACAGCAGCCCAGCACCGACGCCACAACCCCTACATGAGATTTTATCCTTATATTTCTCCTTTCAGCTGTTGAGCGAAGGGGCCCTGGCTGCAGTGGGGACTCTGGCCGGGGGTTGTTGATGAGGGTTTTGCAAAGGGGATGGCTCCAGCTCAGCGCCTCGACCCCAAACCACCTCGGCAGCCTGTGAGTCTGCTCCTGAAGGGGAAGAGGAAGATGGGAGCAGGGAGGAGCGAGGAGCCCCGGAGCACTGACACAAGAGGCTCTGCCCTGTGAAGGGCTGAGATACTCACCCCAATTAAAGCAAGTGTCAGGTTGAAAGTGATAAAAGCGGAAAGGGAGTGGGGCAATTCAAAGAGAAACCAATGCAGCAGAGTGTGGTGCTGAGCCGCACTGCCTGGTCCCCTGCTGAAATGGGGACAGCCCTGTGCAGAACCCACCCCGACACCCTCCAGCCAGGGCACGGGCACTGAGGTGCTGCAGACACCCCGGGGGGGGAATGAATAAATGCAACCGCTTGCGGGGGAAGCTGCAGCAAAGGGCAGGGGAAGGCATTGGGCTCAGCACCAGCGTGTCTCTGGGGCAGCTGTGGCAGGACAAGGTTGCCCTGATAGGATGAGCTGGGTCCTGGCTGTCCAGAGCTGGGTCCTGCCCTGCTCTTGAGCTGAGACCCTCTCTTTTGGCAGTAAGTGGCTCGAGAAACACAAGGTAAGACTATCTTGTAAGAGAAGAAGTGTTGCTGGAACACTTGTCGGGAATCCCAATGATGCATCCCGACAGGAACAAATTAGTTCATCTTTCCATCTCAGCCACCCTTGGGGCTGGAGCAAGCACTCACGTGCAGCTCAGTAGCCATGTCAGTGAGCAGAGCAGCCCCACAGCCTCTGCCCAGGGGCAACATGATCAGACACTGCTTTTGCCCTGGCTCTGGCAAGATTATGGGTCAGGGTTTATTCTCTGGTGGTGGCCTTAACAAAAAGGCTCAAAACCTCCATGGGACAGGCAGTAACTCATTAATCCATGCGTGCACCCACTTGATGTGCAGCCCAGCACCAACAGATCTTCCCCAGCTCCCCATCCCACCTTACCACCCACCATCAGAGCTGAGCCTTTCCAGAGTCCTCCTCTGCTCTGGGCTTCAATGACATTTCCAACCTCTGATTCTATTATTTAACCTAGGGCCTTTGGAAAATAATCTGGGTGTTTCAGACTGTGCGTTCATGGGCACATTTGGCAACTCTGGTGAAATTGTCCTTAGGAGATAAGGCTGAATATAGTACTTGCTAATGCAGCTCCTTTAATGCTGGCTGGTAGAGCATGCAGTTTCTGATCTCTCCCTTCCGCTGCCATCTCAGATAACCAAGATAAGCCCAGATCACTCCCAAATCTCTTGATTTAGCAAAGCTAGTAAAAGAGAGAAATACTTGGAGACTTTGTGGTGGTAGCGGTTTTACTCTGGGCTGTGTGTTAGGCTGGACTCCTCAGCCAAAAAGGGCTAAGGCAGGGGTTAGTTATTGCAGTGAAATTAAGAAATCAAAATTCAGCAGGTTCAGAGGATGAAATTCTGACTCCTCCCTAGTTCACTGGGAAGGAACGACTTCAGCAAGGCTCAGATCTCCCCCCAAAAGTGTTGTACAGGCAGTTCAGGGAGATACTACAGCAGCTGAGAATGAGCAAGAGCAGGTAAGGAGTACAGTAAAGCAGGAACTCCTGAGGTGGATTTAAATTTTTTGCTGTTATAGCTGTACTTCTCAAGGCAAGTAGACAAGTAATTAAGCTATCAGAAATACAGTCTACCAGCAAACCAGACCAAACAATGGAGATAAATTGCAAGTTGATTTGAAATAATTCCTTCCTTTTGCGGGTCATTTCCTCTGGCTTCATTACTTTGCACGTATTTCCACTGCCAGCAAGCCAGCGCTTGCTCGGGGCTATAATCTGTCCACTGGATCCCAGGAACCTCTGCTGGGGTCTGGGGGAGGCTGGGAGAGCGAGTGGTTTGCTTTGGATGGTGGGGAAATCCATTCATCGGTGTGTGAGGGGAGGGTGAGGCTAGTGTCAGGCTGCCGGGCTCTGCTAAAGCTGCTGATAACACTTATCTGCGATGGGCCAGGTCCTAGGGTGGTATAAAGGCCTTGGAGCAGCGCCAAGCTGTGCTCGTGCCTGTCTTTTGCCAGCAATCTGTGCTGTCTCATGAGGCTGCATTTCACCGGGCGATATCACACTAGATAGGAAAACTGTCTCCTTCCTGAGCGCTGCTAAGCCTGCAGGGCCAAATGTGTCTCTGGTGTAATGCCAGTGCCTGCAGCAGGAAAGGATAATTTGGGTTTATGAGACTCTCCTCACCCAGAAGCAGCTCCTTGCTGCTCTCCTTTATGACTCAGAAAAGGAAAAAAAATGCTGCTGCAGCTGAGATGGGTCAGAGGATGCTTTCCAAGCCCCAGAGCCTCTCCTGCAGCAGGGATGTGCCGGGAATCCCCCTCCAGAGGTAAGCAGGGCTGGAGCCTCAGATCTGGTGGTGCACTGGGGGCTTCCTCTCCTCTTCACCGGGGGCTAAGTTCATCCCCATCTTCCCCCCCTCTTCTCTCCTGGGAGAGGTGTGTCTGAGCACCCGCACAGCATGGGTGCCCAGGGCAGAGCCGCAGGGTGCCTGCGGCAGATCTGGGTCTCCGGGGTCTGTGTGACACAGCAGTGCCCTGCTCTGTGGGCGCTGGGCCAGGAGAAGGCTGAGCACACCCTTGAGACAGGTTAGCATGAGGTCTCCATCCTTGAGGGGCCATGACAGCAGTGGGACAGCCATGGAAAGGATTGTGCTGACACCCGTGAGGTTTTTGCCAAGTTCTTGGCATATTTAAGAGTACAGAGAGTTGAATTTGCTTCATTAAAGGCCCCCTGAGGTTTGCTGCTCTCATTTTCCCAGTCCTACCTGATGTGGAGTGTGTGCAATATGTTGAACCACTATGTTGGTGGCATAATGTAAATTATCTAATCCAGACACTGTGGCTCAATAATTTGCTTATTTTTGCACTGTTGATTGTATTCCAGTGCTTCTGAATCTGGCTGCAGGATGGTCTGTGACAGGCTTGGGTTTAGCTTATTGGCCTTCGGCAAGCCTGAAAACCCCCTGTCCCTCCGAGTTGTTTTTCATCTTTTCTGGCTGTTTTTGCCAAGACCAATGATCTGACCCAACAGAACCATCTCTGCTGTCAGAGGAAATAACGGACAGATATAATTAGCAATGTCAGGCCCAGGCAGTCAAACAGCAATTGGATAGGTGCAGATGGCTCTTGGAAGCATGGTCTGCTCCTCTGGCTTGGGGCCGTCTGCTGATATAGAAGAAGGGAACTGGAGATTGAATCGAGTCTCTCTTAAATAAACTTCTCAGTAAAGATTAATTTCTTTCCAGTTTAATTGACAACATTGGATTTCTCTAAAGGGGGTTGTAAATAAAAGGATCTCAATGGGATATTGACTGTTGCCTCCAGGTTTAGGCACAGATTCCTTCCTTTTCTAAATACAATTTGTTTTTCACTCCAAGCAGGTCCCTAACAGTCTCTGTAAATGCAGTGGGCTTCCAAAGGGGAGCTGCCGGGGTAGCCATGCTCAGGTTAGCACCAGTTTTGTAAAGAAGCTGAAATGGCTCAGCTAGCACAAGCCGCTGTCCCTCCCTGGGGTGCCACCCTGCTAGCCCTGGTGCCCACGCAGGTCTGCGCTTTGCCACTGCCCACGGACACCCAACGGCTGGATGGGCTGAGGGCTGGAGGGGTGTCAGCTGGAGCATCCGGGGGGTGGGGGTCCCTCACGCGAGCGGCAATGAGCCGGGTGTGAAGCACGGCTCGGGCAGCACAGCAGAGCTGGCTTCGTGCTCTCAGCTCAGCAGCTGATCAGAGCTGGCAGCAAGAACCATCTCTGCCCAGGGCTGCCTTCCAGCCCGGCCTGACCGTGCCCAGTGGACGTGTCCCGCAGCGATGGGAGGAAGGGCAGCGTTTCCCCGGTGGTGAGGGAAAGAGCAGGGAGCCCCGGATTATTTGCAGAGCCGCGGGGGGGGGGGGGGGGGTCCTCTGTCACGGTGGATGGAGCTAGGGGAGAGCTTCGGAGGGACCAGCGGTTGTGTGGAAGCTCCCACGGACCTTGCCTGCGTGGAGGGGAGCTCCCACGGCCTCCCTGCCCGCGGGCGGGACCGGACTTCCCCCCACCCCTCACCCCCGCCTCCTCCGGGCGGGGGAACCCTGCGAACGGGGCGGGCAGGGCTGCGGCGGCGGCGAGGAGCCCGACACCGCTCCGCTGTCCCGCGGGGGGGGGGGGCGGATTGCGAGCCGTGCTGGGCCGTGCTGGGCCGTGCCGGGCCGTGCCGGGCCGTGCCGGGCTGTGCCGGGTCGGACCGGGCCGTGCCGGGCCGGACCGGTGCCGGCGGCGGCGCGGGCGCTGTCCCCGGTGCTGCAGCGGCGGCCCCGCCCGCCCCCCCGCCCCGGGACCGGCCCGGGCACCCCGGCCATGGAGACCCGAGCGGCCGGGCCGGGGGGGGCCGGCTACAACGAGGCCTTGCTGCACAAGGTAGGGCTTGGGGGGGGGGGGTGGGGTTGGGATGGGGGGGGGGGGGCAGCGGCGGTGCTTGGGGATAGGGGGAGCGGCGGAGGGGGCTGCAGAGTGCACGGGGAGGGGCGGCGTGAGAGCAACTGCCGAGGCTGGGCGCCTGCTTGAACTTCCCCGGAAAACTCTGTCCCTCTCCACTCTTCGCTCCTCTTTCTCCGGTGGGGTCCATCAGCCGCGCCCCCATCCCCGCGGGGTGGTGGGGGGGGGTGGGGGGGGGGTGGATGCGGCCGCAGCTCTGCCCCCCTCACCACCACCCTCCGCAGCAGCCGGGGCTGGGCAACCCACGGGGCTCGGCCTCGGTCCCCGCCAGCTCCCGGTTGACAGTGGGCAGGGGCGGGGGGATCGGGCGTGTTTGCAAAGCAAAGAGGGCAGGAGCGCTGGAAAGGGGCCAGCGCCGCGACACAGCCCGCGTTCAGCCGCTCCTGCTGTCCTGTGCATGCTCCGGGGGGGCTGGGGGGAGCTGCACCCCGGGGCTTTGTTTGCCAGAGCCATCCTGAGGAGTCGGGACATCCCTGCCATGACACAGCTGAGTCCCGAGAGATGTCTATCCCTGCCTTCCTTGCTTTAAAATCCTTCTCTTCTGCTGGGTCCCCGGGACTGTGTTTCGTAACTCCACGTTGCATGGAAAGGGGCCGGGGCTGCTGCTGTCCCTGCAAGACCTGAGTGTCTCAGGCTCTGCTGGAGCAGGGCTTTTGCTCCCTGCAGTCAGACACTGCCCTGCAGCTCCAGGAGACACAGAGGAGATACTGATCTCTGCCAGATCTACCCATCACTTCTTGTTGCTGTCCTCACACTGCTTTGCTGCAGTCCCCAGTGACCACGCAGGGACCAACAGCCCACAAGAGTGGGGGAAAAACAGGTATAAGGCAGGGCAGGGGAAAGGGCTGGGGCTGTGCGCAGCCCTCTTCACAAATCCCAGTCTATTCTATATCCTGCTCTACTCAGGGCAATGTGCCCAGCCCTTGATTAGCTGGAAAATATCAATTATTAGCAACTCTCATTTCTGTTGTACACCCAGTACATAGGACATGCCTCCAGGGATGACTCAAGGAACTTTGATTCTTTGCAAGGCTTTAACTCTCTCTTCACCAGGAACGAATTGCTGCAGTTAAAGAATGACATTGGTGGAAATGAGTCTCTGGGCAGAAGAGCTATCCAGGGAAATAACCATCCCAGACCCATGTTCTTCGCTGTTTCCCTTGGTATTTTGCTGCCGCTCCTGGCTGGGTTGATTGTCATGCAGAAACAAGCCTGCTCTCACTCTGGGGATGTGAGGCAGAAAATACCTTGCTAGATCTTGTTTCTGAGCAAGGAATCACATTTCGGATGTGCTAAGAAACCCCAAGAGGGCTCTGCACTCTGGAGGCAAAGGTTAAGTGGTTTCTGGTTGGTGGCTAAACCAAGACCTGGGAAGGAAATGGGCCAGGAGCAAATCAAAGCAGGAACAGCAGAGGTTTGTTCTGGGCTGTTCCAGAAAAATTTCACTTGGCATGAAATGATGGATGCTGCTTGCAGGTGACTTGACCCACTGACAAATTGTTCTTCCTCCTTTTGGATGCTTGGATCCATTTAGCTGGAACAAGTGCCTGGGTAGAGAGACATGCCTCTGGCCTGTGACTGATCCAAGGTGCTAGCAGGGAGGTTTGCAAACAGGGATCCCCTGTGTGATCTGAGCCAGGGTTTGGTTTATGTGCAGCCCTAGAGCTCATGTCCACAGGGCTGAAATACAGCATCTGCCAGGGAAAGGGCCTGGTGGGGCTGGCAGAGCCCCCGGGCTCAGGCTGGAGCCAGTGTAAGGGGCTTGGCCAAGGTGAAACAGTGCCAGGGCAGGGTGGGGACAGCCCTGAGGTGTCCCTGTGGCACAGGGCAGCTCGAGGCAGCATCCAAGGCACCCTGGAGCACTGCCTGGAGCAGGGGAGAGGCCACACAATTTTGTATATAGAGCAGGTAGAAATAAGTCTCAGTAACACATCCGTGAGACACCGCGAGGACGAGGTGGTGAGGGGCTGAAAGCAGCCGCAGCTTCTTTGCTCTCAGACCTCTCCCAGTGCCACATCCCAGCTGAGCTCTGCAGGCAGCTGTGCTGGGGTGCACATACACAATTGCCACAATTTGTTGTGACAAATCCTGCTAACCTGGGAGCAAACCTTCGGGTTAGGAGCTTCAGCAGCTCTCTGAGAGCAGCAGCAAAGCCTGTGGAGGGCACCTCTCTGCTCCCTGTGCCCCCCACGACTGGGGTTTTACCCTGCCAGGCTCCTGCCTGCTACGTTTTATCTAAAGTCCAGCTACCACATGCTAAAACTCAGAAATGAACAGGGAAGATAACCTCAACCCACATGTGCTATCCTAGATCTTCTCCTTCTTGACTGGCACTGGAAATGCAGCAATCGCCTCGCTACACTGCCTTGACAGCCATGAAAAACATCTCTTCCCTAGACACGTTAGACCAAAATATCTCCTTTGCTCGCTGGCTGCCAGCACGTGTGGGGGAGGTCTGAGTGGGTTTGCCCTCAATGTCCCATTGCTCTGCCTTGTCTCTGCAACCTACACCAGGCCAGCAGAGATTTCAAAGGGAGATGATTCTCCTAGGTCTGAATTAGCTCAAAACTCCTAGTTTGAGGTGTGAGGAGGGATATTTGCTCCTTCCCTAAGGCAGAGCTGGCAGACAGGTCCACTCAGGAGTGTGTTAAAAGCTGTGCCCACTTTTCTGCTGGGGCTGTGGAGTAGGCAAGCTGTGGGGTGGTGGAGAAGTGAGGTTACCTCTGCCCACTCTAGTGGAAATAATTTCCTTTAGCTGGAAAGAATAATTGCTCTGGTTGTGCTGGGGCTCAGGAATGGTGCTTTGGGACTGTCACTGAGCAGCTCTCCCAGTCTTGGCCAGGTTTCCTTCTGTGCCTTGGCCAGGTCATCTGAGCATACACCCCAGCTAAGCACCGCTCCATCCCCACACCACCACACAGAGAGGAACTGCAGCACCAAAAGGAATCTCTGAACATTTTTTGCCAAAGTTTTCCAGGCAAAGAAAAACCCTTGGAAAAATCCAGGGGGCTGAGGGGGTGCTGGGGAGGCCAGGCTGTGGCCAAGGGTGCTGGAAAGAGGCAGGGCTGGTATAGAGCCTCACTGCTGGGAGGCTTCTTGCTGTTGTGACTCAGCGATGTCCAAGCTGAGGTTTCAATGGCTGGCTAGCCCCATCCACTCCACAGTGAGGTTTTTATTCTTATTTTGTGTTTACTTTGTAACCAGGAAGACCACAGTGATTTCCACAGTGCTCTACCTCCACAGAGCCAGTAAGATTTTCCTAAAGTGATTAGGAAAGTCTCTTGACTGATTCAGGCCAACTTTTACTATTGTTATTATTAAGTCATGAAGCAATTAATGAGTTTCCTCTATTATAAATCCCAATTAAATTATTGATAGAGGACTCTGCCTTTTATATATGTTCTCTGTAAATCCTGGGCTTTGGAAGCTTTCTGGTGCTCATTCCAACCAGCTCTCCTCCCTCCATAATTAATGCCTTTCTTTGTATTAGCTGCTCCCAAAGACAGTGCTGCAGGGTACAGCTGGTCTTGTTATACCTCCCAGAATGAGTATTTTACCTGGGAATAGCGTGTAGCACCAAAAAATGAAGTGTGGGGGTGCAGGAGCCCCACAGTAATGAACTCTTGGGATGTTTCCCTATGTGGCTGCTTCAGGGCAGATCCTACTCTCTGCGTGGGGAATGTGTCTGGGCCCCAGGGCAAAGCCAAGGGGAACTTGGGCAGGGAAATTTCCCCCTGGAAAGGGATAACCTGGCTCCTCTAACCTGAGTTTCACCCAGAGACCTCTGCCTCTGAACATCCCCTCAGCTCCCATGCAGGATCCCTGCCCATGCGGCTGCTCTGAATGTACAAGTGACCTGCAAACATCCCAGCATCTATTTAGGGAGGGCACAGAAATCTCTGGCTGCGGACCTGGCCCCAGATTGCTGCCTCTCCCCTGCAGAGATGCAGGGCTCCCTCCTGCCAACAGCTCCACTTGGCAGGTCAGGATTTTCCTAAGAGATGTTTGGGGTTTGGGATGTTTTTCTGAGAGAAAACGCTGATTCACTGAAACAAGCATTTTACTGAAGCATATCAGGCCCCAGGAAGGTTGTGGTGTGGTGATTTATGTAAGGCAGGATGCTGGTCTCCTGCCAGTCCATGTTCCTGCTTTGTCTGTGGTCCTCATGCTCCTTTGGCTTCTGGTTCCAGCCCACTCCTTCGGGGTCTGTGGGGTGACAGGAACCACGGTGCCGGGTGCTGTGGCACGTGCATGGTGGGTGGGTCCCCCACGGCCTCCCAGGGCATGAAATCACGTCTTGATCTGCCGAGGCTGGTCAAGCACTTGATTACACATGTTCCTCACTCTCACCTGCCCTGCACTTCACAGGGGGGTACACGCCATGCCCAAAGTGGTGCTGGGCTGGGTTTCACCCCGGGGCCCCTCAGAGCAGGGGAGGTGATGCGGGGATGGGACCTGCCACGCAGGGAGGCTCCTGGGGCTGTCAGGAAGATGCTGAAGCAACAGCTCCTGCTCAGCACGTGAAGGGTGTCCTTCCTGATGTCACCCGGCCGTGGGGACAAAGGGCTGAGGTGTTCTGGGACAGAGCAGGGCTGCTGGAGCTGCATCGGACTGAACACAAATAGAGGGGGAAAAAACAAATGCAGCAAAGTGCGGCATAGGTGGAGGCAAGGGGGGGCGGGGGGGAGGGTTCAGCCACAGCACCTCACTGGCTCAGCCCCGCAGCCTCGCGGGGGGCAGGGGACCGGTGACAGGGGGGACACTGCCCCGGGGCTGGCTCAGCACTTGCCAGGCCTGCAGCTACAGGAACACCCGAGTCCTGAAAGACTGAGCCAAAATCACTTCTGAGCAAGAAGCTGGTTAGCAGAGTGTTTATTTTAACTTGTGTCCCTGTGAAAGGGTTGAAAGTGCCTCAATTTCCTGAAAGGATGGGAATGTTTGGGCCAGTGGCTCTGCAAACAAAACCCAGACACCAGCAGAGAGGGGAGGGAGGGGTTTGCATTTGCACTGTTGGTCTTCCTTAAACTGGGGATTTGGGGGAACATGGACAGGAGCAGAAGGGAGGACGGGCTCCCCAGGGATGCGGTGTGGGTAGCAGGGCTGGCAGGACATGATGTCAGTGCCCCAGCTCTGACACCTGCACAGCTCCCTTGTCCTTTCTGCCTGGGGACAAGCAAGCTTTGCTCCCTGTAGGAGAGCCCTGGGGCTTCCTGGGAAGGGCTGGAGAGGCAGAGGGGCTCCGAAACTTCACACCCAGTGCCCTGCTGGGGTGGGGAATGCTGCAGGTACATGGTGTTGATGCAGCATGAAGACAGCCTAGTGCCCTGGGGAGGGTGGGCGGCTGTGGCAGTGGCTGTGTGCAGCAGCTGTGGGATATGCTCTCTTTACTAAATGGTTTTGGACCTAATCCAGTGCAGCCAGCATCCTCCCAAAGAGGTTTTCCACCAAGGCTGTGCCAGTCAAAGCTTCCTGAGCCAGGGCAGGAGCATCTCACCTGCTCCCTCTCTGTGACAGGCTGTGCTTTGCTTTCTCCTCCACCTCTCTGCACTTGGAGAGGGCACAGTGGGGCTCATGCCCAAAGCCGAGCCCAGAGCACAATTCAGTTATTACAGAATTGGTCAGAGGGGTGGAAATTCCTTCCCGGGCAGATGGCAGGACCAAAGGTGACAGCAAAGAACAGGGTGAAGCAGGACAAGCCACCTGGCCATGGCACTGGGGTCCAGCAGCCTGTGGGGACAATCTGCTGCCAAGTGGGGCTATGCTGGGGGGCTGCCATGGGGGTCCCACGGGGACTGCAGCTCCACCGTGACCCGGGGCTGGGCTGGTGCCTCCCGATCCTTCTGTGTTCACTGCTGCACCCCCCCAGCACCCCCTCCCAAAAGGCCCAGCCCCAACTGCCCGCCGTGCCTGCAGGCTCGGGCATCGCCCGCTCCCACGCGCTGACGCCTCTTTGCTGGATCCTTGCAGACGATCCTGGTCGGAGACAGCGGCGTGGGCAAAACATCTCTGCTGGTCCAGTTTGACCAGGGCAAGTTCATTCCTGGCTCCTTCTCCGCCACCGTGGGCATTGGTTTTACGGTAAGAGCCCAATCCCTGGTCCCTGGGCTGCGCAACCTCACTCACCCTTGTGGGAGAAGTTTTATATGGGTAATCATAATCTATACTTCTATGATTCCAAGCAGTGCTAAGCACAAAGGTTTGGGAGAATTTGCTTTGGTGCTGCTGAATGAGGAGCCCGGATTGTCTGTGTGCTTGCTGGCAAGGTGGGGGCAGGAGGATGGACAAGGCTTTGGGTTTCTGGGGGGGCTGGAGGATGGACAAGGCTTCACGTCACAAAATCCTTGATGGGGCTATGCCTGAACGCAGCCTTCTGCATTGCACCCAGAAAAGCCGCCTTTGGAGCAGCCCTGCTCTCCCAGGGAGAAGCCAGCCTGTGTCCTGCCTCTGCGGCCCTGGGCTCTCGTGAAAAGTCAGGGCGACATCAGTAAGACCTGGGAAAAACACTCGGCTGTGCTTCAGAACTATTCGCAGAGCTGCCGTGGGGCTGGCAAGTGGCTCTGACACTCCTGTCCCCTCTCCTGGGGAGCCCGGGATAGAGACAGCACGTGGGACCTTACCACACAGCAAGACCAGCATCCCTCCAGCATCCGTGGCAAGGCTGGGGCTCAGCAAGAAGCTGTTACCCACGGGATGGCTATTGCCCAGGACAAGGCTGCTACCCATGGGGATTTTCTCTCTAGTCCAGGCCAAGAGAGCAGGGAAACATGTAGTACCAGTGTTGGGGGGGTCTGGGACCGAGCAGCCCAGGGGCTGGCAGCCGCGGGTGCCCCTGCGAGCAGCACTGAGCCCTGGGCAGGCAGAGGAGGCTCAGATGTGCTCCTGACCTTTGCCAGCTCCCGGCTGCCTCGTTCCTCCTTCAGCAAAGGACAGTGTGTGGAGGTGATGCTCGGCCAGGCGTTTTTCCTGCCCAGGCAACTCCATGAGCACCGGCACCATTTGCCATGTCCTTCCAGCCCCCCTCCCCAGCAAGCTGCAGCGGACCTCAGCTGCTTCTGGGAGCTCCAAGTGCCTCCAGCTCCGGGCACTTCCCTGGCCAAAGTGCATATAGAAACTATAAATCCCCTCAGCTGGGTCTGAACGCAGTTACGGGACTGGAAATACAGGTTCGCTTTCCCGAGGGGCAGAGGAAGGCTTGGCTGGAGCAGGAGCTGGCAGCCGGGGAGGGCGCAGAGGCAGGTGCCCTCGCAGACGGCATCTCTGCCATCGGACCTCCCGTGGCCACGCGTGGCCTTCACCCCGAGAGCAGCGGGGACACGGATCCACACGGGAGCCCTGCACGCTGAATCCCAGCAGCCTGAACGGGGCTGGGGGGTTTGCACTGGGATGAGCCCGGGTGCGGGGGTAGATGGGCTGGGTATCCTGGGCAGAATAAATCAGTGGGGGCTGAAGGCTCCTGTCAGTGGAGTGGTGACTGTAAGCCTGAAGAGCCTGGGGCAGCCATGGAGCTGGATGAGGTTTCATGGAGTTTTTGGGTAATGCAACATTCCTGGCTCTCCCCCAGGACTTCCCTGCATTCCCACGCTTGGGCTTTTCCCAAATGAAGTGTGCTATAAGCCAGGCCCCAACAGCCAGCGTAGGAAGCTGGGGGGGGGGGGCTGTGAGCAGCCAGGGGGAGCGGGAGCCCTGGCAGCCATCCCGGCGAGACGCAGGCACCGCTGAACCGGCTCGCGGCACCGTGCGGCTTCCGGCTAACGGCCACGGCTTCTGGTTTCCTCCCAGCTTCACTGTGCCTTGGTGCTACCCCAGGGCCCAGCTCAGCAGCCATGGGGGCTGCAGCCGATGGGGAAAACCCCCTCACCCTCGGGTGGGCGGGTGGGGTGGGAGCAGGAGCTTCCGTCCTCACCAACCTGGTGTGGCTGCGGGGGGATTTGGCAGCACCAGCGTCTCCACCCCTGCACCCCGTGGAGGATAAGGGGCTGTTCAGTTTGGGGTGAGCAGTTCCTTCTCTCCCCATCCATGTGCCCGGAGGGATCCCGCGCTGCCAAGCCCCTGGCAAACCCAAACACCCCGATGTCCCCGGTGTGGGGATGCAGGGGGGCAGGTTTCCAGACTTAAGCTTCTTCTTCCTCATCCCGGGGTCTAGGCCGGGCAGGGAGGCGGCCGAGGCACAGCCTTGGGGTGGCATTGGCCAGGGAGGAGGAGGAAGAAGAGGAGGAGGAGGAGGGCGGGTCGGGTGGAGCCACAGCTCCCGCTGGCCCCGCGACTCGGCGGCTCCGCTCGGACGCACCATGAGCGTCCCCGGCGGGGCGGGGGAGAGCGGGACCCCCCCGGCGGGGAGCGGGGACCCCCCGGCAAGGAGCGGGGACCCCTCGGCGCTGCCCCGGGACTACGAGCTGGCCGGCAAGGTGGGCAGAGGCGCGGGGTGGGGAGCAGGGATCGACCCTCTAAGCCCGGCCGGGGGGAGAGTTTGGGGTTCGCCCCACTGATCTAGGGGAGACCGGGAGGGATCCCGGGGGGGTCCCGGGGGCCGCCCGCTTCCTCCGCTGCCTCGATCACGCCCAGGAAGCGGCTGCGGGCCGGGGAAGGGGAAGGAGGCAGCGGTCCCAGCTGAGCCCCCCCAGCCCTGCCTGCCCCTGCCCCGGGGGTTCCCAGATCTCGCAGACGTGGGGATGGGGGTCCTCCCCCTCCCACACCCCCCGGGAGGTGGAGATAGGGGGTCCCTGCCCCGGGGGCGGGGGGAGGTGTTTGCTCCGGGTGTGTCCCTGCCCCGAGGTGGCGATGGGGGTCCCGGCCCCAGGTGCCCCACTGCAAGAAAAGGGCTTTTGGGGGTCTCGGCTTGATGGGCAACGGGGCTCCCCAGGGGGGCACGGCTGAGCTCTGCCCTCTGAAAGCCTGCCCTGTCCTTCTTGGGGCAAGGGGGGGCTCCTGTCAGTCAGGGCAGCGGTGCCCCCCATGATACAGGGCAGGGGAGGCAGGACCCCATCCAGCCCATCGCTGCACCCCAAGGGCACGGCAGAGGTGGGGGCAGCGTGTGTGCCCTGGAGCCAAGCCAGCCCAGGGCCCTGCACCCACCCCGCAGTCCCCCCACACTGCAGGTGCCCCCACGGCCCTGCCAAGCAGCGGGGTGGGAACCCTCCTCCTCCAGTACCCCCCTTTTCCCCAGCCCAGCTCAGCCGAGGGTCACCCTGCGGAAGCACCCTCCTCCTCCCGGCAGCACAGGGGAGGCACCGAGCCGAGGACCCTTTTACCCAAAAAATTTAATATGCAGCCCCAGGTTGTGCCCAGCGGCAGCAGTGCCATGCCTGAGAGCTCCTGCTGCCGCGATGAGCTGGCTCCCAAATCAATCCCACATGCTGCCACCTTCCCTAAACCGCTTTTATTCCTTTGCCTTTATCCTCTCTGCTCTGGCTCCTTTCAGTGGAGGGCGATTTTTGTGTCTGAGGGAGGAAATCATTTGCCAGCTTGATCTGGAGTGAGGTGGAGGCAGAACTGGGTGGTGTTCCCAGCTGCCCTCCAGTCTGGGCTGGGTTGGGGTGTCCTGGGGAAGGATTTGACCCTCAAAGTGAGCATGTTCAGCCCCCAGCTCTGGCAGTGCTGGCCCGCAGGGTGTTTGCTGTGCCATCCCTGTGCACGGTGGCCATGGCTCGCTGTGTTTGCCCGGTCGGGGGGGGCTGTGGGGCCACGTGGGTTTGCTTTGCAGGCTCCAGTGTCCCTGCAGGGTGGGCTTGTGGGGATGGACCTTCTTGCTGGAGTCCTGCTTGCTGCCATTTTTAGGCAGGGGATAGATGCAGTGAGCATCAGGTTAATTATTGCTGGGCAGGAAAGGGCTGCTGCTGGTGAGCAGGGAGGAGAGAGGCGTCGGGGCAGGAGGTAAGGCTGTGCTTATCGAAACCAGCATCAGTCCTGGCTGCTGCCTGCCCGGGTCCAGCAGTGCCACAACGGCTTGGGATCCTGGACTGAGCCTGTTTGCTTAGCAGGAGGGGAAAAGCACCGTGTTTGCTTTGGTGTCTGTGGCAGTCAGGGCCCTGGGCACCGACAGGATGAGAGTCCTGGACACGGCGGGGTTTGCCCAATCCACGCACCAGCCCGTGGGCTGGGCATACCCGGGCTGGGGGCAGAGGTGGCTCCATGTGTCCAGGAGCTGCACGGGTTCTCCAAGAAGCCTTCTGGGTTGGGAGATGGCCAGGGGCTGGCCAGGAGACATCTTTTCTTGCTGCGGTACCTGTCTTCCCACCGGCTCTCTTCTTCTGCTCTCCACTTCTTTGGTGGCTGGGGACTGCTCCACTGCCCTGGGGCACTGAATGGCTGCACCCTTGGGGGTCCCATCCCACCCCCAGCTCTCACGGGGCTCCTCAGTCCTGGCAGGACCAGCCCTGGGGAAAGAAATGGAGGGACATAAGGGACGGGGAGGGCTCAGCTTCACCCAGGGGTGCTACCCGCTCCCCATCCCGCTGACACCTCTCCCTGCGCCCATCTTGCAGGTGATGTTACTTGGAGACTCAGGCGTGGGGAAAACCTGTTTCCTGCTCCAGTTCAAAGACGGGGCCTTTCTCTCCGGGACGTTCATAGCCACCGTGGGCATAGATTTCCGGGTGAGACCACCACAGCTGCTAGCCCCTTGCCTGCCCCGACCCGCACCCCACCATGATGGGGCACTGGGAAGGGGAGATGGGAGGTTTCCAGCCTCTGCACCAGCCGGCAGCAAGTGCTTGATGAAACCCTTCCACCTCTCCCTGGGAGAGCGGTAACAGATGGAAGAGCTTGCTGAGAATCTCACCTCTTGCCTTTAAATCAGCAAAACGTCTCGGCTTAGCCCATCCTGGCTGGGGGTGTGAGCTGGGGGTGTGCGGTGGGCAGCCAGCGCACTCCACTGGCCAGACTGAGGCCAATGTCTAAGGGGGACAAACACTGGTTGCTGTCATTTTGTGCCGTGGAAGAGCTGAAATGGGCTGCTGAGGGGTTATTAAGGTCCCTGTATCCCATTTAAACCCTCCCGCTGCTCTCTGTTCACCGAATTTCAGCTGCAGGGTCTCTCAGGGGGTGCACGGGTCGGCAGAGCTGTTTGTAGCACAGGGTAGAGTGGTGTTTCAGCAGGCTGGAAGTCACGGGGGGATGTCCCTGGTCTGAGCTCTGCTCGTGGCTGCCGACACGTGTCGAGTGCGGTCGGCGCTTCCTCTGCCTCCACAGCTGCAGCTGCTCTGGTTTTCTGCTGCCTTCACTGCCCGGGCTGCCCGGGGCTTGCGGGGGGGGGTTGGTGAGCAGGGGCTGGGGGAGAGGACTGTGGCTTTGCTTTGGAGGGGTCTCGTGGCCTGTCCTTCCAATAAAGTAATGAAAGAAGGAAAATCTGCCGTTTCCCACTGCTGAGCTCAGCACAGGTGGTCCCAGGGGTGTTGCCAGCTCGTAGGTACCCGCTCTGCCCCGTGCAGGCATCCCCTCCATCAGCTCACAGCTTGCTACTGGTAGGTAATTTCCAGAGTCTCCTAGGGCACATTTTTTTTGTTTTATTCAGCCCATTTCCTCAACTTTTATCATCTCCACATGGGCTGAATTTCCATTTCAAACAATTCCAGGCAAGCAAATTACTTAAAGGGGTCTCCTCTTTCCAGAATCATCCCTCCAAGTACAATTCTTTAAGAGTCTTAAAATAGCCCTTTGGTAACTCCTGCTTGTCTTTGCTTGGGCCTCTGGAGAGAAGTCCCTGCACTTCCGAGCTGGGTACAGCGATTGCTTAAGCCCCGATAACTGCCTTCCCCACTCACTTGCAAATGCTGCTTCCCTTCCCCAGTCCCAGCCCAGCTGCAGGGCTGAGCAGCCCCAATGCCTGGCTGCAAACTGCCCTGACCCAGGAGATTTCCTCTTGCCATGCTGGATAAAGTCATATGCTACCTTCAACCCCCCAGCTCAGTGTGTGCAACCACCTTTAAGGGCCAAGCAAGGCTCCCACCAGCAAAGAAACCTCAGCTGGACCCCCAGCATCACCCACTGAGCATCCCCAGGAAGCTCATAGCATCCAAAGGCCTTAAACTGGTGCAAATAGCCCAAGTTTTTAGTGCAGCGGTGGTTCCTTCAGCACATGGAGCAGAGGAATCCTGGCAGAAGGGTCAGGGCTTTATGGTGGGCAGACGTTATTAAAGCACACCAAGATGTTCTTAATAAATGCACATTTGCATGTAATTCGTACAAGATCTCCCCACTTCCCCAGCTCTGCTGAACTTCCCCTGGCCACATGGGCAGGGGCTTCTGTGAGCCCTGGGTAGGAGCTGGAGAGGGTCAGTGTCCCTGGGTGTTGCAGAGCAGCCTGCGTCGTTCGTTAGCCAGCTCGTTAGGGGACTTGGGAGCCACAGGACAGGGGCACTGGCTGTAGGAGATGAGCCAGGCATCGGATCCAAAGCAGGCTGGGATCTTGCTGTTCTATCTCTGTCAGGGCCTGATTCTGCCCTTTCCCTCCCTGGCATGAGGGGATGCTGCTCAGGGATGTCCCTTTAGCTGCCAGGCAGCATCGCAGCCCCCCAGCAGGAGCAGGGTTTGTAGCAATGAGGCTTCAATATCCAGCCCCATGGGCAATCTGGTTTCATCCTGCCGGCCGGGGCAGAGCAGCCGAAGGGCTGGGGCATGGCCAGCACCCACACCAAGGTGCGCATTGGGCTGATGAATGCGCTCTCCTTCTCTTCTGCAGAACAAAGTGGTGGCGGTGGATGGTGTGAAGGTGAAGTTGCAGGTGAGTTTTGGGATGGGGTGAGCAATTCCCAGCCAGCTTGCTGGAAACACTCCCCCCCCCCCCCCCCGCCCCCAGGCTGAGCACAGTGGTCCGGGAGCCACAGGGGCACCCCCAGCTGTGGGGGGCATTCCCCTCCCGGCACTCACTGGGATGGCTTCTTGGCAGATCTGGGACACGGCAGGCCAGGAGCGTTTCCGCAGCGTCACCCATGCCTACTACAGGGATGCCCAAGGTGGGTTTGGGGTCCAGTGAGGATGGGGGAGACTGGTCGGAGCACATCCCTGCAGCAGGGTGATGCTTCTGCCTCTTCCTTTCCAGCCCTGCTCCTGCTCTACGATATCACCAGCAAGATGTCCTTCGACAACATCCGCGTGAGTCCCCTCCGTGGGTCAGGAGTGTGTTTCTCCCCGGGGATCGAGGTCGTGGGTGCCCTGTGTGGCTTGCTGGGTGTTTGGGGCAATTTGGAGCCTGTTTTACACATAAGCACCGGCTGTTTTGGACAGGCCCAGCCAGCTGGGAGCTCGTCCCTGGGGTGCCTGGCTGGGTGCTGCATGGCTGGGTGAGTTTTGTTTAGGGACATGGTAAATGGCTGGAGGGAGAAAACGTGGTTTGGGATGGATGTGAACCATGTGTAGGCTTGGGCTGTAGCCAGGAGACAGGGCGTTTTTAACACAGTTCGGCTGTGATGCTAGAATGGTTCCCATGCCAAAAAAAAAAAGTTGGTTTCCCCATCGTTGTGGGCTGGGAGGGGAGGGATGGGGGTACCGCTCACCCCGACACAGCCCCGATGCCCCACAGGCCTGGCTGACAGAGATCCATGAGTACGCCCAGAAGGACGTGGTCATCATGCTGCTGGGCAATAAGGTGCGTGCAGGGTTCCCCGTCACCCCGTGCCGTGCCGTGCTGTGCCGTGCCATGCCAGCCCTGCCTGTGCCAGCCAGGTGGCTGCAGAGGGATAGGGCTCAGCGGGTGCTCTGCCTGCCAGCTGGGTGCAGCCTGCCTACCCACCCCACTTTGCCAAGCTCTGCTGCCCTCTGGGCTCAGCCAGGCCCAGAGGTGACCCCAGAAGTTTGGGGGGGTTGGAGGGGGCTGTGGAGACCAGTTTCCCCAACAGCCAGTGGGGGCAGCACGAGGCTGAGGCTCCTGGTGCGGGATGCTCCCAGTGCGGGATGCTGCTGGGTATGGGTGCCCACCCAGGTCCTGGATGCACCCCCAGATCCCGAGTAGCCCCAGGTCCCAGATGCTCAACCAGGTCACAGATATTCTCCGGGGGTCCCAGATTCTACCGGATGCCCAATGCTCGACTGGGTATTGGATTTTCCCCTGGGACTGGATGCCCCCTGAATCCTGGGTGATGCTGGGTACCTGATGCCCAGTCCCCAGCTGGGGTCTTATCAATATCTCCCCTGGGTCCTGGATGTTCCCAGGTACTGGATGCTGCTCCAGGTCCCAGACGCCCCCATCATCCTCGATGCCACCAGGTCCCAGATGTTCAACAGGTCCCAATTCTCTGGGCACTGGATGTTCCCAGGTCCCTGACACCCCCAGTTCCTGGCAGCCCCCTGCGCACCCCACACTGCCTGCTTGCCAGATGCCCCCAGGGTGCCAGCTGGCCCTCGGACGCGGTGACACTTTCCTTCCCTCGGCAGGCTGATGTGAGCAGCGAGAGGGCTGTGAGGACGGAGGATGGAGCATCGCTGGCCAGGGTGAGCCATGCTAGAGTCTAACCCAGCTGCAGCCCCCCCCAGACAATTGCACGTCGCTCAGGGTCCCCCCCAAAGCCATGCCACCCCCTCTGATGGGAGCCCAGACCCACCTGGCTCTAGCACAGACAGCGTGGCAGCTGCTTGCACACAAAACCTGGAGCAAGGCAGGGAGGGGATGGCATCTTGTCCCCAAGCCTCATCCAGGTGACAGGGGTGATTCAGCGGGGCAGGAGGGCATTTCAGGGCTGGGTGCTGATGGGGCCACGCTGCCCTTGCAGGAGTACGGGGTGCCCTTCATGGAGACGAGCGCCAAGACAGGCATGAACGTGGAGCTGGCCTTCCTGGCCATTGCCAAGTGAGTACTTGGGGGACAGGGGACAGGTCAAGGGAGGTGTCCCCTGCAGCCCCACCACCTCCCACACTGGCACTGGAGCAGGCGGGTGGGGGTAACGTGGTCCCACCACCCCAGGGAGCTGAAACAGCGCGCGGTGCAGCCGCCGGACGAGCCGCGCTTCCAGATCCACGACTACATCGAGTCGCAGAAGAAGAAATCCAGCTGCTGTGCCTTCGCCTAAGAGCGGCAGGGAGGAGCCAGCAGCCCCAGGGGCGCAGGCAGGCAGGAGGCAGAGCAGGGCCCAATCCTGCCCTCAAGGGTCCGAGGGAAGCAGGCTCTGCCAAGCCAAGCGTGGACAGGACAGTACAGCGGCGCACGAGGAGAGCCATCGCCCCGGCACGGGGATCACGGGGCCGGATCCTGCCGCCCTGTGGGGCAACGCCTGGAGCTTACTGCGTGCCCCCAGGGAATAACTGCGGTGTGATGACTGCCAGCCCGGCCAGCGAGCCACGGGGATGCTTCCATCACCCGAGCAGGATGCAGGATACGGCCCCACGCCGAGGGCCCTTCGGTGCAGCTGGAGGGGCCGTGTGTGTGCCATGGATGAGCCCCCGTGCAGCCCCCAGCCCTTTCGTCTCCTTCAGCCATCCCGGATGAAAGAGCCTGATCCAGCCCCCATGTCCCCGGTGCTGCCGGGCTCTGGCTTCCCTCTGCCCCACGCCGGGGTGCAGCCGGTGCCCACGCTCGGCCGTGGCTCCTCGCCGCTGTGGTTGCTGCTGTCGGCTTTTATCCTCCTGCCACCACGAGGGCAGCGATGTCCCCGTTGTGTCCCTGTTCCTCCAGAGGGAAGGGCCAGGATGGGGAAGCATCCAGCCAAGCCTGCTCCCTGCCCGTGCAGCTGGCAGGAGAAATAAAACTCCCCTGGGAGCACCCGGGTGATGTTTGGGGCACTTCCTGTACACACGGCAATTTGGAAAAACCTTTATTTCTCCCCTCTCGTAGCCACAGGATTAGAGATTTTTTTTTAATGAGAAAAAAACTTTTCAATCCAGACAAAACCATCTCTGGCTTCACATAGGCTGGAGTTGGTGGGGAGGAGGTGCCCGCAGTGGCCTGGGGCTGCTGTGCCTGCTGGCTCCCAGGGCGGACTGGGTTTCTCCCATCCCTGCACGTGTAACACAACTGTTTCTTCCCGCTGTTGGCAAATAGCAGCTGAAACCCACTCTCTGGAGACCAGATGCTTGAGATGCTTCAGCCAGCAAACTCTGCTACATTGGGCACCAGCGGGGCGCAGGGTGCAAGACTTGGGCCCCGCATTGCTGCACGTCCCCGGCGCTCAGCCTGGCCCTGCCGACCCCTCAAGCACGCTGCCGGCTCCCCCAAGCACTACCTGGGGTGGTGAGACAGGGAATATTTGGTCACGTAGCTGAAGAGCTGATGTGAAGGGCAGCTGCGGAGGGTATGGCACTGCTGCATGTAGGAGTTGGGGACTGTCCGGCACATCCGTCCCTGTCAGCATCTTCCCTGGCCCTGCGCCCGAGCCGCTTGTCTCCCACCTGCCCCGGTGCCTCCTTCGCCTCAGCTCTGCTCCCAGGTCTCTCTTTGCAAGTTTACAGATTAAAGCTGGGTATTTTTGAGGCTTTGTATCTGCCTGGTTTTTTACTGCGTGAGAAATCCCTGCCCTGGGTCTGCAACGTGGGAGGCTGCTGCATCCAGGCGCTGCAGAGCAGCGGGGCGGGGGGGGCCCCTGGGAGCAGCTGTGGGGAGGGGGAAGCACCCTCGGCCCCTTCCTCCCCGCCGGGGCTTTCATTGCACATTTCAGACAGTCCAAAGGTGAGAGGGGAAGAGTAAACATGGTCTGTTAAATTAAAACCAACCTCCTCCCCTGCTGTTCTCATGGTGCGGAGTCCAGCATTCCCCAAATAACTCTGTCTTCCCACCAATGGCATTGCTGCTGCCGCTTGGCTGATGTCTGCAAAAAATGCTGGATGGCTTCAACACAAACAGACGTTGGGTCTTTTCTGCTTTCCCCCCCCTCCGGCCTGGGCTCCCTCAATGTCACGCTGAGCCGCAAAGGGCCGTGGCAGGAGGAGGCAGCTGGGGTGTGATGGTGATGCCTGCACCCAGCCATCCCGCGGGCGCTGCCGGGGTCTGCCGGTCCCAAAAGCAGCTTAGGCTGTTTCATTTCCTGCTGTCTCTCTTTCTTATCACAGTCCCATGCTCGAACCAGTCCTCTTAGAGCTGGGTTTTATTTCCTGACTTAGGGCAGCGTTCCTGAAAAGTGTCCTCGCCTTGTTACCCCCCTGAACACGCACGCTTGCAGGACTGTGCTGCTCAGAACCCCCTTGCCAAGGGATCTGTTGATGCCACAGGCAATGGACACCCCCCCCCCCCCCCCCAGTCCTGGGGCTGTACCACAACACGCTTGCCCTGGTTTTCCCTCTCTGCAGGCATCTGCCACCAGCCGCCGTGGGATTCCTTTCCGCTGCCTTTCTCAGGGCCGAGCGGCTGTGGGCGAATGCTCAGCCGAGTGGAGGAAACAAATGAGCCCACCCTTCCCAGCTCAGCCCCCCGGCGCTGGAGCACGGCCACCCCCAGCACATGGGGGGTTTCTCGGGCACTGGGCTCCCTGGAGCAGGGCTGCGGTGCAGAGCTGCCCGGGAGGGACAAGTCCTGCAGCGTGCTGCCGTCACCTCCTTGCTCGCCCGGCTGCAGCACAGTTAAACGTGATCCTGGCTGCCCTGGGGACCTTTGGCCAGCCTGAACTTCAGCCAGGCCTTGGAGCCTGCAGTGAGAGACACCGATGGCACCTCCGTGCCCGGGACAATCCCAGGAGCCAGGGGCCAGCTCTACCTGGCACCAGCAGCCCTGCCTGGGTACAGGAGCAGCCCCGGTTTGATGCTGCCTTTCTCTGCCCTGCCTGACCCCAAACCCCGGGATCTCACACTCTCATAACCCCCTGCAGCCATTTTTGCTTCCCAGGCCGGGAGCAGAGCCCATTGAGGCTGGGGCAGAGCAAATTCGCCCCCCAGGGTTTTCCCCATCTACCCACCTCCGGGTTCCCCAGCTCCAGGGTGCTGAGCAGGGGCTGAGGGCAGCTCGGGGGAGTGGGGCTGCTCTCATTTCCACCGCACAGCGGGTTACCAGTGAGCATGGCCTCCCGTGCCGCTTCCCCACGCAGTTTTGGTTTGGGGTTTTTATTTCTCTTTTTGAAGCTCCGAGCATCCCTCCAGATCTCTGCCCGGGGCCGGCAGCAGGAGTAACCATCCCGGACGGGGAGGACGTGCCCTGAGAGGCCGAGATGTGCCAGCCCAGTCGTGCAGAGCAGGGAGCGCCCCGCCGTTCTCCAGCCACCGTCGGGGCTCTCGGCGGGGGCTCAGCGGGCGGCTGCCCCGGTCGGCTGGCGGGGGGATGCGAGGAGAAGCGCAGGTGGCCCCGGAGGAGCGGCCAGACCCCACGCGGGAGCGATCCGGCCCCACGAGGGGGGGCTCAGGGTCCCACGGAGGGGGCTCGGGATCCCGCTGCCGGCAGCAGGGGCGCGGCTATATTTGCATAACCCCGCCCCCCGTCCCAACGACGGTGACCTCGCCCTCTCTATTTACATGGTACCGCCCCGCCCCTTCTCCTTGTTTGGCGGGTCTCGCCCCGCCCCGCTCTTCGATTGGCGGCCGCGCTCCCCGCGCCCCGCCCCCGTGTATAAAACCGGCCGGCGGGGCGGGCGGGCGCGCAGAGGCGGCGGGCACGGCGGCGGGTACGGGGGGCGGAGCCGCTCCCGCCATGAGCAGCAGCGCGGGCCCCGCGGCGCGGCTCTGCCGCCTGGAGCGGGGGCCGGACGGCTACGGCTTCCACCTGCACGGCGAGAAGGGCAAGCCGGGCCAGTTCATCCGGCTGGTGGAGGTCGGTTCACCGGCCGAGCGCTCGGGGCTGCGGGCCGGCGACCGGCTGCTGGAGGTGGATGGCGAGAACGTGGAGCGGGAGAGCCATCAGCAGGTGGTGGAGCGCATCCGCGCTGCCGCCGGTGCCGTCAGCCTCCTCGTCGTGGACCCGGTGGCCGACGAGCAGCTGCAGAAGCGGGGCGGGACGGGTACCGAGCCCCCCGGGGGCGGCGGGCAGACGGCCCCGGAGCCGGCGGAGCCCCCGGCGCGGGAGCCCAGCGGCGGCGGCGGCCCGCGGGTAAACGGGCGACCGGGGGGAGCTGGGAGCTGGGGCGATGGAAAGTTTTCGGGGGGAGGAGGTGGTGTCCGGGGGAGGGGGTTGGGGCCTCCCGGCACCGGCCCCGGTCGTCGCCACCCAGTCGAGCGAGCGGGAGCAGCCACCGCCGCGTCTGCCCCAGGCTCCCCGGGGTGCCCTGTGGGGTTTCGCTTTCGGTTCTTTCTTTTTTTGTTTTGCTTTAAACGCGGCTCCCCAGGAGCACCGGGGCACCGTTGCGCCCTGCTGCTTTTCCTTTTTTTATTTTAATTATTTTTTTTTTTTTGCTTAACACTTTTCAGTACCTATTGTGTTGGGTGATGAGTGGGGGCGGGCAGGCACACGGGGCTGTTTGAACTCATAACCGCGCATCCCCCCCTTCGGCCCATCCTTGTGCAGCAGGGCCGATAAAACGGGGTGAGAAAAGCAAGAGAGCTTCGAAGTGCAGGTGGGCCCCTGCCCAGGGGGGCAGCTGGCCTTAACCTGCTCCAAAATACAACAGAAAAACAGCTGTGGTAGGGTACTGGGGGGGGGCTGTGACTGCAGGTGTTGGTGGCAGTCACTCATGCCCTGAGTGTGTCCGGTCTCTGCTGGGGAGCGGAGGTGGTGGAGCCCTTCTGGGCTGGAGGGGACTGATCTGGTCCGTCGGTCTACGGGTACAGACACTTAGTAATTCAGGAATGTCGGCCTTAAGCAGCGCGTGGGAGTTAGTGGTTGCACAAACAAAGCGATGTAGAAAGGTGAGGAATTGAGAAATAGCTGACCTTTCTTGCCCAGAGCAGTTCCTAAGAGACGTTGTGGGCTGATGGAGATAATACTGCTTTTTATTTACCCAGCAAAAACATGTTTGTTGTCACAACAGAGGTCTGGATGTCCCTGGGGTGGGGCACCTGAGCAGCTCTTAGGACCTGCTCCCAAAGACCAACTGTGAAGGGCTGGTGCCACGAGGCCTCCCCAGTGCTGGTGCTGAGCTCCAGGGCAGACTTTGGTGCCTCACTGAGCTGTTATCACACAGGGTTTTGCTGAGGATCAGGTATTTTTATTAGTTGTGTCTCCTGTTGGACTTTAGCCCGGTGACAGCTGCCCGTTGCCCCCAGTCGGGCTGATCCACCTCAGGGCACTGGTCTCATCCCTGTCCAGCTAAACCACCACCTCGACACCTCCCTGATGGGTTTGTTAAGGTGGGAACAACCAGGCTCTGTCCGTCATTGCCCCACTTGCTTGCTGTCCCCCGTGGCATCCCTGGGGTCTGGCCCGGTGCCAGGCTGTGGTGCTGCCCTATGCGGGGGGAGCGTGCTTGCCCTCCTGTACACCACCGTGCCAGCATTCCCTCAGGGCCAGCAAGGCCGTCTGTCCTGTGCTTTCTGCTCCCAGATCTCTCCATGGGCTGAGAAAAATAAAAGAGACATATTCATGCAGCTTGGGTGAGTCCCCTGCCAGGTTTGTGGGGCTGAGGATGTGCAGTCCCCATGGGGGATGGAGCCCCGACGTGCTGCGAGGTGGCTGCTTGCTCGCAGGGGCTGTGCTGGCCGGGGCAATGCAAAGGGCCTGGGAAGCTGGAGATGCTCCATGGGCTTTGGGGGGGTGGCCCTGGCTAGAGATGCCCCACAGTCTTGGGGGGGGGGGCAGGTTCGGGGTGCAGCCCACGCAGAGTTACCACGGGTGGTTTCTCTCTGTACTGGAGCAGGAAGCGGGTGACATGGGGTGACACTGCTGCACGGCCCCACATGGTTTCTCAACAGGTAACAGGAAATCTTGTGGCTGGGGGAAGGGCCCGGTGCTCTGGGTAGCAAAGCAAAGGCGAACGGGTTTGGAGACATCGCCCCTGCCAGGCACCCACCAAGCAGGGTGGGAAGATGCCGGGCGGGATGCCGAGCCAAGCTGGAGCAGGCAGAAAGGGATTTCTCTCCAGCAAGCCGGGAACACACTGGTGTGCCTGTTCTCTGGCTGCTGGTGGGCAGCCGGTGCCCGTGGCCCCATCCCCCCTGCAGCCCCAGCTCTGCGGGTTGGTGGGATTCCCCCCAGATCGTTGTGGTGGGGAGCGGGAGGTTTGCATGTGTCAGAGTCCTGTTTGCTTTATTGGGCTGGACTTGCCTTTATTTGCTTATCGAGCCTGGAGACGCTCGCTGCTGGGAGAGCTGGCCGGCAGCACCCGCTTCCTGCATGGGACTGAGCAAGGGTTTAACATCTCCCACCTTCAGGCAGGATCGGACCCCTCTCAAACCCTGCTGGGTCCTACACAGATGGGAACCCCCTGTGCCAGTGGGCTCGGGCACTCCCACAGCTCCCAGTGCTGGGCACAGGCTGAGGAGGTTTTGGGGGGGGTCATCATGGGCTCCCTTCTCATTCCTATAAAACCTTGAGGGTGCAAATCCCCCTGATGCTGTGGTGGAGGCTTTGAGCCTCCCTGAAGGCACCTGGGGAGCTGCTCCAGCTGAGCCAGAGAGGTGACGGTTTTACACCCCTGAGGCCATCCCCGCTTCCTGGGGCCCTGCACCCCAGGGACTGTCCCCAGGGTTCGGCTGGGAGCCGTGACAGCTTGTCCTCCCCCCCGCCTGCGTTTCCGGAGGCTTCAGCTGCTTGGGAGTGTCTTGAGAACGTTTCATGCAAACCGCATGGCATCAGCAGAGCAGCACTGGTCGCTGCCAGCCCAGTGCCCTGGCACAGGCTGGGGCTGCTTTTACCAGAGCAAGGCTTTTGCTACCAGCCCTTGGTCTTCCCTCTTGCAAATTTAGTGCTAAATTAAAGCCCTCCCTGCCAGCAGTGCTCATTCCTTCTTGTAAAACCCGGGTGAGCCTCCCAGGGGCTGGGTTTTGGGGTGTAACAGGGAGCAGATCCCCCCCACACACACACTTGGGAGCATTGCACTGGGAGTAGCTGGTGTCTAATTAGGAAATGAATTAAATTTCCTCTCAAGGCAGCTGCATGAAAAGCAGCTCCAGTCAAATGGGACGTGACAGGGATGCTGCGAGGAGGCTGCTTTGCATCTCCTTTGTATGAAGCCCGAATGCGTGCGCCAGATTTCAGGACCCGTGTGAATGTGCTGGCCCAGGCGTCCTCGGAGCCGTTGTGTTTCTCTTTGAGTAACCGGGAATGCTGCTGTCGATGGGCTTGTTGCTGCTTGTAGGGCTGTAGGGAGTTTCCTGGGATTTGGGGCTTCAAAGGCTGTTCTGAAATTGCTGTTGGGGGGCTGGGAGTTGGGGAGCAGGTCCTGGCACACTGTGCAGTTGGAGTCCCCACATTCCCGGGGCTGTCGGTCCTGCTGGATGGCTGAAAATCCTGGGGAGGAATGATCCGGCAAGCTCCTGGAAGGAGAAGGGTTTGGAGGTGCCCCAAGTCCCATTCCAGGACAGGAACAGGGATACGATGCTGCCGATCTCCCCGTCCCAAGTGGGCATACCTGCAGGCAGATGTCCCTCTGCCACCCCTGGGTGCAGAGGAGAGGGGTGGGACGGGATGTCCGTGCCGGGGGCTGAGTCCAGTTTCCCCCGCTGCCCTCCCTGCTGGAGATTGTAATTGCTCATAACAAAGCTCTGCCAGCTAATCCATGCCCTAGCAAAGTGGGAGGGCTGCTGGTGTTGGAGGAGAGGACGCAAAAGCTTATAAAAATTAGGGGCATTTTCGTTTTCCTGCTATTCAGCTCCTGGTTCTGCAGCCATGGGACTTCTTGGCATCCTGAGTGTTGACCCCAAACCTTCTCACCTGAGGTCCCTTCTGGCCAGGGAGACTTTGGGGCTGGAGAGATGCTCTACCATGGGGTGCTCACCCTGTGGATGGGCAGGATATGGCCCCTGGAGCATCGGATGCATTTATATTTTTCTCTCGGGGAGGAAGAACGGTGGCTGCTCGCAGGGTTTCTGCTGGCACGAGGGATTTGGGGAGAGCGAAGGCGGCCTGGCATGCTGGGCTGGAGGAGCTGCCAGCCGCTGGCAGGGGGATGCTGGGGGGGCCAGGTCATGGCTCGGCCGGGCTGCCCTCACACCGGGTGCTCCTGCCTTCGCCGCTGCCTTTGAGGGCTTGGTGCCTCCCTCGCTGCCGTGACCTGTCCCCCTGCCCCGAGGCATCTGTCCATCCTGCAGGACTATTTCCCCCCCCCCAATTCATGGCCCCAGTGTCTCGGGGAGCCTGGGCTGCCAGGGCTTTGTTGGTACGGGTAGAAGCAAAGTCCTCCCTCCTCCTTCTCCTCGCCCGGGAGCTCTGCCAGCACAGCTTGCCGGGTGCTCCCTCCAGCTTTGTCCTGAGCTATCGGCGTGGAGCAACCCCGTGGTGCTGCCAAGGGCACTGAGAGCGTGGGTGCTCGCAGAGCTCGAACCCCTTTTCCAGGGCCAGCCAGGGCAGGGGATTTGGGGAGGTGCTGCCTTCTTCTAGGTTCCACCGGCTCCTGCATTTTGGTTTTGGTTTAGGTATTCCCTGTCCCCAGTCCTGCTGGGGATTGCTGCCTGGGTGGAGGGTGCAGTCACAGCAGGCTGGGCACCCTGTGAGCCTGCTGCCATCCCAGCATGGGGACCAGGGCAGAGCTGCCTGCCCTTGGGGGGGGGGGGGGGGTGGGGTGGACACCAAGGGGTGGCCGGGGCGAAGTCAAGGTGTCACAACCCTCCACCCAGCCCGGGAACCTGCTGCCAGCCTGTGTGGAGGATGGAGGGAGACACCACCATCTCCTTGGGGTGCAGCCGGGCTGTCGCACCGGGCATTGCCCAGCCGAGTCCTGTGTGACTGCCAGCGCTGCGGCGTCCCGGGCTCCCCTTCGCTCCCCAGCAGACCCGGGTGGGTGCTTGCGTGCACCTCCCTCCCCGGGGCGTTGGTGAGCAGTGCCGGGGCTTGACCCTTGCAGGAAGACATTGTGCAAGAGGATGGGGTTTTATCACGGGCTTAGCGATTGCAAATGTGTCATCCTGGCCCATGCGGGACCCTGGGCCACTGCAGTGCTGCCAGGTGTGGGGTGCCAGCACCCTGAGGACCAGGCTTTTGAGGCAGGGGGCAAAGGGATTTTAAAAGCAAGAAGTGAGTGTGCTGTATAGCGGGGTAGAGAGTAGCATGGTGTGGGTGTGGTAGGGGAAATTCCTGCAGTGCATGTCCCCAGTGATGCTATGGGCACCAGAGGAGGAAAAACAATCTCAGAAGAAAGAATAAATATTAACTGCCCTGATGAGGAATATTTTAGGAGCTCAAGCATGGCTTGGCTGTTGGGAGAGCCCTACCAAAGCCCAGGAGCTGGTGGTCAAGGAAGGACCAAACCATTTTGAATATAAATATGTAGAAGTGGTGTTTGGGTGCTGGCATTGGGGCGGTTCTGAGGGTGCTGCGTGCCGGCGCCTGGTTCTTCTGATGGTTCCCGGGCATCCGGCTGCCCACTGGGCAAGCAAAGGTGCAACTTCTGTTTGCCAAACTCCTGAGGATGCTCCTGCTCACAATGTGGGGAATTGTGCTATTGATGGGCTCTAGAGGGCCTGGGTGTGGGGCCATGGCTGCCCCAGTCAGGTTCCCCAGTTCTGGGTGCTGGTGGATCCACAGGTCAGGGTGAAACCGGGTGCAGATGAGCTGGGTGTTGCTTCCTGGAGAAGTGAACGTCCCACCTTGCACTGTCCTGGTTGAGCTGGTTTCTCTGTTTTGTCATCGCAGAGGGTCATGCCGGGATATTGGGGCTGCTCCGTCTGGATCCCACTGCCTGCCCAAGCCCCGGGTGCCCCTTCCCTGCCAGCAGTGGCCGCAGGGTGCTTTGGGGTGGGGGTTCCCATGGTTGGGTTTGCTGGGGAGGGGGCTGCAGCTTGCAAGGGGGTGATGGAGGGGACCTGCACCAGCAGCTGAGACTTCTCCAGTAGCAAAGGCTTCCTGGGTGGGATGGGGGTGCTTGCCAGCAGCCTGGGCTGTGTGTCCTCCTCCACCTGCAATCGTGATCCCGAAAGGAAGATCGGGGTCTTGCAACAGAGATAATAACATGTTTCTTTAAGGTTTTGTTGCAATTAGTGTGCTCTGCAGCTAATTAATTAAGCAGAGCCTGGGTTCATAGGGTGTTTTGGCACCCTGTGTCCTAACTCAAGGTGCCTGTGGGTGCAGGTGACCACCTGAGGATGGTGTCCCTGCTACCCAAGCAGCTGTCTGGTGGTCCTGGTGCTGTCCCTGGGTGTTGGGGGGGTTCGGGGAGCAGTTTTCCCACCAGCTGTCCCCTTTGCAGGAGGAGCTGCGGCCTCGGCTGTGCCGCATGAAGAAAGGCCCCAACGGCTACGGCTTCAACCTGCACAGCGACAAGAACCGCCCGGGGCAGTACGTACGCGCTGTCGACCCCGACTCGCCGGCCGAGGCGGCGGGGCTGGCCCCCCATGACCGTATCATTGAGGTATGCTGGGGCAGGGGGGGGTCTCCCCAAAAAGCTCAGCGCTCCCTTGCATCCCGGTGCCTGGGAGGGAGGTGCTTTTTGCCGGGACGGTGCGCAGCGGTGTCCCCGGTGCCGGCAGTGATTCACGGTGCAGCCACCCAACCTGTGTCAGCCTGCCGGTCCCCACCCAGGGGTGCGGGTGGCGGGGAGCAGCACTGCAGAGGGCTGGAGCTGAGCACTAATTAGCTGGATGTGGGTTAAGCAGCAGTAGCACAGTCCCCTGCCTGGAGCAGGAGTGTCCCTGGGCTGTCACTGAGGTGGGACAGGCTGAGGACGAGGTGATGGCCCTGAGCCCTGCTGCTGGCTGTGACCGGGGTGGGGACGGGGACAGGGCTTGTGCCTGGCAGGATGGTGACCCACAAGGGCAAGAATCAGCTGAGCTCCGACCCCACCACTCACCAGGGCGTGGGGCTGCTGCCTTTCTTGGGGAGAAGCTTTGGGGTCTTTGGAGACCGTGTCATGGCCCAAGGGCTTTGTACCTTGCCCGTGCTCCACCTCCTGTGCCAGCCCCGAGTCCATGCCCTGCCAGGCACGCCCTGCCAGCTTTGCCCGTACGATGCTGTGCTAATCACTCAGAGGAAAATCTGCTTTTAATGAGGTTTTGCTGGCTTCACTGCTAATCCCTGCGAGGCTGCGGATACCTGTGGGGACCGTGGGGCGGCCGTGCTGGGGCTGTGACCGGTACCAAGGCTGGTACCCAGCCCCTCTGCGGAGTTCCTGGGGGATGGATGTCCCCTGGCCCCAGCAGTGACATGGTGCCGTGCCCGCAGGTGAACGGGGTGTGCATGGAGGGCAAGCAGCACGCTGACGTGGTGGCAGCCATCAAGGCGAGCGGTGACGAGACCAGGCTGCTGGTGGTGGACATCCTCACAGATGAATTCTTCAAGAAGTGCAAGGTGGTGCCCTCGGAGGAGCACCTGGCAGGTGGGCTGGGGGATGTGCTGCAGGGAGGGGTGTTTGTGCCACCTCTGCTGGTTCTGTGTCACCTTGTCACCCAATCTGGGTGTGCTGGGGGAGTCCCTGAGCCCTGGGAGGTGAAGGTCTCACCCCCCTGGGGCCAAGCAGGGTCACCTCACCTTGGCATCTCCCTGCCCACCTGAGGGCCCTGGGGTGGTGGGGCTGATGTGGGCTCTGCAGGAAGGCACATTTATGGCCCTGGGTTGCACTTTGGCAGGGTTTATGGCTTGGGGAGCAAACGGGCAGCAGCTGCTCTTCACTCTCCTCCGCAGCCTCAACTCAGCTGTGGCCCCCTCCCTGCTGTCAGGGCAGACCCTGGGAGGATAGTGGGGAAGGGGGGGGGATCCCACTGGGCTCCATGTCATGGCTGTCATCGTGGCGATGTGCCTGGTGCCTGGCAGCACCCCCCTGTGCTGTGGGGCTGGCAGTGAGGGGTGGGTTCAAAAATTTGGGACCTGGACAGCGTTGGGTGCCCGCTGGCCATGTACAGCCTTTGCCAGTCACTGCTGTGCCCATCGGCGAGGGTGAAGAGCAAACGCATCCTCACCCAGCACCCGTGTCCTCGCCCTGCAGGTCCCCTGCCAGAACCAGTTGCCAATGGCGATATAGGGAAGGTAAGAGCCTCTTCTTGCTTTTAATCCCAGCTATGCCAGTCTCCAGGCAGAGACCCTGCCTGCTTAGGTGTCCCCTCTGCCCGAGGGTGGGTGATGCCACCAGCAACCACAGTGCTCCCAGGCTGCCACACTGGAGCAGGTGCCACTGGGAAGGGAACTGGGAGCTGGTGCTCCCCAGGAAGAGGGCTGCTTGTGGGGCTGAATGCCGTGGAGGTAGCTGCAATGCCTGCCCTCCTCCTCCTCCTCTTCCTCTTCCATCCTCATGATGCTGCAGGGCTGGGAGCCCTTGTGCTGCTCCAGGGAAGTAGCAACCACCCTCCTCCTCCACCCACTAAAGCCAGGGCAGCCAAGCCAGGCTTTAATCCTTCCCCCTCCCTGGATGGGCAGTGCTCGAGGTTATTTATGAGCCTGGAGCTCGCAGGGGATTACATGTGGGGAGGACAGATTTCGCGTTCCCTGGGGTGGGACTTGCAACTCCGGGGGCTGTTCCCAAACCACAAAGCTGGAGCCGCCCTGCTCACGCTCGTTCCCTGTTCCCCCCTACCCCCAGGAAGACGGCGGAGAGCCGCGGTCCAGCTCGGTGTCCGAGAGCCCGTCCAGCCCCGGGCCACTGACCGTGTCCCCCAATTCCAGCGAGACCCACAGCGAGGTAGGGCTGGGGATGCTGGGGGGAGGTGGTGGCTGGAAATAGGGGTCCGAGCTGAGCCCCCACCATGGGGCTGTCCCAGGAGGCATGGTGGGGCTCATGCAGCCTCTCGCCCCCCCCCCCCCAGCCTGACTCGCAGGAGGGTGACAAGCGACATTCGGCACCCGGCTCCCTCCTGGACCTCGACATCCCGCTGGCGGTGGCCAAGGAGCGGGCGCATCAGAAGCGCACCAGTAAGCGGGCACCCCAGATGGACTGGAGCAAGAAAAACGAACTGTTCAGCAACCTGTGAAGGCCCTGAGGCGGGGGCAAGGGTCTGCTGCCCCCCCCCCCGCCCCCGGCCTCACACCCACCTCTCCTGCATCCCCTTCCTCCTCGCCACAGGCTCCCAGTGGGGATGTGGGGCTGCTCCCCACCGCCCTGGCCTGAGCGATGGGGCTCAGTGGCCAGTGAGCATCCCCACAGCAGGGTCCTGGCTGGTGGTTTTAGGCTAGAGAGCTGTGTTGGGGGGGGGTGCTGGGAGGTCCCCTCTCCTGTAAGCCCATCCCTGGGTGCTCCTCCAGCCCTACCTTGAAGTCCTGCACACCCTGGTAGGCACAGGCAAGGGGGTTGGGGGAGGGATCGAGGATTTGGGGTGGCCTAATGCCCAACACTTATCTCTGCTGTTCCCTGGTTCTTTCCCCACCCCAAACTCCATCTCTGTTTGAGCCCCCCGACCCCGACTCCCCAGATTGCCCTTCAACTGCAAAACCTGAGGCTTTTAGTGACTTAGCAAACCCCACCTGCCTGGCTGCTGACCACAGCAGTTCCTCCCTGGGGTATTTGACCCCCCACCTGGCAAGTTCCGTCCACAATGACCCTGTCCCTTTGCCCCTCCAGCTGCACGGAGGGACACAGGTGCCCAGCATGGCAGGGAGCCCCCAGCACCCTGTCCTCAGGGCTATTTTGGGAGAGGAGAGGGTGTCTGGAGCCAGTGCAGCAAGCAATAATCATCTCCTTTGCTCTTGCTCGCTCCCAGAGACGGAGCTGGTCAGGGTTTGAATCTGAGAGTGTTTATTTTAAAGGCTTCTCAATAGACTCTTTTTTCCAAAATAGGAGGTTTCCAATCACACTTTCTGTTTTGTTTTGGTTTTTTTTTTTTTAAATGTATTGTGAAAATTCTTCCTGTGGATGTTTTGTTTCCATGTGTTGCCATTTGGGTGGTGTTGTACTGTCAAGCTCAAGAGAAATTCTGTTTACTGGAATAAACCTTCCTGACTTCATGTGTCCAGTTTAAGGCTAAATCCTTCTGAAGCCTGAGAGCGTGTGAGGGCTCAACGGGGGCTCACTGTGCTGTGGGGGCCAGGGGGGAAGAGGTGGCAGGTAATGAGCCCAGTGGTGGGGACACTGGGGCTGGTTTGGGTGCCCCTCAGCACCCAGTTGGGGCCAGGCCTGGGGGGGATTGGGGAGGGACTGGTTGGTCCCAGTGTGGGTTAATGCCTCAAGGTGATTAAAGGGCTCTAATCCCCTGGGGAGTTTGGGGGGTGTGTGTGCGTGTGTATGTGTGATGCAAGGCTCTAATCTGTGTCTCCTGGTCTGGTTGGAGAGTGGCAGCTTGGCCAGGGGCAGCCAAAATCTGCCCCCTGCCCCTCTGGGGTGGGTGGGTTGGGGTGAGCCTGAGCCCCAGGGTTGTATCCTGGCCTGGGGGACTGCAGGGAGGATTGGTGGGGTGAGGGTTGCTTGTTCCTCTAAATAGAGGGATTTTAGCCCTGGCCGGGGAGTGAAGCAGAAGGAGAGCAGGGTAGAGAAATGCGTGGTGATGGTGCTGCGGTGGGAATGGGATGGGGGCTCAGCATGGTGGGGCCAGGATGCCCCCCTGGCTCTGCCACCCTGCTTGCTTCCCAGGGCTGTTTTTAAGCCCAGGTGGGGCAGCTTAGCCAGGGCTGAGCTGAGCCCCGGTGCTGCAGTGGGTGAGCACAGGGCCACGCTGTGCTGGGGGGCTCTCAGCAGTGGCCGGGGTGTGCTGTGGACCCGCAGTCCCAGCCTCTGCCCAGCATCTTTGCTTCCTCCCCTTCTGCACACTCCTGTTCCGTGCTCCAAACCCCCCAGACAAGCTCCTCTACCGGAGCAGGCGTGTGGTCAGAGGTCAGCAGCTCAAATGATGACCAAGTGACAAAGTGCCACCACATCTGCAGGCTGTCACTCCCTGTGGAAGCTGGGGGAGCCTATTTCAACCTGCCTTGTCCTCCACCATCCCCTGCCGAGTGGATGTGAGCCCCTGTCCCCTCCTTTTCCCCCCTCACCCCCTTGGGCCAAGCAAGGTGTCCCTGCCTGGGGTTGGGGGCAAGGGGGCCATGGGCTGGGGCAGGAGTGGGGGCACCCAGTGGGTCCCAGGAACATCTTGTCCAGTGCAAGCAGCCTGGGGACTGGTTCTGGGTGGGAATGATAGTTGAGCTCTGCTGGGATCCTACCCCCCCACCCCGAGGGAGGGCTGTGGCTCCAGGACAGACCCAACTTTGTTTTGGGTTGCCAGGGCAAAGGCTTTCTGCAGCCGCCCATGGAGGCGGGGAGCGCGCCGGCGTTGCTGGGGGAGCGGGGATGCCAAGAGGGGCACTCACTGGCTCCAGAGCAACCGGCCGGGCACGGGGAGGGCAGCATGGTTTCACTGTGTCCCCCTCATCCCTGGCGCCAGAAGAAATTTTTTTTTTAATATAAAAGAAATTTTTTTCCCACCTTGGTCACTTTTTAGGGGGGAAAATCCCTCTCCAGCTAGATCTCTCCTGCCAGTCCAACGTTAGTCCTCATGCAGAGGGATCAAATCCTCCAGGGAAGGAGCACAGAGCCGGCAGCTCACCCGGCAGGTTCTGCTAATCTCAGTCTGGGGGATAGAATCCATCCCTGCCTGCAGCAGGTGACGAAGAACACAAGGATTAGTGGCCCTTGTCATGGTAATCCCAGCTGGAAGTAGAGCTGCTCTTCACTTTATTACTGCACAAAGCTTTCGCTACAACTAAATCCACGCTAAATACTTGTTGTTTAAAATACCATGATACGCTGTTCCCACGCTTGGTTTTAATATTAGTCACAGGAATGATGTATTTAAATTAACTAAAATTGGAAAACTAAAACCCCTAGGCCCTAAAAATACAGGCACAGTAACACTAAAAATTCCACAGTCTACCAATCTCCGATAAAAACATCCCTGGGCAAATCTGAAAGCTATTACCTGATACTGCATAATTGGAATAAATAATCTCTGGTGTAGAATCAGCCATTACGGCTGCTACTACACTGAGAAAACATACAGGAGCGTCAGTTATCCTCCTTACCTTCTGTCCTCTCCTCTTAGCAAGCTTCCCTGCTGTGGAGAGCACACTGCGTAGGGCAGGGAAGGTCAGGCTAAATAACTGCATTAAAAAGTCTGTCCAGGGGGAGTCAGGCGAGTGCCTCTTCTGCAGCCACGGATCTCTGATCTACCCCTGCGGAGGCTGGCTGGCTAGCTCCTGCCCTAAATATATCTGTCCCCAGGAAGAGGTATTTTTCCCCTCATTGATCTTACTGGAGAGCAGCGAATGGAGCCCCCAGGCTCAGCAGAGCAAGTCCTGAGCTTCTCGAAGCAGGGAATCACCATTCTGCCTTATTTCAGTTGTGTTCTCTTCCTCCTCACTTTTGCAAAAGCAGCCTGGTAAAACGAAGTGCAATATCCCTTCACTGATGGCCTGAGGTTTCCAGGTCCAAAGCACAGCCCTCAAGGGGTTTTGTCTCAGCAGGCTCCTGCAGCCACCGGCCCCACCGTTATGCAGAGATCGTGGCGAGGCTCTAGTCTCTCTCAGCTGATATCAGTAATTTTCATCATGTTAACTTGCCCTTTGGTTGTGCTCACCCCATACCTGGGCCTTGCACTTCCAGGACGCAGCAGTGCCCCCCTGCAACCCACCACACCCAGAAAATAGGGTTCAAAAAGTCTCTGCTGTCTTTTAAAACTTCTAACCACCCTTTCAGCAGCCAAAGCGAGCAGATAAGCCCCAGTGCTCCCAGATCATGCTCACGCACCTCAGATCTCTGTGATTCTTTTTATTCAAATCAGCCTGAGCTGCCAGTGTACTGAGGCTGCCTGTCAAACTGATGAATCCTGAAAGGGCAGTGGAAGAAGGAACGGTAGGTGCTACTTGTCCAGAAACTGGTGGCACCAGGAATCAATTAACCGCTGGTGATTTTAGGCTATGCTGGAACAGCATGTTAAGGTTATAGTCATTCCTAGTCAAGCCTGTGAATTAGTGACTGTTCTCCAAGTCCAAATTTCAGGCAGTATTCCTGGCTGGTGCAACAAGGTGCAAAGCTGGCAAAGTAACTGAAAGAGACAGATGAAAACAGTCAAGTGCAGCGTCGGCTCACTGGTGTCCTCCGCACCCCGACCTTGCAACAGCGTCCAACTCCTCCCTGGGAACAGGCCTGTGTCTGGATGTGTCTGTCAGGTCTCCAGCACCCTGGCTGGCAGCTTCGGTTCGACGTAGCTCTTCTCCTCCACGTGGTTCGTCTGCTCCAGGAGCCACTGTCTCTCCTGGTCACTGATATCCAGCCTCAGCGTCACCTCTTGGAAAATGCTGTTCACAGCAACCTGTATCATACAGAGGAAAAGCAGCTCAAGCCCAGCCTCAGGGCAAATGCTGCTCATGTTCCCTGGGTAGAAGATGGGCTGTTACAGCACCTCCTTAAAATGAAGCTTTTTGAACATGCAGATACTGGGTTCATTCTCCTGACCAATCTTAGCCTCAAATTTGGTGATTCCCAGGTTTCTCATTCCTGCAAAAGAGATCAGAAAGAGAAGCTTTTCTATGACCTGCTCATCTGCCACATCTATTAAGGCACAGGACCACAGTTTCTGGGGCAGGTGCATCCCTTAGTACCCTGTCTGTACCACTGGGTATACAACTTATAGATCACATCCTGACTGTACTCCCGTTGCCAGGCACTGAGCCACCCTTACCATAGGCCATCATCATCAGAGTTGCCTCCTTGCCAAACCCTCTGCCTCGGTAGCTGGGCTCTGAAAGAGAGAGCCCACAGAAGTCAGCATCCAGTTACATGAAACAAATCAGCCATGCTGGACAATTCTCAGAAGAGACTGTGACCTGGACCAGCAAAGGATGCTGATCGGCCACGGTAAAGCAATGAGAATAAAACACTGCTGTACGCAACAACTGTCTACAGCTGGTTTTAGCCACGGAGACAAAGGTCCAAGCTATGAAGCAGAACTTGACCTGCAATCATAATTTCAATCTCGCCCAAAGTCGGATCCTCAGTGTCAGTGAGGAAGAGATTCACGTCCCCTACCATGCAGTCCTCATCCGCACACGCCTGCCCGCACCGCTGCGCCGTGTCCAGCACAATGAAGGTGCACTCTGGGGAAAACAAAAAGCATTTTCAGGGCATGCTGAGAATTATTCACAAATTACTAAAGGATTAAATTAAAGGCATGCAATGGACAGAGGAACAACAGTTTCTACATGTTAACAGTAAGGAAGAGCTAATAATTAAGCCTCCCATGCCAAGTAAGCCTGCTCCCATCCATAGAAACATAAGAAATATTTTGAAAAACCTATTGTGATGGTGATGCAGACACCAAGACTAGAAACAGCCTACTTAAGGAGCATGAAATCTTCCATCCCATGTCTAAGGTCTCCCTGCCTTGTCTCACTCAGTAGCAAGTTTGGGCAAAGAATTTTTTGGTGCACAAGAGACTAAGACCTAGTGATTCACCTAGTCCATATTATTTTTGCTTTTAGTAAGGCTTTTAATGCCAGCTAAGACAAATGCTCCAGCCTGACGTCTTTGCCAGCCTCAGTATTTTCCAGCTCACTATATTTCTACCAGGCTTTTATGGGCAGTGATTCATTACCTGTAGGAGAGCCAGGGAACTAATTCAGTCAACACACCCCAACCAGGTAATTATAAAATAATTCAATTTCTCCGGATAAAAAACAATCCCCTTCTACCTTTTTACGACAATCAGACCTGGGGAGTCTTGACTGTGCAGCAACATCTCAGCAGATAATTCTGTGAGAAGTAAATCACTGTAATCTTTGAAAAACTGCATAAAAAGAACACCAACAACCCTGGACATTCTCTACTTCTCTAAGCATATACCAACTATGAACAGAAAGTCGGTTCAAAGCTACTGTTGTAGATCTTGCGTCCCCTCTGCTTCAGCAAGTAGAGCCCACTCACTGGATAACCTCAGCCCGTTGTGGGCCCTTTACAGGACAGAAGGGACCTGCTCCCCACGCCCACCCACCCTTAGAAAATGATTAAGACCCTCACTGTCTGCGTCGTCCTGCCAGCTGCGCTGCATCTCATACTCCTGCTCCAGGCTGAGTGGCTCAGAGGCGGTCAGGCGCTGCAGCTCCTCTGACTGCATCCACTCGTGGTACCTGACAATGGGACCCACAACCAGATCGCTGCCTGAGCTGCAGCATCGCACTCTGACTTCCACAAGTGCTCTGAGGAGCGGGCTGCCATCAACCAGTTCTGGAAACACCAGCCTGGCACTCGCGGCAACTGAAAAGCATCCACAAGCCTCCCTCCTTTATCTAACAGAGGAACTGGTGTTCTCCGTGGGAATTTAGCAAGTTTGTCCATCCTGTCACTTTGTCTGAAGAATGCCCAACGCAAATGTGATGTTTTTAAAAGTACTGAACATTGAGTTCTGGCGCATTTCATCCCAACTGAGATTGATACAACATCTCCTGGACAGTGACAAAAAGACTAATACAAGACTAATACTGGCATCTTTGTGCTGAGGCTGCAGCTGGCCAGGCCAGCACTTTACAAACTGCCTGCATGCCTGGTTCTAATTTATCAAATATCCATCTGGCTTTATAGATTGAAGTTTTGCTCTTCCACTGTCATGAGGGAAAGACATCAATGAACAAGAGAACTGCTGACAGCTCACTCACAGCCAGGTATTTCCCTTTCCGTGGGTGCACAGCAGCACGGACAGAGTTCTCTTTGTCAGCAGACCTTGCAAAGAGCACAGACCTGCCAGGGACGTCTGCTGCCAGACACCATGGGGAAAACTGACTGCCTTTTCCACGAGCGCTCTTTCTGCTGTGGGGTTCCCTGGGGGAAGAGGGCCCTGCAGCTCCCAGGCCAGCACCCTTTCTGAGCACCGCACACCCTTGAAAAAGAGCAGACGGTGAAGAGGACAGGAGCCACGTACCGGGGCACATGTGCAGAAGTGTATGGCACCAGGGTCACCCTCTGTCCTTGCAGCACCGTGTTCTGGTTGATCTTCATGGCCTCTGCACCGAGAGAGGGACCCAACACCCCGCTCCACGTCTCCACCGAGGCCAAGGGATGGGGCAGCGCCCCGGAGCCGCCGCCGGCCGCTCTCACCCAGCGGACAGGCCCCAGCTCCTCCCAATTCCCCCCGCAGCGACCTTCCCGCTCCCCTCTCTTGCTCCCCCCAGGGCAGGGCTGCAGCGCTGCCGAGGGCCCGAGGAGGCTCAGCAGCGGCCGGGGGGTGCCCCGACGGGCCTCACGCAACTCTTGGTGACCCAGGCGGCGGCGCCCGGCTCCGACATGCGGCGGGCCCGGGCGGAGACGCTGAGGGGAACCCCGGCGCCCGTCCGCGCATGCGCGGGGGCCACCCACAGCCCGTGCCCCGCCCCTACATCGTTATCGTCCCGCCCCTCACGTGCCTCCGGCGCCCAATCGCGGTTGGTTCACTCTCTCATTCTCCCCGCCCCGCCCCGGGGGAAGCCGGTCACATGCGCGGAAGGTGTTTTCCCCCCCCGCCTTTCCTCGTTCCCCCCCCTCCTTCCACTGGGCTGCGCATGCGCCGTAACCGGCCCGCGATGGGGGGGGCGGTGCTCCCGGCACCGGCTGCCGGTGGGGAGGTACCGGGGGCTGCGGGGGCGGGCGGGGTGGGGTGTGCGGGGAGTGGTTCTGTGAGGGGGAGTGTGGCGTGAGGCCTGGGGAGGGGCCCCGAGGTGGGGGTCCCACAGGCGGGGCTGCGGGGTGAGGCGGGGGAGGGGGGGGGGTCCCGGTGTGGGGCGGCGCTGAGCTGGGGCGACAAGGCCCGGGAGGGGTGAGAAGGCCGGGGCCGGGGGGGGCTCTGTGGGGCGGGGGGAGTTTGTCCGGGGAGGGCAGGTTGGGCGAGCAGCGTTGCCAGCTGAGGGGCTCTGGAGGCCTTGGTCGGCTCCGTGGCGTGGGGTAGGGCCCCTCCCGGGTGGGTGCCCGGCACGGCCACGCTTTCCCCGGCCACGCCGGGCTGCGAGCAAGCCCGCGGCCTTGCTGCTTTCTCTTGGTTCGCTAAGCTTGGCTTCAGTGACTTGAGTGGAGGTCTTTTATAAAAGATGTCTGGGCTCTTCTGCTGAAGGCGGGTCTGGTTTTGGCCGCAGCGAGCTGTGCTGCCTGGCTGGGCCCTGTCCTCTAACCCGTGTGTAAGTTTATGAACTATTTGGGTTTCTTAATAGTGCGCTTAGCTTATGAAGTTTGCACCGATGATTTGTCCCAGTTGTCATGGCTAAGTAGGAACATTTATAGAAGTATGAGAAAATTGATAAAACTTTAAAACAATTCAGCTATGGCTAATTATTTACCGACTGAAACCTTTCAGAGGGCTTGGGTGCTGACTCTCCCCCCATAGTTTTTTTAAGACCATTTGAAGTTCCCCAAAATACTTTTGCTTGGGAAACCTCAGTATGTGTAACAAAACATCTTGGTGTGTTTTTTATAGGTCCATTATTTTCATTTGTCTACTTATTTCTGTACTTATGACTCTGAGGAGAGGCTGGAGGTTGTTTATACTGCTTTAATTTGCAGGAGGCACGTGCTTTGTAAGAGTAGTAGCTGCATGAGAAGCAGTGGAATGAGCTCATCCTCAAGGCAGGCATTCTTCCTCTTGAGGTTTTAGTGTCTGAAATGGCCCCTCTGGCTGTTTGGGGAAGGTAAAGTTTGGTCATCATGTGCTGTGAAAGGGCAGAGCCCTTTGGTTACTTTTAAACAAGTTAAACAGGTACGAGAACTTTTCAGAGTATTTGAACCAAGTGGTGCTGGTGAGTGGGGTATGTGTGTCTGAAGTGCAAGGTCCTGCTGAAATCCTCTTTTGTTCAAATATCAGAAGACCAATATGCAAAGTCTGATTCATGAGTTACTCCTCTTTCTGACAAAGCTAACACAACTTTATGATGTTTTCCCAGGTTAAAGGCAAGAGAAATTGAAAACACCCTCCTCACTTTGCTGTGAGTCTCCCCACTGTCTTCAACATGGCTGGTGGCATTACTGACACAGGAGAGCTTTACTCTCCCTACGTAAGTACTGCTGTTTGTGGGTTTGCTCACAAGTCTTTTCAAAATCCTCTTTTCTCCACGTTATGTTTTCATATCCTACTTTACCATGGACCTAACCAGTGTTTCAAGAAATGTTGGAGGTTAAAGGGTACTTAAAAACACTTAGTACTTGTAGTTGTTGGGTTTTTTTTACATCACAGATCGCTTTATATGATGTAAAGGGTTGACGTCTACTTCAGGTATAGTTCTAAAAGTGTTAAAAAGAGCTTCATGTCCCATACCAGCTCTTTCGTCCTTCAACCCACTTCCTTGTATTTTGTTAATGTTTTTGTCAACCCAAATTGCTACAATGGAACTAGCATAAACAGGGGGGATTGTAACATTGAAACTATCCCACTTTCCTTTTTTTTTTACTTTATATATGTTTTCCCTTGAATTTCATAAAGTTTACTTATTTGTAGGTGTTGTAGCAATTTGTTTTAAACCACTTCACTTAAAATTAATAATTAAGATGTTTCTTCCTTGTAATGTGGTGTCCTGTGAGACTGCAGAGCCAATTACTACTTTCTGATGTTACTGGAAATACTGGTTTTCATAGCCACAAGTGTTCATATAGTGCCAGCTCTTAAAAACACTTGGCAAACATTTTTGTTTTTTTCTGAAGTGAACTCACTAAATATAGAACTAGTCCTGAAATCTCTGTGTTGGCTTTTAAATGCTTGCAAACTTTTATCCCCGTGTTAATGATTGAATTTAGAAGAACTCGATATTAGGCTGCAGAAATAGGTCACAACTGAGAAAATGGAGAACAAGGCAGTAACTGGGACATCTGGACCCTAAAGGACTAGTGTCACCTGCTCTTATGTTGTTATGTTAGTGTTGTATTAATTTCCTAGAGCCTAATCTCAAAGGTTATGACTCTCTCCTCTTTCCCTGAAGATGTCTAGCCAGACCAAACACACGGGCACCATTCTCATCTCTGTCTACTTGACCAAAGTCAAGAAGAATCACCTGAGATATCTTTTCAAAAGTCTTTCACTGAAGAGTAAACTATGGCCCTGGGCACTTGAGTTGTGTTTAAGTAATGACAACTCTGTTAGCTGAATGGAAAGAACTTTTCTGCAAGCTACAGTGACTGATTTTTTTTGTTGTTGTTGTTCTGGGTGACTCGTCAAAAGCTGAATTTGCTGTGCTTATGTCAGTGAATGAAGGGCAGGAGTGTTCCCAGGGTCTCTGAGGAATAGTTCTCCAGCTATTAATTGCTTCACAACCAGAAAATTGTACTTGGATACAGTTCTTTACTGGTTCTTCTCTGGAGAGACTCTGACCTATATATAAAAAAACAAAAAAAAACAAAAAAACAAAACAAAACAAAAAAAAAACCAAAACAAAACAAAAAAAAACAACAAAAAACAAACCAAAAACTTTGGGGCAATTTTTGATCTTGAGGTCAGCTAAATTTATAGTCTGGGGGGGTCCTGTCCAGGTGCAGAGTTATCTTTTGCCCCTGGGCAGAAAAAAGCTTATTGCTAGAGAGGATAAAATCCTTTCCTCTCCAGAAGTAAAATCCCTTCTTCAGAATGTGTTCAGCTGCTTAATGGTAAAATAGCAAGCAGGCTTTGAATTAGAATTCTGTTTGGATATTTCCTGCTTGACTAAGAATAAAGAACAACAAGAGATTCTGAAAGGTAATTTATATATGTAGTCGTAACTACTTAGGTTCAGGTCAGAAAACAAGGGAGACCTTTGTCCTCAGTGTAGACCCTTCTGGTAGAAGGCAGTGGATTTTAAAACAAACAAACAAAAAGTTTACATGCTTTCTAACTTTAAAAGTTAGAAGGAAACAAAATACTTCAAAATAATTAGAAAAATGGAGCAGACTATCAGTTTCTCCAGAAATGTGCTGACATTCAACTTTGTTCTCTTTGGTTATCAGTCCCTTCCTATATTTATTTCTGCCATGGGCTTGCTCCCACCCTGCTTGCTCAAAGATTGCTCTCTCCATTTAAATCAGTATGTATGTGAGGTGTCTTGGATGATCTCTGGCACAGCTGCATACTCTCATGTTGGATTATGTGGATGATTGCAGGTTGGTCTGGTTTACATGTTCAATCTCATCGTTGGAACCGGAGCCCTAACCATGCCGAAGGCCTTTGCGACAGCAGGGTGGCTCGTCAGCCTCATTCTCCTAATGTTCCTGGGATTTATGAGGTAGGATGTGAGGGCACTGGGGGGTTCAGCTGCATGGGGCTGTAAGGGCAGCACTAAGACTTTTGCTGCTTCTCTAAGTGAGCCTGTCCCTCTGCTGCTTGAGCATTGGTCTCTGCAGTTGTGTTGCCTGTGGACGTTTGGAGGGATGCATTGTCTGACTACCTGCAGTACGGTGCTACATCCCATTTCCTGACTGATGGGAAAGACTTTTTCTTCAGTCCGGAGTCTTCCGGGACCTTTCTCCCAGCTCCCTTTTTTGACACTGTCCTCACTGTGGATACATCCTACTCTCGCCTCTGTCACAGATCAGTTCCCCAGACACTAACCAGGTCACAGGTGACACAGGGTCATTTCTCTGCTTTGTGACTTGCAGATGTGATGCAGAGCTGTTGTGTTTAGCTTTCTCTTGGCTTCTGGCAATGCTCTGGGCAGCTGCTAGAGTGTCAGGAAAACAAATTACTGTATAGTCAGGCCCATCTTATTCCCATCCCCGTCCCTGACCTTTGCTGCTCAAGACCTTGAAGCTGGTCTCATGATTTTCACTCTGGCTCACCACGAGCTTCTGCCCAGATGTCTCCCTGCTGGAGCAGCAGGTGGAGCTGAAGGCTGTTGATACAGCACTGATGTCTAAGTAGTTATTAATAGAATTGCCATCTTCTGTTGGGCTGTGAATTCCTGCTTGCTTCTTGCTTGGTTTTAAAATAAAATAAAACAAAATCCCTTCCTGCTGTTTGTAAGAATGGAATTTAGAAGTTCCTTTCCTGTTAGTAACCAGCTCTCTCAGCCTCAATGTGCCTTTGATTTGAAGGCAGAGCTTTTCAGATCTGTTAGGTGCTGCTATATAGAGGTACTGTATGGTTTGTACTGATTAGCAATGCTTTTAAGTTCCCCATCTCAAATCTGTGTGCTGCAAAGGCATGGTAAAATGTAAACTCCAGGAGTACTGGTAACTGGGAGCTTTGGAAGCAATTCATTTTAGATACACTGAATTTACGCTTTTACACTAATGTATGAAACTCAGCACCAGCAGACAATCCTTCAAGGTCAAAAGAAGAGCACAGGCTCTCAAACCTGCGTTCCAAAACTGCGCTGGACTCAACTGAGAAGATGCAGCTCGAAGTACTACGTGCTTTAGGAGCTGTGTTGCCCTGTTGCTTTTTGTTCTGGTGCTTGTGACTTCCTCCTGCCCGCTGGGAACCCTTCAGTGTAAGAAGAGTCTGGGTGGAAATTGCTACATGGGCCTCAGGACAGGGCTGTTTGCTTTTATTCTTGCAAAACTAATCTCTCATTTGAGCTTGATAAGTAAGTCCAGTTCCTGAAGCAGTGAGAAACCACTTTAAAGCCTTAAATAAGATTGATTTGAGGGGTTTTTTATTATTATAGGACTGTTTTAGATGAGGTAATGATATTCTTTCCATCAGTGGCTCCCACTGTCTCCCTGGACATCTTTTCCTCTGGCCTCCAGCAAAGTGTATTTGCATGCACATGTGTAATCTGCTCCTTGGTCTTGTATTGCTGCTTTGCTTCTGATGCCATTTGTAAGATTCTTTAAGGCACTGTAATACCTTTGTCACAGGCCCTTATAAGTAACTTCAGAATAGTACTGTGTTCATACTAGGCCTTAAAAAGAGGAAGGAAGCTTGCTTTCTAACAAAGGGGGAAGTCTACTTGCCTTCTTCAGCCCACAAAAACACTAGGAAGGTGCCTTCCAGATATCTAAAGTGTTGTCTTCTATCTGAAGGCATGTGATATATTACTGCATTTTGTGGTCTGCTTGAACACCTTAATCTCAAGAACAGAATGGAGCAGCAAGCTGAGATGAACCACTGTACCAAAACTGCAGTGTGTATAGGGAGGTGGTGAAAGGGTTGTTTTGGTTTGTCTCTTTGCTCCTGCAAACAGATTGGAATAATTCTCCATCTCCCTTCAGTGGCAGTTGTTGACTATTATTGATATCAAATGAATTTTTCTTTCTAGCTATATGACTACGACCTTTGTGGTAGAAGCCATGGCTGCTGCAAATGCCCAGCTGCGATGGAAGAGAATGGAAAAACGCAAGGTTTGTGTGGGATTTAATTTCACATTGTTCTTTTATCCTATAGGACTTGCCTGAGATTCCTCTGCATCTTTGCCTTGCCTCATTGTTAACTCTAAAGGAGTAAATTTCTACTGTACTTAACTTTGCCATATAAAATATGGTTATTAGTTCCCTGTGGGGTTGCTCATTAAAGACAGGATTTTCTGCTCCTGCTTTGAAAAATCTCTTGAGCAGTTCACATTTTTTACTGATTGTGCTCTCCTTGCCCAGAAGCGCTGCTCAGTGAATGTGGAGAGGTGGCAGGGGATATATTGGTGCCATTTGGAGTGTGCTGAGGTCTATAAATCCTTGATGATCTCAGGTCATTTAACTGGGACAGGCTGGAATGTCCTTGCTGTCACTTGGGCTATGTACCAGTGAGTGGACAGTCCTGAAGTATATCTTTGCTGTAACGCTTACTTTTGGCTTTTTGGATCCTGGCTGTAGTGGCTTTTCTGGATCAGTGTGAGGCATAATTCTTTGCACTAATTTAGATCCCTGCCTGTATTTTAGTGGGTTGGAGTTAGGAGCTAGATCTGTCTGCTCTGACTAGCTAAGACTATATCTGTTTTGATCTTTTTTTTTTTTTTTTTTCACCAGTTCTGCAACCCTGCAGATCTGCCAGAAGTTTCTAACTTCCTTGTGCCACCTAACACTATGTGAATTGGACATTGCTGGTGTGTCTATGGCCAAGGGCTCCCTGGTGTTGTCTTTGCTTGCATGTCCTGCCCATCCCTTTTTGTGACCTTCTTTGAGTTTCTGGAAGTGAGACCATGACACTGGTGGTGCCACAGCCTGTACTGTGGGTAGCAAACATCTCAGCAGTAGTCTGATCTTTTCTTCCAGGAGGATGATGAGGATGAGGATTCTTCCTCTGGAGTGTCTGACAGTGATGTTCTTCTCCAAGATGGGTATGAGCGAGCAGAGACACGACCTATCCTGTCAGTTCGTAAGTACCCAGTTTGTGCTTTCACTGGATCCGAGACCTCTTCCCTGCAGACAGTGTCCCAGTGGGCTCCAGTAAGTGGAGCAGGACTCTCCTCTCCATTTCACTCATAATTCCATGTGCTCACATACCAAAGACCTTAGCACTTGCAAGATAAGACTCATTGAGAATTCAGTTCATCACATGTAGTCCGATAAAGATCTTTGCCTTTTAGGTCACTAAGATGAGAACATCTTACTTTGAAAACACTTTAAAACTAACTTCAGCAGAGTAATTGGACTGGTGACTCTGCAGCTGTGGAGTCATACACACTGTCCTTCAAACTGTTGCTAGAGCTTCCCCAGTGTCTTCAGATAGTCTGGTTTCTGGGTTTATTGGAGGGATTGGTTGAAACACTTCTTGTTTTCAACTTACAGAGAGACGTGGCTCACCCAATATCTTTGAAATCACTGAGAGAGTAGAAATGGGCCAGATGGCTTCCATGTTCTTCAATAAAGGTAAGTGATTCACATTTTTCAAAAGACCATTCAGGTCCACCTCCATAAGGAATGGCTTTTCCTTAAGTTTGCGTGCTTCTCAGTGTGGGTTTGCATCCTGAGTTTGTGATAGTTCCACTCAAAAGTGTCACTTCTCCTTTCTGTGGACTGTATTAATCCACCTATGTGGAGTATTTATGGGCCAGGTGGGCCAGAACCTGCATGAAGGAGAGTGTACTGTGGTGATAGCAGAACTAGCCAAAACGCTGCAGGTTATGGGCCCAGTTTCTTGAGACAGGTAAGTGTAAGTCAGTGCCTTTTCTGACTGCCCTTAACCTGACTGTGAACTGCATCTATTCTCTGTGATCTCCACTGTCTAAAGCAGTAGAGCCCAGCTGTAGCATTTGCTAGTTCCATCTTGGTTGTAGCATTTCAGAATAAGATGTACGAGCTTCCCTGAACCCTGTAAGTATCAGTCTGAAGGAGAGATTGCTGGGGAGAGCTGAGAATTGTGTGTGTCTGGGGAGTCACCAAGAGAGCTGCTGGGACATGAAATGCTGAAAGGGTCCCTGGTGTGTGTATGATAAGCAGCTGTCTTGTCTCTTTTCTTTAAAATGTCTCTTGAATGCCAGGGAACAAACTTGTGACCATGCTGCAATAAAGCCATATCCATTGCATGTGATAGAAATGCAAACTACAATGTTAGGTATTCTGAAATTTGTAAACAGCACATTTGAAGTGCTGTGCAGAACCAGAAAATTGTTAGACACCATGGTTGTTCAGTTTTGAGCCTGTCAGGCCCCATTTCTTTTGGAAAGTGACATTTTCTCTTGTTCACTGGCCATCTTACAAAGACACGATGGGCTGGTTTTTTCCATTACATTACATCAGCTTTGTGCCAGTGTAAGCCTACTGCCTCTGAAGGACAGCTGGGCTTAAGAAGTGAAGATTCTTTGAACTATATTATTTCTGATTTTAAAGTACAATTGAAAAAAATTTATTTTTCCTGCCTGCCTTTTCTGGGCCTTTATAGATTTAAATCACTTAGGACTATCAAAATAATCCACCGTGGGTGAGGCTGCCACTTTTTGGGTCAGAGAAGTGACTTGAAGTATGGGTTGGAGACTCAGAAATGTCTTGTTCCTGATCTTGCCTGTAGCACTGAGTTGCTCTGACTCTAGGCAAGTCTTCTTGCTTGTATGCTTTGCCAGCTGTAAAACACCATGAACACTTCCCTACCTCTTGATCATTCTCTGGGGAGTAATATTTGGGAAGTGCTTTGAGAGCAACCACTGTATAACAGGACTTAGTATTGCTGAGGATTCAGCTGTAGAGGCTTCCGGGACCACAGAAGGCAGAGTGCGCCCATAAGCAAGTTCCAGAAGGCCCCTGCTTTTTGCATGTGCTTCACAGGGGGAGATGATAAGGACCCCCCAAAGCCATCCAGGCATTGGGCAATTGCCTTCTAGACTTCTCTGTCTAGGTGCTGGTTGCTGCTCAGCCAGGAGAGGGTGCTGGAAATACGCGTCCCCTGTCCAGTCAGGAACTGATGTACACTTCCTAGCAAAGTGACATAAACTGCTTAGTGTTCTAAATCTTAATCCCCCTTCTTAATGTTGCTTTAGCCAGGGTTATCTGATTTCTGTGTTAGGGATCCTCCCCAGGACCTACTCAGCACGATGCAAAGGGATGAATCCCTCTGCAGGAAGGCATCTGGAACATCTGCAGACCATAGCCTGAAATGGCTTCTGGCTTCCAGATGGGATGAAGTACACACACTGCAAAGGTCTGGGGCAGTTGTAACTCATTTGCTGCTTTCCCTTCCTCTGGGCTCAGCACTGAGGCTCCATCCCTCTACTGTTGCTGAGTCCTAGTTCAGAGACACCCTCCGGTCTGCTGAGCGGTTGCAGAGAAGAGACAAGTACCTCCCTCTGCAGATCCTTGCTGAGGTGCTTCCTTCTGAGAGTTGCACAGAACGGCCTTCAGTAAGGGCATTTGCTCAGTGACCAGTTGCTGCTGCCTAGTGCTGAGGAACTGGGCCACATTTGGGAAGTCCCAGCTCCAAGCACCAACCCCTGTGGTTTTGCAGCTAGCAAATGTCTCAGTGGGGTTTTGCTCATGATATACAAAGCATGGATCCAAACCCAAGGTATCCGAGGGCTTCAAAGCCTCTGATTTCTAGTGAGTTCTCTGCTCCTTTCTCTTGGCTGATTTTTATTTTCAACAGTCTGACAGGAGTTGAGTCTGTAGACCTGGGAGGTAAGCTGGGGATAAATCTCAATTTCAGACTGTCTGCTTTCTTAAAGGGAGCTCACTCAGATTTAAGAGAGAGAGAGCCTGTGTGCTTTTTCAAAAGATCTGGCTTTGAAGAACTGCTTTTCTATCTATTTATTTTTTTTAATTTGTGATGTTGGGTGCTTTCTTCTGAGACCAAGCAGTCATTTATTGCAATAAGGGATTCTAGGCACATCTATCATGCTGCTTCACTACAGGAAGTCATTGATTTTATTTTTTTTTCCCCATTTTGTGTCCAGTAATGAAAGTATTGATCAGGGAGGGTCAGGAGCAGTTTATAAAAGAATTGATGATAAAGTCTTTCTGCCTTCCAGAGGATGAGTTAGGGAGAGGAGTGTCACCTGCACTTCTCACAGACAGAGAAGTCAGCACTGAAACAGGGATATAGTGTGTGCTGGTGGGTGGGTACCCAGGTGGTGCTGCTGTGGCTTAGCTGGTTCTGTCAGCATTATTTTTGGGGAGGGCAGGGGGACCTCTGAGGCCTGAGATCCATAGCAAATCCCAAAACACAATCTATATCTGAGTCTGTGTAGTCCTGTACTTGGTGTGTCTTGCAGCTTCTGTCCTGTGTCAGATATTTGTTATAGCCTTCAACCTTTTTTAATGGAAAATTGGAGAAAACTAGTAGGTAGTTTGTTGCCATCTTCAGAACAATACAGACACTCCTTAACTGTGAAGCCTTCTTAAATCTTTCACAGAGGTAGAAAACGAGGGGGGAACTGCAGAAACTGTCATCATTTCATACAAGATCTCCATTTGATTGTTTAGACAAACCAGGAACAACTCTAGAGTACTGGCTTTGTGCTGCCTTCCAGAAGCAGGGAAGTCTTCTTGCTGCTTTCCCAATACTGCCATTTTTTTAGGAATGTTTTATGATAAGTAGGTTCAGCATATTGAATAATTTATTTAAACAAAGGAGAATGCCTATTAATGTTTCCTGACATTCAGAGATCCAGGGGCAGTATAATGGCAAAACATGGTAAAATTTTGGGGCATCCAAGCGCTGTAGAAATATTAGTCTGCATTCCTGCAGTAATGCTGTCCTTGTTTGATAGTTATCGCATGCAAGGCTTGGGAGAGGTGAATTGATTTGCTCAAGCTGCACTGGGATTAAGCATCAGGTGGCATCACAAATTGAAGGTATGAGCATGTTCCTTGAGCTGTTTTCCTTCAGTGTCAACTTCCTAAATTAAACAAATCTGAGGCTTTTTGTTTCTTTTGTAGCTCACCTGCCTCTGAACTAAAATACGATACAATTTGGTTTTCCTTGGTGAGATTTATACTGAATTGCTTGGAAGAAAAGAATCCCGGGGTCGCATCAAGCATTTCTTAATCCCTGCAGATTTTAGCACTCTACAGTAGTGTCTTGTTGTGCCCCAGCAAGGCTGTTCTGTGCACCCAATTAACTTGTGTAAGACTTTTTTAATCTCATAGGTGAAGGCAGAGGAAGCTTAAAAAAAAGAAAAGAAAAAAAAAAAAGCACCCAAGAAAATGGTATGGGGCAGGAACAGCATGTGGCAGTAGGGTGAGAGGGCTGCAGAAACAGGGTTTCAAAGCTTTGCAGGTTTGAACCTTGGCTCAAGTTGCTGATGACAAGGAATCTCCCAAAGTGACTCCATTTCAATGCTGTGGAACCTGAGCTCTGCAGAGCCAAATCCCTAACGTGAAGGTCCTGCAGGTTTGCAAGCAGTTTGGAATCGACAGAGGACTAAAGGCATCTTCTCTCTTCATTTCACTATTTGTCAAACTACACTCACACAGTGTCTGTGAGCATCAGCTCGATGTTTGCCTGTGGCTGTTCCAAGTTGACAGCTTCATCTGGCAGATGGCTTCTGTGAGACCTGTTGGTCTTGACCAGTGACTGGAGGATATGCTTGAACTAGAGGGTCTAGTGTCAGGGCCAGGTATTGAAGGAGGCAGAGTTGAGCTCTGAGGTACCTTGTGTCCTGTCAGTTCTTGTGTTTTGGCCGAGTTCCCTAAGCTGCTGATGTGACCCTTGGATGGATTTTGCTGCAGGAAGAAGTAAACTATGGAAGCAGATGATGATTTACTTTTAAGACCTTGAAAAAGTTTTGTGTATTTGAAGTGCAGAGTTTGAGTTCCTGTGTACTCTGCTGTCTCTGTACAATATTTCCTTTTTCTGCAGTGGGTGTCAACCTCTTCTATTTCTGCATAATTATCTACCTCTATGGGGATCTGGCAATCTACGCAGCAGCTGTACCTGTCTCTCTCATGCAAGTGACCTGGTAAGTGTGCTTACTGCTGTGGGGTTGTGTGCTAACAGAAGAGAGCAGGCTTTTAGATTTAATGGGGTGATAAGTGTGACTAGGATCAGCTCTACTTTCTGAAGACCAGAGTAGAGAAATGACTCAAGGACATCTCACCATTTGTGGGTGGGGAGGTGAAGTTGTTTTATATTCCCCACCCAAGTGCCTGCTGCCTGCCTGAAAAGTAGCTGACATGACTTCAGATGAGTTCTCAGCTTCAGCAGCTTGCAGCCATGGGACTTGTTGCTCAACAGTTTGATTGCCATACCCTGTGCAATATTTTAGATTCTCTGTCTCTTTGGGTAAGAGCTGAGAGGTGTGATGCTTACCAAGTCTGTGACCAGCAAGTGGTGTCATTATGTGGACTTGGCTCTGGACTGAGACCAGTTCCTTTCTCAAAGAAACAGATAATGAAAGATATTTGATCAAATCTGGGCTGGATGTGGACTTCTGACTTGGAAATGGTAAATGTCAGTGATCTGACGACCCAAACTTGCTAGCTTGATGGCCAAATAACCAAACTTGTAAATAACTGCAGGCAATTCAAGAATTTGCCTTTAGATTATGGTACTCAGTGACTTGCTCTGTTACACAGTCCAGAAAATACAATGAGGAGTGGTGTTCAGGGAGGGAGGAGAGGAATGAACACTTCAGGTCTCTGACCATTCCTCTTTCATAAATGCAGGAGAGGGGGAAGACATCTGCTAAGAGTTAATTACTGTCTTTTGTTTCTCCTTCCTTTCCCAGCAGTGTCACTGGCAACCATTCTTGCAGTGTTGGAGATGGCACAAAGTATAACGATACAGACAAGTGCTGGGGGCCAATTCGACGGATTGATGCTTACAGGCTGTATCTGGTGAGTTTCTGAAACTGGGATGACCATTATTTCCAATTAAAATTTATTTCTATTGGTTAGGGGCTCTTTCCTGTAGTGATGATGTGATTCCAGTGAACAAGAGAGGTGTGAAGCTTTCAGTTCTGTCTGACATTTTTGGCCAAATACGCCCTCTCTATTCTTGGTGACATGGCTGCGTTTCAGTTTGGTGGCCATCAGTATAATCCTTATGATTTTAAGTAGAGTTCTGTCCTTGTTGTGTAGTTTTATATTGCTTAAGCAGGTGATACATCCATGCCAAAAGGTGGGGTTTTTTTCCAGTGGCTGGCTAAGTAATTGTTGCTTTGAGATAACTGTTGTCAATATCCTTGAGTATATTAACTCTCTTAAGTGCATTCTTTATGTGAATAAAATTGTTTATGCTGCAGGAGCATCTACTTTTTGAGAGATGATGGAAACAGCCCACTTAAACAACATCCAGTGCTATATGCTGCTTTAGTAATAGCTTTCTGTCTAGTTTAGGATTGTCTATTGCCTCTATTACTGTGCTGTGGTTCTGCTGTGAAACCAAGGTTTTTCCCATTTTTCCCAGAGGATGATAAAACACTGCTGCTCCTGAGCTTGGAAAGAGTTGGGTGCTCATACCTGGAGACAGATGTCAGTAGGGCAAAATGAGAAGAGGGAGGTATGGGAGTGCTGCATAGCGTGGCTTCTGTTAAGGGTCTCAGTAAGACTTTTAAGAAAAAAGAGTGAAGGTGGCCATGTGTGTGCAGAGAAATCCAGGTGTAGAGACTATTTGAAGCAGTTTTGTAGTTTAGTAGATTCTGGTCCTGTGGTGAATCACATCCCTGAGTGTACTTGTTCCAGTTTTATTGCAAAAGTAAGAGCTAGGCCTCAGAAATATCAGTGAATGTCAAAGCCTAGTTAATTATTTAAGAGAAATATTATTGCTTTATTAAATTGTGTCTTGGTCTGTTTCTTTAAAACTTCCAGAAGATTGAAGATTTCCTTGCTGAATTCCAATAACTCTTCCTGACCCAGCAGAAGGAGATAGTCAGAAAAAGGCAGACATGCATTAATTACTGCCTGCATATCTTGGATATTATGTCTGTAATTCATGAAGATAATTGTTGTTGGGACTTGAAAAATTAAAAAATTAAGACTCTCTAAGCATTAGATTTGCCGTCTGTGCACATAACTCTGAGGAGATTTTCCCTCTGCTTGTCTCCTCTTGTGGATTTGGAGAATAAATATCTGTAAAGTCTTCAGTAGTGATTAATCCTCCCCAGCTCAGTAATTGAGATGAGGGTTTCAGTGCTTTTCTCTGCTCCCCCTCAGAAGTAGGGGAGGATTGTTTGTGGGAGAACATTCCAGTCTGTGGTGGGTTACTGGAAGGTGTCATGTCTCACAATCACTGTGCTCAGGAGACTGCTGGGTCATCACCTCTGAGTTGTGGGGTTTTGTTAAGATGTCTCATATTTCTTCCTGGATGAGTATGGGAGTAAACTGGGACTTGTTCTACCTCCAGCTCTCCTGGTCCCACTCTCTGCTTGACCTGTGTGTTTTGATTTTCCAGAAAACAAAGATGATGACTGCTTGCCTAGAGAAAGATAACAGAAGTAATAATTTATAAAACGTTCAGTCCCACAGCACTGACACAGTCTTCAAGTTTAGGCTGTCTCTGAAGAGACCGCTGGTTAATATTTTTCTACTGCTGTCCTGTTTGCAATGTGGACAGCTAGTGATCAGTAGTTAAAGCTCTTAAATTTTTTGAGAAACCTGGGCATGGAAGGGCAAGGGTAGGAAGTTGCTTGACTTTGAGCAAAAAATTGAATGGTAAACTGTCTCTTCAAATTTTGTCCAAACTTCTTCTGTATTGAGGTGGAGTCTTGAACATGCAAGAAAAGCTGAAACCTGCCTGTCTGAAGGGGAAAAGGCAACAGGGAAGTGAGGAGGGGTGAGATGCATCAAGAACATAGCTGTTCTCTTGGTCCCAGGGGATCATACCCATAGAGAGCTTGCTCTGTTTTCTTGTCTTTTTCTTTCTTTGAATTCTTGCTTGTTGGAATAATTCAGGTTCCATGTTTCAGTGGTCAAACAAGGTCTCTTTTTGCAGGCTAAGTTCCCCTGTGGCAAGGGGACAGATGGACACTGCGATCCCAAAAGCAAGCAGCTAGTTTTTGGATCAGCCCTTTTGTCCTAGATGCTTGCCTCTAGTTTTCTCACCTTGTCTTAGTACTGTATTTAGGCTTAAGTGACTTTTAAGGGCAAGGTGGGTGGATGTAACTGCAACCTTTTGCCCATTCCAGTGAAATAGGTCTCTGGATGTAGTGCTGTATTTCTTACTCTGTGCATGACCCCACAGAAAGTCTTTTTTGGACTACCAGGAGAAATAATCTATTTGAGATTTTCTTGGAAAATGGTGCCAATGGGAGCTCTCTTGTGCCAAGTACCACCAGTCTGCCAAAGGTCTGTGCTGCCTTCCTCCTGTCAACTCTTTCTCTCCCGACACCATGTCTTCTTTTCAACAAAAACCATTTCAAACATTGACTCTTTGAGCTGGGGGTGGACAGGGGAATAATGACGGATGTAAAAAAATCCTATTTCACGGTTTATTGTCCAAAAAGGCCTCTGGAAGCTCTCTGCTCTGATCACTGTGAATGGAAGCTGAAAACTATGTACATAATGAGAATATTTAGACAGATTAAATCCTTCTCTTGAGACTTGCTTGTCTGCAGCATCTTTATTGCTGCCTCAAAATTTCACACCTAAGTGTGACTGCAGAGTCTTCAGAGACCACTAGGCCCTTATTAACCTTTGTCTGAACAAACGGCTGTCTTGCTTCTTGTTTGTAAATTGCCTTGGAAAATAAAGGCTTGCAAAACAAATAAGTGAAGGCAAGTGCAGGAAATACTGAAATAGTCTCTTGCTCCTCTCCCATCGCTTGCTGCTAATATTTGGGACAATAGGATTCCTGGGAGGTTTAAAAGGCAAGCCTTGCTGTGTTGTTCCATGCCTGTGAGGGCAAGATCACGCAGGGCAAATCAGCAGGAAGAAAGGCATGTGTTAGATGGCCCAGCGACCTTGTTGAAGGCAAGTGCTGATTACAGTTAAAGCAGATCGATGGCTTTCTATCTTTGCTTCAGATCTGTCACTATGTTGTCATGTCCTCGACAGCTGAAGTGACTCCCGAGTCCCCTGGCTGTCTTGATGGCAATGCTAAGGACAGGGTTGAGTTCCCTCTGCACTGAATTCACACTTCAGTGCAGTCGCTCTATCATGCTTTCTGTAAGGTCAGCTGGACATCTTCCCTGTAGGCAGTGGAGAGGGGGCAGCAGATTTAAGTTTTGGATCTGTCATGATAATGCTTTCTTGTCTTTCTGTTACAGTGATGTGAGAATGTGACATGAGAGTCCCTGTTTCTAGAAAGCAGATACTGAGATAAATAAGAGATTAAATCCTGGGGATCAGCAGCCATTCAGAGTGTCTGATCCAAAATACATTCATGACCTGGCAAACAGTGCTTCTCCTCTGCACCAGGGTGGCCGTTGTAGCTAAAACCTCTACTCTCTTCTCAGCCCTCCTTTTCTGGCAATTTGGCGCATGGTGTCTTCCCATGATGGAAAGGAAATGGCTTAAATTCTCAGGGGGAGCTGTATGCCTTTCAGAAGAGGCACTGGCACAGGTACTCCTGGTAGCCTGGCTCAGTAGCGCGTCAAAGCTACCAGGTGCATCTGTTCTGTCTGAGTCTCTGTTGGTTTTTTAGCTGATTGGGAAAGGGACGTGGCATCCGCTTTGCCGGTTCACAGATGCTGCAGTATCGCAGGCAGCCCAGCGGGTGCAGGCCGAGCGAAGATGGGAGTGCAGATGGTTTAATGGAGATTATCCCAGTTGGAAACGTGCTTGTGCAGTGAATAAAATGAGTGGGCTTGCAGGCGCTTACTGTCCCTCTTCAGGAGGGGACAATGTCACCCCAGCCTGACGCTCTGATCAGAATACCCAGCGACCGGAGCGGGGCCGGACCGCAGCTGCGGGAGACTGTGCAGGGGGGTGAGGAGGTAGTCTGAGGACATGTACAATTGCTCAGTGCCAGCAGAACTTAATCGGCAAATGCGAAGGCAGAACAGATAAGTGTTGATGTAGATCCCGTCTGCCTCGGTGCGGTGCAGCCTTCCCAGCCCTCTTCAGCTGCAGGCTAGAGCGCCGTGCTTTGTGCCACCAGCCTACGTGCTCTGTTTCCCTCCCCGGCATTTCTCCTTCCTGACTGTGCCGCGTGTGTGTGCACACCCTCTGCTCTGGGTAAAGGTATCTGTGACTTTTTTTTATTGTCAGAATGCATCTTTCCAGATACATTTGCCTGTACTAGGGCAGTTTTATCAGCTTGTTCAGCGCATGAAACTCTCGTGGCCTCTATGTCCATGGTTGCCTTCTGGCTTCTGTGGGCTTTCTTTGTGGGTTTTCTGTTTTATTTTCTACCTCCCAGCAGTGATATGAAGAGAGCCCTCATGGCAGTACTTGAATATCCATGCTTGATCTAAGCTGTCTCTTGCCATCTGGGAGCTGGAGAAATGGAGCTGGAGCAGTGCTGCAAGCAAAACGCTTCTTCCAAGGACACCTGGGTTTGCTCTGCTTGTTTCCTTTGCAGCAAGTGCTTTTCCTCTGCCCTGCCTTTCTCAGCTGTGTCCTGCAGCAGCATCCAGTAATAAATGGGTCACAGCTGCTATCTCCTGGATATTTATTCTTACAGGTCTCAGTGTCTAGAGACCTTGAGAACCAGCGGTGGGGAAGGTAGCTGCCTCGGTGGCAGGTGTACGGAGCAGAGGGGGCTGATTTCACAGTGCATCAATCAGAAAGGTTTGGGGTGCTTGCTCTGGGCTCCTAGGGTGAGCTAGGGGAAAGGAAGGGAAGCTGATGGAAGTTCACCTTGCTGGTGTAAAGCCATCACCTTGTTAAAATAAATTGCTTAAACTGTAGCATTGTTATGTTCCAGGTTGTCCCAGCTTACAGTCAGGATGCAGCAG